TATCCACACCTTGACAAGCTTCTTCTGGCCAAGCTGGGGTTTGCCGTCAGCATCTACAGGATCCAAGATGACACAGTACTGCCTGTTGGTCAATGTAGTGATGGCGACAACTCCAACCACCTGCAACATGTACAGTAAATGTACTTACAAATGAGAACAGACACCCAACGATTAACCCATGAATTAGGAGTCTTCATAGGGCTGCATTGGAATCTGTTGCCCAGGGCCAGGCCTTCGTCCCTTGGACAGAATGATGAAAGATGTTAGCTGTAGCTCTGAAAGCTCATTTCAGACGTGGCCTACTGGTACGTCAACCAAAGTCCAACACTAAACCATTGAACTGCACTTGCAAATTCTTTGTTTCAGGATATCAAGACCCATGTAAAGTTAGGCAATGTTGGAAATTCATAGCTGCAGCTGGAAATAACAGGTGCACCCGGAGAAGCTGCTGGTTAGCAGCTGGGGTCACTTCCCTTGGAAGTGTATGTTACTCCCACCTGTGGCCATTTTGTTCCGATCCTGCCTGGCAGTGGCTTAGATCTACTATCAGGAATCCATGAATGCATTTGTATGGATTTTGATGGATGAAACTTTGAAAGTCACTGGTTCAGAAATCACTTACATTTACAAAGCATTTCACTTGAACAATGAAATGTACAGCGTAAGCGAATCTGCATACCTTATAAGGTAATAGAAACTAAGAATTTTGAAAATGAAAATAAGGGGAAAATAAGTCCTCAGTATTGCTTTATTAATACCACTCTTGCGATATAAATTCATTCACAATCCACTTACTACTCTAAACTGGTTGCAAAACCTTACATGTATCTCTGTACAAATCTGCAAAAGGTGCTGGTACTGATTTGTCTGCAACTGCACATATTCTGTAGCAAGATTATCTCACCTACATGTACAAAGCTAGAGGAACTTACCTCCTCATACACCTGAGGAATGTGAGTCTCAGTGTCCTCCATGGTGATCAGCCACTCCTCCCCGTTCTTCCTGACCACACCACCATCATCTTTGAAGGTACGGGTTGCTCGGACATGGAGTGCTTTCTGCAAATACAAATTCCATGCACAGGTACCAGTTCAACGATAAGTTTCAAATTCACCCCTGGAGTTAAACGTGAGCCTGATGGACGCCGCGAGATCCAACAAGAGCAGTTTCTGTTGGATCTTGAAACAAAACAGTAACGCACCACCAAACTTTCACGATAAACTCGACTGCGCCCTTGTTACTGAAATCTGAAAGACTCAGCAGTCTCCCGCAACATGTGAAATGCAATAAGGGCAATTCACAATAGTGCACCTCCAAGAGTTTGCAATGCGTTGACCAATCACAATGCGCGAAAACTGTCAACCGAATGCACGCTTGGAAAGGGTCGACAGATTTTGTGTTAAGTCTGTGTTAATCTTGCTGTAGGCAAACTTATTTAAGGCTACCTATCCTCTAGCTAGCTATCCTCTATTCATGGCCTGAAGATAACTTTTTCTCGCAGAAGGTGTGTGGAAGGTCGTGAATATTTTGAGTTCACCACTCTGTGATGCTGTGCCTAACTTATCACTAAAAATTCAGCCTAGGAAGTGAGCTAAGGTTATCTCAGCCATCATTCAAGTAACTGATACAAGAGTTCCATCTACAAGCATGCTTTTACCTTATCCGTCAGAACGTAGGCATTGACCACACCCACAACCTCCTCATAGGCCCCCGGCAGGTAGGCGCCGATCTTCTTGACCAGCCACTCCTCCCCAGTCACCCGGGCGGAGCCCTGTCGGTCCTCTGTCTCCTTGCGGGCCCGCAGCTTGATGGCCTGGTTGGCCTTGATGACTGTGGCACGGATTGTCTCATCCACTACCACCTCCTTGCGGGGGATGTAGGTGCCGGGCCCCTCAAAGAGCCACTCGTCCCCGGCCACCCGCTTGGTCTTGGCCTCCTCGTCGTCAAAGTCCAGGACTGCGCGCAGACGGAGAGCAGAGTTGGCAGGGACGACTTTGAGGGCAGTTACAGGCTAAAGCAAAAAAACAAAAGGACTGCATTATATATACACTTATTTCAATGCTGCCATAATTCAACAAGGATGATACAATATGACACAATTACATTAACATAACATGTTGATATATTAACAATCGATGTAATATTGAACATTAAAGGAAGAGCAACATCTAGGTCCGGGGAGAGGCAACTTTTGTTCCCCAGCCTATGGACAGACAAACAAATGGAAGGCATGCCTGATGAGACGAAGTGCATAAAATGGTGTAAGATAGCGAATGAGGCCATCATTATCCCCATTACCATGTTTTAGTATGCACAGATAAACATCAGCCATAAAAAATATGTCTCAATATTGCCATGCCAAAATACAATTACATTTAATGTTTTGATACCATATGTTCACTAATCTTTCCACACATTCCCCTTTTTTAAATTTTCTAGTGGTCATTTGCATAATTACAAGACAGTTTTTGGCAAATAATCAATAATTCAACCATCACGTATGAGAGCAGCTGTTGCTTCTTTTTAACATGAGACTACCATTTCAAAACATCAGAAGTGCACTTCAAAGTTCATGTACATTAGCATTACCCTACCGCACAGTCGCATTACCGTTTTAATACATGATATTTGAACCAGCATATTAATTTGCAGGTTGGAATGCGGTTCATAAACACAATTATTTGTTTTCTCTCAAATGATATGTCTCGAAAGCTCAGATGCTTTGAAGCCAGACGAATGGGAAGATCAAAAGTCCTGGTCTATCAAGAGAGAAAATTCTGACAGTTACCAGCTTCAGGATTTCCCCCGGGTAGAGAGGGAAAGGGTCTTGGGCCAGACGGATCTCCTGGTCGGCATGGTTAAGCTTGATCTGCCCACTCTGGTCCACGATCACTGAGCCATCCTCGTTGCGCTGGACAGGGTTCTCAATGATGCAGTAGTGACGCGGGGGGACCATGATCATCTTCTCGGGACCGAAGATGACCCTGGAGAAGATATCAAAAGAACGAGCAATATTGAGGCTCAAGAACAGATACATGTATTAACCCTAACCATGTTGAACCCAACAAGGTTATGCAGGGTTTCTCTTTTAACCAAACACTACTTTTTCCATAAATCTCCCAGTTTTGTAAAGTTTCAATGAATTCAACAGTACATAGCCCGGTAGAAATTTCTTTAGCATTAGTCTTGATGTGCCAATTGATGTACCAAAGAGTGTAAAAATTTTTTGATATTTAGTGGATGCCCAAAAAACATGCTTAGGGGATTCAGGACTTCAAGTCACACTCTGTCTTTTACCTTAAGCCACGTAGGGAATAAAAAAGAAATGTGACATGATCTGCATACACAACTAGACACTAGACAGACACGTCCTTGTCATTGCCCAAAATGCACCAATTGCTCAGGCAAAGATTTTCTGCGAGATCCATCACGGGCACCATGCATGCATTTCGAATGTCACAACACCTTATCAGTAAAAGACGGAAATTACGCACATGTGTAGAATTTACACAGGAGTGTCACACCACTGAAGTAACTGTAACAGGGCCTTCTCACTCTGGTCGCTGAATTAAACACCAATGAATGCATGCAGTGTGTCCCATTAGTGACAGCAGTGCATCATATTCTGTTTCTACATCTTTCTTCCACAGGTAACCAGCATGGACAAGCACATCATGCTCAGAAGTTACATAAAATTTCGCTCAGTTTACATTACAAGAAGCACTTTCCACATCCAACCCCTGACTTACCTTTCGTGGTCCTGCCTGATAAAGGTTCGGGGCCCAGTCTCCACCGTGGTGACATTGGTGTTGTGGTTGAGGACATGGATGAAGTAGTATGGAGGAATTCTGTAGATGGACTCCTCAGAGCCACCCCCACCCCCAAAGTTAAGGGGGTTACTTCCACGCTTTCCCTTATCGCTCATGGTGGGTCTTTTTCTGTGATCAGATGCAATCAAGATGTCAATTTCATTGTAAGCTAAGGTAGCAAGGGATACCAATTTTCCAGCCCCAACTGGTGTAGCATCACTGCTGCTATTCTTAATTGTCAAAGAATGGAGTCTGTAAAGAAAATGTAGTGACAGACCATTCACTTTTAACATGGGGGATATATACATGTATTCTGTGGACACCTACAAACTTGTGTACAGAATGAAAAACGGACCCCTGTTTTGAATCTTATTGCCTAAACAGAGGTGATGAAAACCCACAAAAACTGGCAACAAAGTTCTCAGCACTGAAACTCTTGGTCATGGAATTCTTTGCTTGCCGGTGAATTATACCAGTGACAGTTCAGGCAAATATTTTCAGTGGCATTTAAAAAATTTCTGCTGCATTTAACAAAAATTCTTCTCTTAAAATGAGCTGTGCCAGAAAAATTGGGCCACGGACTCAAACCCAATGCATACTCAAAGCATATTAAACACAAAAATCATCTTACAGGAAAAATTCAACCCTCTCTGTATCTGCAATTTGAATGGTTCTGATGTCCAGAGTCCACATGGAGCAGAAGCACAAGCATCAATTTCATCAGCTGGTGAGGAGTGTTCATTTTACGAGTAGCAAACTAGCAATGCCCCCATAATGTCTGCATTTCACAGTCATTTGTGAACCAGCGAAGTGCAGCTCCTACCGAAGGGGTGGTCATTGCTAGGAAAATTGCACCCTCTCTTGGTCCAGCTAGGGGCTCATAACAAAACAAACTCTGTGTTCTTTCACTTTCGTCTCACAAATGGATACAAATTCCACTGACAGTTCGATGAAGCACCTTTACTCACTGTGTGCACTGAGTATGTACTTCCTCTATCACGGCCTCCATTTTATGACTCACTCAACCGTTTTCCCCTCGTGACTATGTGACTTATTGAACAAAATCACTGTACAATGTTGAGGACAGAACTTTGTGGAATTATATCAGTACAACGTTCTCTTCCTGATCACAACTGAACAATACACTCTCATTTGTACCATCTACCTGAGGGTAAAAGGGTCATAAATTGCTACAGTGTGTGTAATCAAAAACAGCACTAGTTTGAAGCTTCCATGAAGTAAGGGTAATCAAGCAAAGCATACATGTATGTCCCTTTCGTCCCTTCTGCTGCTCTGCAAGACGCAAATATACATGTACAAAATGGCTTTCTGAAGTAGTTCATATCCAAACATCAATCAAAACCCTGTGCACAAACCCTACGAAGCTGGTCTGAAAAATTGCCTGAGTTTTGTAATAAAAATACTTCAATATTTTCACTGTCAAATGTGAATGTTTATGACATGATCATGTCCTGATGGCTAATAAACCTCAGAAAGAGAAAATTCATGATGTCTGTATATGGAACTCTACATGTAACTCAGCTTTCTATATTCTTACCGAAACAATCTGACCCCTGTGATTTTCTTTAGGGCACATGCCTTGTCACAACTGCAAAAAACTTCCACGCTGCATTAGTGTACCAATTGAATATATTTCATCACAACGTAAAGCCAAGGCTTGGTGCTGATCCCTAATACCACTGCAAGTGAACTGTGTACCAGACAGTCAATGCAGAATACTCTACAAAAGACTTCATCAGGGAAGAGTTCCATGTACGGACGCCAGTCATTATTCCCTACAGTGACCCTATTGGCCATCAGAAAGCAAAAACATGTCCAGAAAAGTTCACTTTAGGAGGGAAAATACGAATTCGTTTACTTAGAAAATCACTTAGAATTTTTCAGACCAGTCTCATAAGGTTTTTGCACACGGTGTCGAGTGGCGTCTGTATATGGAACGCTCTCCCTGCATAATTTGCAAGCTAAAGAATATGTGGCAGAACACTTTTTTTGCAGACAGGAAACTTTGAAGAGCATCTGGGAAACATAAGTTTCATGTGGCCTACTCAGTAATTTAACCCAAACCATCCCCAGAAACACTTCCATTGCACTGGAATGCATAGCCTAGAGCAACTCCCTTCAAACACTTTCCAAAATACGGAAACATTTAACAGCGTAATTTTTTCTCAATAACAAGGTATCCTCGCACACCTCAATCCCAATCTTATGCACATTGTTCGATGTCAAGGGTGGAAATTCAGAAAGATTTCCACATCCGGACATCACCTGATATCCTGTGCAAAAACCCTGGGACTGGTTTGAGGAATTGTGCACGTAAATTGTTCAACAACATTTTCAGAGTTATTTGACTCAATTTGAGGACATGTTATCTTTTTCCGATGGCTAACAAACTACCGCAATGGAAAATTTGTGATGTCTGTATATGGAACTTTCCCCGGAAATTATTTTGATCGTGAAATACCAGCTGAATACTGCATCCTGTACAAGAATGCAGTAGAAAATTCATCTTCTTGGAAGCAGATGTCAACATGGTCAATATGGAGCTGGGTATTCTGGGAACAGGCACAATTTTATTTGCTAGGGCGGCATTCAGGTGAAGCTTTAAATTGTATGCTTCACGAAAATATATTTTCTGCCATGTTCTTGGGTCCATGCGTTGCTGAACACGGCCTCCAATCCACTCGAGCGTGATAATTTCATACGCCCGCAGCATTGACGACAGCAACAACTACATGTAGAAGTTACAAACTGCACAAATACCGCTCGCCCAGCAGCTCAACTACAAAATCCCTCTTTTTGGTAAGCTGTGCAGCATACCCAGCTGGCAAACCAAGAAGAGCATTACAAAAAAGCCTTGCGATTATTTTTTGCTAAATTTAAAGGACGAAAGGCTCACAATCTACTTACCACTTCCGCGGAATGCAGAACTATGCAGGACTGAGCTCAGAGCGCAGCGCTAGCGAGATATACGCAGGGCGTGTTGCGAGGCACTTGTGCAATGGTGGTCAAACATGGACCAATCAGCGTTCAGCACATTAACCAGACGCCCACCTATGTTACTATTACTAGCGATTACATCATATTTTCTTCACTCTGCACATGCAGAACGAGCGTAACCCGTTTGCGGACGTCATCAAATAAATTGAACAGGCCTCGGTGACAAAACAAACACCACCTTACAACTAAGGCAGCTAAGTGTTATAAAGACTGCTGACCCTTGCAAAAGATAAGCATTTTTGTTTCACTTTTGTGACTCAAACTGATTGCCACAAACTATTTCAATGCAGGATGTCTGAGGAAAAACAAACAAATTAAACACATGAAAAGTTAACTGACGCTAACGAAATCTGGCGGACTGATCAGCAGGATTACAATTATAACTTATTATGGTTGGTCCGATTCGACAGATGTTATTTGCCTCTCAGTGTAGGCCTACCTATTGCTAAATCCCATGCATCCAGTAGTCTTGAAAATCGTTTCACCATCACGCATACTCGTCTATTTCACAAAGGCGAATTTTAGAAAACAGCCATTCTAGAAAATACGGAAAGGGGTGAGATGAGAAGAAACAAACAACTGAGGAAACGCTGATGCAAGCAGCTGCAAGCTTTTGCAATTGGTGTCTGAGCAGTAGGCTGAGTCACTCGTTGACATCGAGCTTACAGTGCTTTATCGTTGCAGTTCATCAGTCAGCAGTCAACCAACATGATCAGAGACGGGCTCAGTGAATCACCGTGACAGCCAAGGCAACTGCTACACCGGCGCATAGATTGCTCACAACGGTTCGACTGGGGATACCTCATTAAGTCCTTTTTACATTTTACTCATTAATCAAGACTGTATACGGTCTTCGAATTCGAAGCCTCTGAAAAGATATACATACCATCAAAGAAAACATCGACAACAAAATAATATAACGATCCAGTCCTCAACCCTGAAGATCGTGAGATGTTGGAACTTGAGAACACTATTATGACGAATTCATTTACATGATTTGGGGTCGATGGAATAATTCAGCATTCCATAACACAATCACACACACACCCTTCAGCTTTAAGTTTCCACCATTGCCACGATTAATGGCAGGGACATATTTGAAAATTAAAATTTACAAATAAAAAGTGCAAATGCATGCAGCTTTAATTTACAGGCAATGGATCCATCGATCAGTGACCTTTGGATTAGGTACAGGTCAAAGAATGAACAAATATTAAGAAACAAACCAGCTATGGAGAACTTTGAATATCACACTGTCAGGGCGGATCCCGGGGTACCTGTCCCCGGATTGCTGTTGTTCTTGTTTTCTTTCAAAACAATGAGAGAATATTCTGAGATTACTATACTTCCTTTTATTCAAAAAAGCCTGCAGTTCCCAAATTTTCGCTTCTCACAAGAGCCATAAAACGTTTCGTAAAGAATTAAATTCCCTTTTTGGGCCCCCAAAAAATGCCCCGGTGGTTCAGGATCCGCTCTTGTATTTATTATTATATTATGGTTTACCTATAGTTCCGTGAAGTTGTGGTCATGAAATTATTAGGCGGCCCTCCCCCCAACAAATCCGGTTCCTTCAAAAAAGTATATAAAAAGTTACATCTTCAAAATAGTCTTATTTTTTTCCTTTCAATTGACACCCTGGACCATCACTTCGACAGTTTGCGGAACAAAGCTTTTTTAATCAAAGGGTGTGTACCGCTACTACATGAATTGGTAGTCCTATTTATGACGTCTTTATTGTAATTTTTCACAGAAAATCAGAGCTAGAGAAGATGTTACAGTCTATATCTTTGACAGCCAAACGGAGAATGGTTAATACATCCAAGCTACCCTTACTTTGAGCCAATAATCATTCACAGCGAAAAGCGATTTTACAGTTCTGCTGTGCATGGATTATGCTCGCAAAGTTCTTCACCGCCGAATTCTATGGCCGCTCCCTCAAACGATTTCATATCCATCAGGTGGTAGCTGAAGTATCCTCTTTTGTAAACAGCAATGTCCACTGTTGCCATGAAACTTTCCACCAAGACCTTTTGAAATCCGTATTCTGTGGGCCCCCTCAGACACTTCTGCAGGGTCGCAGGAGGGGCTCTGGCTTCTACTATCACCTTGTACCAAAATGAAAGCACTTCGATTCTCGCCACACCGTTACATCCATCGGCAGTCATTCTGCTGATTGAATTGTCAGGGCGAAAGTCCAGCTCTACGTCGGCCCCGTAGTCGCGGTAACCGAATAGGTGAGCGGTTATCGACAAATAACCCAAGAACTTGAGGACGCCGAAAGTTCCCGCGAAGACTGTCGAGCCGGAGGAATCGACCCCTTGCATCCAAATCCAAGATGGAGGAAAACCATCTCCCCAGTTCTTCTCTTGATGCATTCTGGCGTTGCCATGGATTGTCAGGCCGTCTCCTCGACTCTCCCAGGTGTAGTCCCCGAATGTTGAGAGGCTATAAACGAACCAGTGGAGTGGAATAAATGGAAGATTGCTCAACCACCCCTCTGGCCCTAAAATGGGAAAAAGAGAGAGAATGGCGCTTCTTATGTTAACGCTTGCTAAACAATCAAATTTTTTAGTACCCCTTCCATAACATGCGTGATGTCCCTTTCAATGGCACGACAGCTTACAACTCTGTGCCACATTAACACAACTGCCAACGCATCCGAGGTCTTTCTCAACAGAGATTTGAGTCTTGATTGCTGTGTAGAACTCGATTGCAGCCTATAACCCCTCGCCCCTAACACTGAAAGAAAAACATTAGCTTTGGCAAGTAAATGCCATGAGAAAATCATCATGCCACGTCAAGAATTACTGCATCTTGATCAACGTATACCTTGCCCAACTGGTCCCCATGGCACTGGAGCCCCAAAGCTCCCAGCCAAGCTTTTGTCCCCGATTGTGAAGTTAAAAACTGTCGATTCGGCCGTCACGTTGAATGACCCGTATGGGTCAGCGGCCCATCTGAAATTTGCCGGACTACGATTGTCTGGGTTCTCCGTCACGGGCATCCCACCGTCCACTGTCACAGAGATGTGGTCTGGATCGGGGAAGGCCTCCGCAACCACGAATGGCGCTTGGTCTCCGGCGCTGCAAACAATAGCAACGTACGTCAGCGGGATTGACTTTTTCCGCTCGGCAGTGGGTTTGGGCAACACCCGACCGAAGAGGACGCCGAACGATTGTGGGGTGGACGTGTCTGTCAAACGGGCGTACCAGCCCTCGATGAACGGTCCAATGGAGGGGTAGACATGTGGGTCGTACTGGTTAGCAATCCCAAACTGGAAAAATAATACGTGTACCAAAGCAAGACTTCCAAACAAAGCCTTCACGACAGGGCGTTTCATCTTCCAAAATGAAGTTTGGTTTATCAGATCTTTTGAATATAGTCACAGAGTCCAAAAGGGGTGTTCAGTTTATGTGATTTGCGACTGGGTTTACGATTAGGTTTTAAATGGGCAGACGTATATTGTGCATGTGATGATAGCTAGTGGTGTCTTGATTGCATATTTCATAACAGATGATAACATGATAGCAGTGCCAGGACGTTCACAGTTTGTTGGTAGAAGTGAACTTTGAGCTGCCAAGTCCCAACTGTGACCTGAAAGGGAAATGCAATCGAGTAGGGTCCGACAGTGTTAGCGCACACTTTTTGGAGTAATGCAGAGCAAAAGGCACGTGTATATATACAATCCATACACTCCACAGAAAACAACTAAGGCATATCTGATATGTTTCTACTCGAACTGTTTGTCAATTTGATACCAAATAACAACACAATGATGTAATTATAGTATAAATATACTAAGACACGATTTGCCCGGGCACCGTGCAAAGAGCAGTGTTGTTCCCTGCCATTTACGTTTTAAATCAGCCAAGGTAATAATGATACATTAATACACGTTTTGCCATTCCACACCATGGGCCTACATAATTACTGTGTGTCAAACACAATGAGCTACTGGGAAGAGAAATTCAATTAGAAAATATACATCCTCCACAAATGTCGTAGGAGATGCAGGAACATTCTTTTGCATCGCAAGACGTTTGGGCAGATGATTTTTGTTTGCCGAACCGAAATAGCGCACGTCGATTACTTGATCAATTAAAACATTCACGATAAACCTACTTGTAACATTACCAAGATTAAAAAATTGTGCGCCTAATGATCACGCAACTTAATAGCATCAAAGGAGGTCCCTAGGCCATTTGTATTAAACGAGGAAAGGTATTCTTTAGAAAAAGAGGGAAATACACTGTCTCAAAGATTTAAGAATGAGTGGTGAGGTGGAATTTTACACCCGTCTTCCATAGAACTTCTGAGCTCGAGGAGCAGATCGATCAATGAATGGGAGCCGGCACATATCCCGAATTCCTCATCGAGTGTAACAATTCATGCGCTGCAACTCAGCAAGAATGATTTGAAAAGAATGGGTCAGCCATGGTTTCATGTGCATTTCACAAAGCAACCTACCCCTCAACCTTTGCCTCTGTCCTAACAAAGTGATGGCTGACTGTGGTTCAAAGTACACTCAACTTACTCTGCGCCATGCTCTTGTCTCAACGATCTTACTTTTACGTCTCGGGATACTGGCAAACGCCAGTCCTGTGTCGATCGTAAAAGGTAGGTACAGTGAAATGTTTGTTCAAAGCGATGATGAACTATGTGCAGCAGAGAGGGTGTGGGCCTGCCTGGCCAACAATGTGAAGGCTACTTTGGAGGGAGAGAGTCACCGCCAAGGGTGCATATCCCAGAGGGATGTAGTTGTTTGTGACTCATTATCAGAGGGTAGGGGGTTCCAATTCAGCTGCTGGCTACGTGTTGTGACCTGGGGGCGGAAGTCACTTCACTCCTAGGCACTGGAAGTAGCTTAGGGACAACGTGTGATGGACTGCCATCTCATTCGGACTTTTAAGTTAGTAGTTCTATGCCAGTGAAGCTGGAGATAAACGCCGGTCTGATGAGCCCCCTTGGCTCGAGACAAACTTGCTTGCATGTCGTTTAAAGGTCATCCCACACCGTTCGTGCCAAGATATTCTTACATCCCACTTTTTATCAGTATTACTTCGGATATAAATGTACCTTTGTCCTGGATTGTTCAAATTATTTTTTTGACAATGGCCATTGCTAATTTTGTCACCGCTCCCAACCTGTTAATTACGATCTAAGCTACTTATCCACTTGCTTATACCAGCCAACGTATACTTCAAACACTGGAATGTAATACATAAAAAATGTCTGCATGTCAACACTCAGAATTTCAGCAGGAAGACCCGTTTTCCTCATTTTTCGCAGACAAAGGTAACAAGCGTTGCGGGGCAGGTGAGTTCGCTTGTGACGACGGTATGTGCATCGACGCCGACTTGGAATGCGACTGGTATTACGACTGCAACGACAGGAGCGATGAGGGTGACGATTGCCAATACACAGGTAGCCAAATCAAACAGTCCACACAATCTAAAGATGAGTACGATCATTGTACTTGATAATGACTGCTACAATTCTTTCACCAACTGGGATTTTATTACCACCACCCCTCGCCTCGATCTCACCTCCCCTCGCAAATCTTTCTGGCGTTAAATTCAGCCCACAGTCCGGCTTCCATCGTAAAGCTTAAGCTCGGGCTATTGCACCTTTCTGTGACACTTGAAATCTTTATTCCAATTTCAAAGATATATTTTCATTTACCCCTTCATTGATGAAAGAAAGTTGAAGTAAATGAAAACATTTATTTAAAATACTAGATAGAGTTCACAAAACCAACCAAAGTAATGTAGGTTTGAAAGTCATTGCGTTTTGTCAAGAGATAATGGAAAGACGACCACCCAAAATACTTCCTGACAAGTCTCTCAGTCCGAAATTCATTTTTATCCTAGCATGATGATGCACATCAGGAAACGAAATGATTTCCAAGCTGTCCTTTGAAAGGATAATCTAAGAGTCCCAGTGTCTGGACATTACTGAAAGCCACGGCTTTGGGGATTAGTTATGGTGAAGGTTAAGCTGCACATCATGGAGATTTCAAATAACCATCAATAGACAGTTTCAGTGATCATGGTAACTCCGTCAATGTTTATTGGCAGTGGTCCCCGTTAATGGCGGTAAGCATTGTGACAGCGCACAAAAACTAACACATTGCTTACCGCCATTCGAGGGGTCCGTAAGGATTGTCCAGTGAAACGTTAGTGGATAAGGAGAACTTCGGCTGTTCGGGTAATTTTGTCCACACACCTGCGTGGTATAACACCGACAAAAAAGCCGGCACAACGTTGGCGCACCTCATGGGCCACGAACCGGCACAACGCCGACACACCGGTACCAAATCGCACAGCACGTGCAGGCCCGCAAAAGCCAACCGACTGAACGCATCATAACTCTAAACAGCATTAAACATCGAATAAAAATCTAAGCTGAAATCCTCGTAAGTAGTTTAAAAAGTCAGGCAGCGCTAAGAAATATCAAGTGACTACTGAACTCTCTGAGTACAGTTTAGCATTTGCTTCATGACGCCAAACTTTGTAGGATTCACCTGCGAAGACGGAGAAACCAAGGTGTCCGAATTGTGGCTCTGTGACGGTCAACCTGACTGCCTGGACGGATCGGATGAAAAGAAAGAGAACTGCCGTAAGTCTCCCCCTTGTCCCTTTTAATTTGCTCAACATTTTGGTCGTTTTTCTAGCGTTGAGTACTTTGTGTCACAAGTTTGGGATAATGAAACCACTGGTCCATCTTTGTGTTCACGTTGGCGTGCTTTTTAGTTGTTGTCTTTTCAACAATCCAAGCTCCCTACTGGGGGTCTTGAGTTAGCTTTTCAAACTCTATTACAAGAGTAACGTCCAAATCTTTATTTTTAAGCTCAAACAGACGAGTGCTTCACATTGATCTGTGACGACAGCACAAAGTGCATAGAAAGAGCAGAGATATGTGATGGCATCGAGGACTGTGTGGATGGGGCAGACGAGCGTCAAGCCAATTGCAACAGACTGGGGTGTAAGTAGGACAAATTTCGAAGTGGTGCCGAGGGCACACGATTCGCAGTTCACTTTTCCTTTTAACTTTTCTGTTGTCATTTCACAATTGTTTGATTTCCCCTGTTTTTAGCAATGAAATCACAGTGTACATGTTCATATTGAGGAATGTATAAGTATTCAATCCCAGTCAAAAAAGTTTGTGTTCTTTTTGTGAGTGCAGAAATGATATTCACATTAAAGCACACCAGTTATCAGAAAATACTGTGGGCTTTGAAGTAAGAATACTCTTTAGACTGAAATATAAATAGGTATTCAAATACTTTCATCCCATCCAAAGACTAGATATCTAAACAAAATTAATCATTGACAATTTATTCTATGGACCTTTAAATCAAGGACATAAACTTGTTTTAAGAAAGTTTATCTTAAAAGTTTTCTGCAAGGTAATAAGCATTTCAAGCTGCAAAGGTCATTTTTGGTTGTGCCCCCATCTTGCAATAGCAAACCCCTCCCACCAAAGTGCACCTCTTGTACAGTCCCAAGTCCTAAACTATCCAATTTTTATTTATGTTTTTCATCTTGGTTCGTAGCTTGTTTTCATTGCTTATCTGGCGAGGACTGCATCAAATGGTCCTGGGTGTGCGACAGCATGGCCGACTGCTATGACTGGTCAGATGAAACAGCCGACATCTGCGGAACAAGTCAGAAAAAAATGACGCTATATGATCAGTGTACCCACCTGACCTAGGCACTGACTAATGCAGCTTTGAATTTGGGTTGCTAAATTTATTTCTCAAAAGCCAAAGTGTCATCCAGATATGCCTCTTTAAATTCAAGTTGTGAACAGGGAACAGGTCCTTCAACTAGGGTAAACTTCATTTTCTTGGGAGATTTAACATATTACAGTCAGTAGGCGTTCAGATGGAGTGTATGCACATATAGCCTTAGCTGGCCCATAGATTTTTCTTTTAGTGTGTGGCAGTTAGAACCAGTGGCTGGCAAAGTGTAACAAGCTATCAGTGCAAAAACAGAAGGAATATGCATGTTGTGGAGAAAAAACGAGAGCTTATGACCAGGCATAACATTTGTGCATATTAAGGCACTCAAGAAGAATCTATAAATTCTGAGGAATGAGGCCGCATTTGGGGGCTTCTTATATGCTTTTAGGAGGGGAAATTAAATAAACAAATCATCTTTCTGTCATTATTTTTAAAAGACATTAGGCTCCTTTCTTGGGAGACAGTGGTACCCACTGTCCCCCTCCTGAATCTTCCCCTTGAGCACAAGAAAAAGAAACCAAAAGATTTGAAAATGACCTTTGCTTGTCTACCCCATTAGGCTAACCTTCCTCCAACATTTAACATTTGCATGTGGTCATATTTCTTGGTTGACACAGTTGAGGACCGCTGTTGGAAAGGAGCATTTCCCTGCCAGCACCAGGACTTCTGTGTGCCCCAGGGTTGGCGATGCGACGATGATAATGATTGTGGGGACGGGTCAGACGAAACAGACTGTGGTTAGAAGTCTGGCTTATTTCTGTAGTGATCTGACAATAAATGCTATCAGGAACCATTTGTGCCCCAGAAAAGTATCTGTTATGCTAGGTGCTTGGATTGTTGTCTCTCTTGCGGAATAAAGCTTGAAATACCACTTTGCTATTCCGCACTCTGGGATTTTTCATGCAGGAATATAATTTCAGATAATCATAATCAAGGAACAAACTTTAATTATTATTATTACTATTATTATTATTGGTTTATTCACTAAAAAAAATAGTACAGTTTGGCAACCCGAAGGTTGAATTGCACTTGTACTACTAACACATCTCGTTTGTATACACATTTAAAAACCAAACAATAAGAAAAGTAAACGGTAAACATCAATCCTAAAACTTAAGCATATGTACAAGTGTAATTCATATGGACTTAAAATGATTCTTGGGCTTTCCTTCAATGTATTTGTACTCAAGTTGGGAACTAACACTCTTTCTGCTCTAAATTAAAACATTGTGCTCAAGGTAAAGTTACACAAGTGAAAAAATTAAACTTTTGAGAGACACTTTTCCCCCTGAGAAATTCCTATGCTTTTAGTTACAAATTCCCCACAATTATAAAAATCATATTCTCAAAGCTGGATTTCCCTCTGATGTATAACAGTGTCTCTAGGATTTCTTGCAAACAGTTTCTTTCACCTCAAGGCACCTTCACATATCTCTCTGCAAACTCTGCTCAGCCATAACATGACTACATTCCTGTCACAGATGTGGAGTCCATCTGGAGCCCCATCTACGGCTGGAGTTTATGGAGTGAGTGGTCGGCCTGCAACACAGACTGTGGACCAGGCGAGCGACAGCGCTACCGAGAGTGCCACGAGCTGAGCACTGCATGCACTGGGAAAGATGTTCAGGTCGAGGGCTGTCAGTTGAAAGAGTGTATCCAAGAAAAGGGTGAGATTTGCATGTTCACCTAGCAAATGTGAGACTGGTTGGCACTTGATTCTTCGGTTGGAGGTGGCATGGACAAATTTAACATTTTTAAAACCTCTCAATCAATCAATTACACGTACCTGTTATGTGTTGGTGATAGACAACTCTTGTTCATAACCTGCAATCAAATTGATGGAATTCTGGGTTTTGCCCTTAAAATTTGCACCAGTAAGCAGGCGGTGGAGGGATCCAGCTTCACCCAAGTAGCTTGCAATTTTTTTCATAAGTTTTGGGATAGCAATGAGGATACAATGCTGACAGAGTTACTGGACTGAAGGTATTGAAAGCGCAGTATTCAAAGCTTTTACAGTCGATTTTCATTGAACTCTACCCCTTCATATTTAGATTCAGTCCAGTTAGAAAACGTAAATACGGAAACTACCCCTATTTCTTTCCCAAACGTACCAAAAATCTTGGAAACCAAAGTTCTCACTTTTAGGTGTGGGGACCGATACATGATTCTATGTTTATTACACTTCTTTATCTTCTGCTGCCATTTCAACCTTTCCCCGTCTGGCCTGCACTGTAGACACAGGATGTGGAACAAGGAGATTGCCATCATTCCAGATATTCGAAAAGCGCATTGTGGGTGGCATCGAGGCAGTGGCTGGTTCCTGGCCCTGGCAAGCCCAGCTCATCCACAGGTTCAAGAGCGGAAGGCAGGTGGCTATCTGTGGCGGGACGCTGGTGAGGGAGAACATTGTCGTTTCGGCTGCCCACTGCTTCATGAAATCAATGCAAGTCCGCTCTAACTTTGCTTTCTTGGTGTGATCAATAATTTAATGCAAGCCCACTCTTCTGTTACTTAATAGTTTGTATGATCAGTGTTACCCAGTGATCAGTATGCCAGCCAATGGGCCAATCCTTTCATGTATTGCTCTATAGTCTAGAGGTTCCAATAACGGCAGCAGCATTGTCCTAGCTATTGTTCTGTAATACCCACGGTGGCTATTTTCTACTGTAGAAGGCATAATGTTTCTGTCATTTGGCCTTAACAATGTACTTGGAGCTTTCTGTTGTGCATGTATATTGATCACATGACCAGATTCAATCACAGGAATTAGACATACTAACCACAGCCGTTTACTTACAGGCTCTACATAAGAATGCAGTATTCAAGCAGTAGAAAAATCCAATGTTGTTTCTCTGGGCATGACCTGCGGCCCCCTTAAAATGGTGGAAAGCATTGTGCAGTGTTGTAGTCGAGACCAGACACAAGACCAGACACAAGACCAGATACAAGACCAGACTGAGTGGTGAAAACAAAGTTAGGGTCGTAAGGAAGTTGAGTACCAACTGAACAAATCTACTGGAAGTCTGACTGAATGAAACGTAGATGAAAAGGAATGAAAAGAGAGGAAAAAATGCAAATTATTTTACAAACACAGGTCAAAAACCAAATCCATTCCATGTCTTTTTTCCCTTGTATCACTTTAGGAATGATGTAACAACTTGGAGGGTCCACCTCGGCAAGCACACTATTGACCTCCACCTGTCCAAGGGCGAGCAGGAGGCCAAAATCAAACACATCATCAAGCACAAGGGCTTTAACACCAAGACAATGCGCAACGACCTGGCTGTCTTGGTCCTGGACAGATCCCTGTCGCTGGACAGCGAGCAGGTCAACGTGGCCTGCCTGGACAAGGAGTTGGACATGTCCAACAAGATCCACTGCCTTGTGACAGGATGGGGATTGACGGAAAGTAAGAATAGATGTGATTTATTACTAGGGTTGTAATGGTACATCATGATTTGAAAATCTGTGTGGGATACTTAGCTTCACATACACCAAGTCTCAAACAATTCAGAGCATTTCAGGCTAACGAATGACATACCTGCAACTTGTAGATTTGCAATACAAATGCACTTCCAAAATGATTTTAAAAAATCAGCAGCCGCAACTGTTTCAGAGAGGAGCAAAAATTTGAAAAACGTGAATGTTAAGTACATGCACGGAATGTGGAAGCCTCATGAAACTGACACTTGTATGTCAAACAGTTGCTATAACTTCTGTGACTTTTAATCCACTCTGAGTGTCTGCATACATGCAAAACCCGTGCAAGATCTCGCTTGTAACCACCTGTCTTTCTTTTCGCTGATTGGGGGTGCACTTCAGCTCGGGGAGGATTTTATAGCACTATTTGCGTAGTATATGTGTATATCATGATCTAAGTACATGTATTATGAAATATGTAGTTCCTCTGTGTACTTCTTGACATATGCTTAAAGTTTGATTTTCAAGATGCCAACATGAGGAATTTGCACCATTTTTGAAAAATGCTTTTAATTTGAACCAAAACAGTTCAGAAATTGCCTTCCTGTTCTCATTTTCATGATTTCATGTACAGTGGGAGGGCGGCAAGCCAGGAAGCTTCAGCAGGCCTGGGTGCCAATACTACGCCAGAGCCAGTGTAACCACAAGGATGTCTACAACGGGATAATAGCTAGCAGCATGATATGCGCAGGCTATTTGGCTGGCGGAATTGATGCTTGTCAAGTAAGCAGTCATTTTGAGACTGCCACCGTTGGTGTGGCTTTATAGGTATAATCCGTCATTTGTCATTTGTGTATTGTTGTTTTGTTTGAGGCAAAAAAGTGCTCAAAATGTAAAGAGCACCTAACAACTACCCCGATGAAGTTTTACTTCAGGGAAGACTGTATATTCTGGGAAAAAATGACATTCTAGGACATTGATTTCAAATCCAAAGTTACCGAGTCATGTTTTCAATGATGCTCGAATTTAGCATCCTAAAAAGGCTCTCACTCAGCCAACTGTAGCTACATGATGTTGCGCACTGAACCAACAAATTAAATACATGTAACCACTTGTGCACTTTGCCAAAATAACAATGTACTGCTAATGCAGGAAGTCGTGGGTTCGAGTCCCACCCGAGTACGTTTGTGGATTGTTTTCATGAGTCTTAGGGGGCAAACACCGAGTATACAATGTTATAAACAAGCCGGGTAGGGAAACAAAGAAAAAAAGAAATCCAAAATTAATCAACTGCTAATGGCAATTTTCCAAACTTGTGTCTTTAGGCTTGTCATCAAATATGGCCTTTTTCTATTTTTCTTCTTCAAAATGGCAAGAATAATTTCCAATGGAGTTTAGTCTCATGAGTATGCTTTTCAACAGTGATTTTGTCAGTCACTTTTTGATGGTTGCAATGAAGGACTGTACCTTTTAAAGCATTACAATTCACGATCAAACTGTTTAAGAACTGAAGCACAGTGGCCTGACAGAAAAATCAAACTTTTGTTTTTGCGGTTAAGGTCTCATGGATAAATGTAACCGAGAGAAGGGCTACAAACTCAAAATTCAGACACCTTCCTGGAGGTTTCTAAGCAAACTGTTTAAAATACTGAAAATGTCTTTTATGGTGTCTTGGATCGTTTCTTTTTCAGGGGGATTCAGGTGGTCCATTGATGTGTGAGCTGTCCGACGGCCGCTGGCACCTTGTTGGGATCACCAGCTGGGGGCGAGGGTGCGCCATGGCCAACAATCCTGGGGTATACACCAAAGTGGCACACTATGCGCAGTGGATTGAAGGCAAAATAAAGGAACATGGATCTCCTTAACCAAACTAAAACTAAAGGGATTAAAAGATGCTGTTTAAACCTTATGAAACTCAACAAATTGGGGGGTATTAGCCAGGGTTTGTATAACATGTGATTACGATTTTCCCTAATCATGTTGCATTTTCACAGACCAATTATAAACCTGTCAATTATATTGCATTCCTGAGTGGTACGGTACTCACATGCATGTCAGATTCTTAAATCTGGTAAATATGCACCTTGTGCATACATGTGTATATGACCGGCACATGAGCATAGAATCACCTTTGCTTCTGTGGCTAAAACTGAGGCTTCTGGCTGTGACTGGAATAATACGGAAGCCTGTGGAAGCCAATTACAATGTACATGTACATGTATGTAGTCACTTTCCAGGGGCAAGTGTGTTGTGAGCCTGTTCATTTGGACGTTGCAAGAACTGTGGTTGATGAAATAGTCTGTGCACAGTACATGATAAACAAATGCTTCAAATATGCTTCTATTTAAAATATCAAATCACGAATAATTTGTTTTTTTAACTTGTGATGTACATGCCTTCAACTGGGTCATTTTATTGTCAAATAAATTATCAGTATCTCAATATGGCTAATCAGTACAAACGAAAGCACATCATACTGAACTCTAAAGCAATATGTAATATTTAAGGTAGGAAAAACAGGCTTTATGTTGGTAGAATCGTGGTTACTCATGAAGTATTTAATCAATGCAATGACGCTGTATTGAAATCACACACACTGCCAGAAAGTAATTTTTTCTGTGTACTTCCTGTCTGTATCACTCCCAATATTACTGTCGGCCATTTCTACAGTGCTATCAGATTTGAAAATAGAATATTGGATCATCTGCTTCAAAAAACATGCTGCTTCATGTCTGATAATAAATACTTGCAAATGAACACTCCTAAAATATCAAATCCTAAAACTGTAGTAATATCACACCGTAAAAAACAAGTTTGGTATGTTATACAAGGGAAGGAAATGTACTGCCGTATTGATACACTTTCAGCAGTTTGGCTAATATTGAGCAATAAAATTTGGCATTCCATTCAAGAACTGATTTGACTATTCAGGTTAAAATGTGCCTTTTTCCATAAAAATGATGTTTGAAGAAGCATATTTGACCATAAAGAAAATGCATCAATACAGAATACCTACTGAGCGTGTTTGTGTTTGTGTCTACAGAGCAGTCACAATGGATTTATCTTTCACCTGTTTTGCACAACCTCAAAGCAATTCCAAAATTCACACATTCTGGAAGGATTTGGAAGGGTTGTAAATGCCACGGTTTATTCACAAGATTAATTAAAATAAATGGTATTGATCAAAATTGCCCTCAACAATTATGGTTCCCCCAATTTGCTGCATGCAGTTTTCGGTATATGACCAGATATCCCTTGTGCAGGTCAAAGAGGTAAAGGATTCAGTGATAAGTTTAAGATGAGAAGTGCACTGGCCTTTCAGAATGTCAACGCATATCCCAAATGCGATAAAAGGAAGGAATCCAGTGTTTTCCCATATATGGGACTTGGTCTCCTTGGCTGCTAAAGTCACTAAAGAATTCTCCCACATCAGTGACCCAGTTTGTTAAAGTGCCTTTCAAGGCGATTATGATACATGGGACTTATCTGTTGAAGTGATGCTTTTGGCACAGGTGCACTTTAGTTGTTCTTCACAAATTCTTCACCCTTGGCGATGTTGGCCTTGAGTTCTCCCATAGCGTCTGCCAGCAGTTTTGTCTCGTAGTCGGAGAGTGAGCCAAAACCGAGATTCTTCTCTAGACCACTTTGCTGCCAAAACAACAAAAAAACAAAACACTTTTATAGTGTAATTCTTCTGACCTGATGTGTGCCAACATTTTACCTGTTCCAACAAAACTCAAAAACACAGACTACAGGAATTTCTAGAAGGTTGTAGACTTTACCCCAAGCAAAACCGGGTTGGCAAAGTAGCTAGCCTCAGTGACGTCTGACTTGACAAAGGCGCACTCCACGATTGCTGTCTTCCCGTTGAGAGCTTCCATAACCTGCAAAGGAGTGTTTGATTCTTGACTTGAGAACAAAAATTCTGAAGCTGTTCAAATGGAGGCTGGCATAGTATTCAAGGGATAACAAGCAGGGTCCATGCAATGTTTTTGAAAAGTGGAAAAGGACCACAACATGCTCTCGAATATAAAGTATGTCCAACTCAGATACTTAAGAACATGTCTAATGCAAGATGTTTTTTACTTCAAAGGTATCCAACAGAGTAAGTGCAGAAATTCAGACGAGTTAAAAAAACAATCAAAAGTGACTTACTGCACTGGCAAACCTGGCAGCAGCCATTGCCATGGACAGTGTCGCCGAACCCTGTTAATGATGCAAAATGATCAAGACAACGGCATATTAATTAAAAAACCCAAACAAAATTAATTTTCTGCACAAGGCCAATAGGATGCTGTGTAAAGTTGTGAAAACTAGTACAACTGAAGGGCAAACTCGTGCTCATTTCACTGATCCACGGATGCTTCTAATATGTAGATTTGGGGATCAGTGCGTATGTGTGAAGGAAGGGTGGGGGGTTTGCTCAAAAAGTGAACCGTGCTTCTTCCCAGACAATTCATTACACTCTAAACTCCACAACAGGTCTAACCAATATTTTTTTCAGCTAAGAGGGAGCCAGTAAAGAAATACTGATCAGTATTTTACATGTATAAGATCTAATTAAGTTAGGCTGAATACAATCAAGCATCTCCAAAGTTCTGGATGAAACGGGGCAAGATTTTATGTCAGAAGGGTACTGCCAACCCCTCTTTTCCCCTTTTATAAATCATATTGATGAGCCAAGAACTTATCAGGAGCAGTAGTTGAACCTGTGACTTCCAGAACACCATGCCAGAGCTCCACCAACTGAGCTTTCCAGCCCTATATCAGTGGTTCTTCCCATTTGTTGACATCTTTGGTGGATTTTTATAATTACTATGTGAGTACCTAGACAAGTTTCCCAATAGAGTACATGTATTTGATCCAACAAGAGGCCATTACCAAAGTGACACCACACCCATGCCATATCCTTTAACTTGAGGCATATGTATTTGGCAAATCAAAACACTATTCTTGGTAAAAAATGCATTTAATATGCACATATCACCTGCATACAAGCAACATACTACTGCAATAATGGCTTCTGGACATATGACTTCCTTCACAATTTTTTTTTGTCACAAAATTCACAGATTGTTATGAATTCCTCAATACTTACGGCTCCTGCTTTTGCGTTGACAACTTCTGTTCCTGCGTTCTGAATACGATCAGTTAGTTTTACCAGCTCATCTTCAGTGAAGCTTACTTTGGGCTGTGTCTGGATATGAAATTGCACAAAGTGATGTCAACGTATCCACAAGATCACAATACCCCCTGAGGAGTTTTTCTCACACCCACTTTACCCCGATACAATGGACATTTCCCCTAAACCCACCAAAGGGAACACCATGCTCCCAACCAACTTCACGTCCTCTGTTCTGGAACCAAATTTGAACATTATTTCTTTCTGTCCATGTAATAATTGTGAAAAGTTTACTCATCCTGCATATGTTACATTTTGGTAGGTTTAGATGGGTACCTAAAAGCACGACTATCTGTGGGCAAAGCTCATACGCATTTTAACTGCCTGCAAAATGATCCATGCCTGACAAATTTGAAATTACTTCCGCAATTCACTTCAATGCTGATGGAAACAATTTCCAACTTGAAAAGCACTATCCCATCCAGCTTGAATCACCCCTTCACAAGCAAAGAGGAGACATGGTGGGAATGGTTTCATCTGAGCATCTGACGCACACGTGAACCTTCAAACAGATAAGGTAAGAGTGCTCTGTGAGTCCTTCATGTCCAAAACACTGTAACTGGCAAAGGGGTTGCTCCTGCATAGAATGGATGGCTTCCAGTTACCTGAGACAGCAGTGGGATGATAGTGATCCCCGAGTGCCCTCCAATGACCGGCACCGAGGTGGCAGTGACGTCCAGGCCCTTCAGCTCAGAGACGAATGTGTTGGATCGGACGATGTCCAGGGTGGTGACGCCAAATATGCGGGCCGGATCATATACTCCGGCTTTCTTGTAGATCTCAGAGCAGATGGGAACTGTCGAATTGACCTGAGTTGTCACACAATTTATGCATACACAAGATGGAAAGAAACGCACTTTGCTTAAGGTCCACTGCTGGAAAATGACTGCTTGGTGCTGTCCAGCTAACCTTGTTGATGTAATAGATGGTGACAGTTTAGAGTACTAACATACATTTTCTGTGCTAAAGCTTAAATTTCAGTCGAAGTTAAAGGTTCACAAAATGAGTGAGTGGGGCATCAGGTTGGAGTAAAGATTTTAAATCAGTACCAAACTACATTTTACCAGGAAATTTTTTTTCTGGGATTTTCCTCTCACCTCTATACCGTATTTCTTCTCATTTTCGTGACTGCAGGTTTTCGTCAGGTTTGTGCGTTTGAAAAAAATCCTTGGTTTCATTACAGACACAAAACTTTGCTCAATTTTTTCCCGCTTTATAAACATTGTATGCTTCCCTCAAATGGTACTCAACTTATTTCAAAAAATTGTTGTTAATTGTTTGCCTTACCGGGTTGGTGATGATCCCCATGATAGCCTTTGGGCAATACTTGGCTGCTGCTTCAGTCAGAGTAGCAACGATTGAGGCATTTGTGTTGAACAGGTCGTCTCTGGTCATTCCTACAGAAGCAGAGGGCAACGAAATAGGCAAATCTTCATGTGAAAATATCATAATACAAACAACAGAAAATGTCAGAATGAGAGTAATAGTTTTTCTCATGTTAATTCTATGACCGTGACTTTATCCACTTGGCACAGAAACTAGAAATGGCACTTGGCACAAGTCATGCTGATCATGCATTTGCAATAAATAGTCTTTGAATGCATGACAGGCATGTGCTTGATCCTGCTTGAAAAACGTCCCACTAGCTTGTCTCCTCTTTGCTGGCAAGGGGCCCTTCTAGTCAGAGCAGATTCACGGGCTCACAACTTTCTACACTTTGAGCATGCTGCAAAGGAAAGAGACTACGTCTTGATCTCTGAAGTGGATTCTTGTGCCCATTCTAAACTTTCTCGACAGCATTCTAAACTTTAGTAATACGCAGTAACTTTACCAAACAGCTTACCAGGCTTCCTGGGCATGCCAGCAGGGATGAGCACCAACTGGCTTCCCTCCAGGCACTGCTGTAGTTGTTCCATTCCCTGGTAACCAGTAACCTTGGCTGGAGTTTCAATATGGCTGAGGTCGGCAGCCACACCAGGTGTGTTGACGACATCGTAAAGTGCAAGGTTGCTCACCATTGGGTTCATCTTCAGCAGGAGGGACAATGGCTGGCCAATCCCACCAGCTGCACCCAGAACTGCTATTTTTTGCTCATTCTAGAGGAAAGAAAAAATGCATATTAAATGCAAACACAAGAGTTCCGCTTCCATTTTGCACTAATGCTGCAAAGGATGTTTAGTGGAATGTGTCCAATTTGATGATACTTGCAAAATGTATTTCTGGGCTGTTCATACTGGGATATCATATCATTCTAACCCCCAAAACAACAAAGTTACAACAATCATTCAAGAATAACAGGACTGGAGACAGGCTCCTGGACCGAAAACGAAAATAAAAACTTGCGTGTGCATTACATCATGTACTTGTAGCCACTCTTTCTGTTTTCAAATATTTGCTTCTGAAGGATTCTTTATTCCAGGACCTGAAAATATCGCCAACATAACTGGGAAGTTTTAAATCCATGTTAAGTTTAACCCTCTATAAAGTTCAGATGATCTTTAGGGCCCATAACCCTGCCACAGATACAGCTATGCAGCTAATTTAAAAGGACTGTCATGACTGTGTAGGGAAATTTTTGCTGTTTCTGCTGGTACAAGCTTTCTTCCATTTTTCCTTCAGAATGCATAAGTAATTGCTCTAAAAACAATTGTGTGTGATGCTGAAAAGTGACAACAGAACATGACCCCCTGAAAAAGTAAAAATTATCATTGTAAACTGACTTAACTCTTTAACGCATGAAGCAATGAAAATAATTTTAGCACCCTTGTAACTGTCCTGTTAACATGTCATACATGGTTGAAACTTAGCTTTGCAATATATCACAGTGGGAAGAGCTCCATAAACAGATACCAGAAGTTATTCCCTACAGTGACCTAGTAAGTAGTAGGCCTAGTATTAGCCTTTAGAAAATAAAAACATGTCCAGAAAAGTTCATTTTAGGAAGGATAAAACCAAGTCGCTTACTTCGAAAACACAGTTTTTCAGACCAGTTTCACAAGGTTTGTGCATGGGGAGTCAACATGGTCAAGTGGAACTCTTTCTGCCAAAGCAGTTACAAAATTTGTTGTGAATTTTGATTGTAAAATAGGCCTTCATAATGTATATTATTATTTGAAACAGTTTTGAATCTTCCACTTTCAGTTTTAAAACTGACAGCCTGACTCAACTCCATAGTAACAAGTTACATGTAGGCCTATGGATACCTACAACACGCTGTCCAGTCATAATGCCAGTTGCAGTTCAGTTCCACAGCGCCGGCACGCTGAGCGCGGCGAGGACCGGTCAACCTACCTGAGCAGACAGCGACAGCAATCGTTTGGCTTGGGCTGGCGTTCCCACCCTCCTCAGAAGAACACAAGATCTCAACATTTTCACTGCAATCTGAGAACAATCTATACTACAAAACCTCGCAATCGCATACAAAGGTGTGAATTCGAAATATATAGCGCAATTACAATGAAACGCAATTTTCAGCTGCCAAAACCGGCGAAGGGATGGAGAGGAAAGGTCGTGTCGTGGGTCACAGCGCAATCGCAATGCGCGTGCATAGAGGTTATTCCCACAATGCAGTTTTGCTGGAACTCCTTAGTAACTAACGCGGAAGTTTACAAGTCGTGTTTGCATAATTATGTGCGGCAGATGTCATGTGCACGTATGTGAAAAGAGCAGACGAATCGTAAGACTTGTGACTGTGAGCAATTTTTCTTGTTTCCCGGATAGAAATTATTGAAACTTTTCTCAAATGCTTCTGTGAATTTTCCACCGTAACGTCAAGTGTTTCTCTAAAAAAGGTGATAGTTTCCACTTCAAAAAAATCAATTTTACGTTTAGCTTGTCATAACTCGCGTACAGTCTGTGCACTTATTATAGCCTAGGTCAAGGTAGTGTCTATGGAGGCAAATAATATTGTATTTTTTCGAATACTTGTTTCCTTTTTGTCTTTGAGGTGATCTTGGAGAGGATATCATAAGAAACGTTTCGATATAAAGTTAGATTCCATTGGCATTATGGGACTATGCAAAGCAAAGAAAAACTGATTTGAAGCAGCACTATAGTGTTGCAGCACCTGCAACAGTAGGCCTAGGGCCGGGGCCTATATCCCGTTTGAGGAGTTAGTTTGCAGTATTTAGAAGAAGATGAAGGGATGTCTTGAGATGTTAGCTTTGGGTTTTTTGTCCCAGAAGAGCAAACCATGATTATTTTGTACACAAAACGAGTAGGCCTACAATTCGTATTTTCATAAAATATGCTCGATCACCTGAATGTTCTCTGAAATTGGTTGATTCTGCATGAATTTCCTACTTCCCTTTTGTGAAACAGTCTTTAACAACCATGAAAGGCGATTTGCTGATGGCAGAATATTTGGACTAAGATCGACTGATTGGGCAAAGATTGAGTGATCTCACAGATCAACCAATTGTGCCCAACATTGACATAGTTTACTAATGAAATGCCAATGGCAACAGTGACTTTCACAAGTTTATCATGCATGAAAGAAGGCTGTTGGCCTGCATTTATGCCACAGAAATACACCCAGTGTTGTCTTTGAAAATCAATGGATGAGCTAGAGAGCATAAGGGATGGGTTGGTTATCCAGTATTGTACATGTACATCAATTAATTCTTACTTGTGATTATCCAACAGATTTGAACCCTCATCCCTTGTTCCAAGTAAACCACCAGCACCATGGCTGGTCGAATTGTAATGTGCGAGCCAACAGAGCTATACAACATCCTTCAGCAGGCTACATCCTATCCATGCCTCAGTGATGCCAATTACCTCTTGCTACTAGGTAAGGTCGCATGGCATGAGCAGGACAGTGCCAGACGTAGTTTCATCATAAACTCAACAAACAGTGTATCTGAAATTTGTGAACGAGTATTGGTGGGCTATCAATCGCTGGATCTTCTGATGTGGTGCTTGTTAGGCCCACGTTTTACAATGAAACCACCGAAGTAAAAATCAACCTCACTGTTCACAAAGGATAATTTACAACAGATTGGGCTTAAAAGACGGGAATGCATGACTTGTGTCTTTTTGTACCGGTATGTTTTAGATCAAGGTTGATTAGACTTCTTTTCTTGGTTTGAGGCATTCACATACTACCAGCACTTCACTTGACATTACTTCCTTGCAGATGAAACAAGTCACCGTATTATATTCAAATTCTTTTTCAGAAGTGCTATTTCTCCCAAATGTTTTCAAATTGCAGATGCCCGGCAAACAAATGAGTATAATGAGAGTCACATCATCACATCCAAGAAAGCACCTCGGGTAATCGGCTGACTTGTCTTTAATTTTGTCCTCCATCATTTTTGATTTAATCTCAGTTCTAATCATGCTGAACTGAATTACATTTTACACGAATACTGGTGTGTTTATTGGAATGGAAGTGAGTCTTTTGGCTGTCTCTTTGTGCGTGTGTAATGTCCTCTTAAAGATTTTATTCTTTGCTTTTCAAATGTGTACATTTTATTAATATCAGAACTTTCAAAATTGACAACCACTCTGCCAAGGAATTTGTTTCACCAGGCTAAAGTCTCTGACGTGAAATTTTAACTTTTTGCTCTTTTTGTGGTTATTACAGTCAGCCTCAGGAGAATTCCTTGTTCCGTATGATGGTGAGCTGGAATGCAAAATGCATGTTGTGGTTCTAGACAGCAAAACGCGAAGCCTGAAAGATCAAGGTACTTTTGTTTTTAAAATGCCAGTTGGTATTTCAAAAGGCGAGATCACTCAACTTCAAGAACAAAACGTGTATGAAGCCGCTTGTGGCCAAGCAGACAGGGCAGAATTCATGCACACGTATTGCTAATCAAGTATAACCATGGGCATGCTTTACTTTGGGTATGCGCTATATGAACATTGAACTGGCTTTTTCTGAGACTTCTGCAGCTATATTGGTGTCTGTTTTACCAAGACAGTTGAAGCAGTCATTTTCTTCAGGTCTTTGTTAAAATGCAGCATTGTGCACATTATCATTGATTTGTGTACATTTTCTCATAAGTATGTACTTCGGCTCACAAACTTCTTTTCTGCTTCTGACCACTTTAATATTGGAAGTGCAGTAAAAACTTTTTTAAAGATAAATTTATCTTGTTTTCCATTCAGAACCTGCAATTGCATGCGCCCAAGTCATGTCAGAGATGGGCAGCCGCAATCCTGTCAAGGTCCTCCGGGGTGGCTACGAGGAGTTCTCGGCCCTCTACCCGTTCCTGCGAACGCAGAAGATCATCTATATGCCCAGGGAGCTGGACCAGCTCCAGCCCTACCCTGTGGAGGTGCTGCCCGGCAGGCTGTACCTGGGGAACTGTCAGCAGGCCTGCCGGACGTCCGTCAGGAAAGACCTGAAAATCAAGGCAGTAGTGTACCTGTCAGCAGAGCCTACAGAACTGTAAGGAACACGTAGTATTGGGTCACTTTTTGTGTCCTGAATGCAAGGCCTTTTATTCTTGTTTCTTTTACCGTGTTAGGTATTTTGTTTAATTTCTTGTGGTCATGAGTTTGTTTTGGTGTAGAACTCAGTATGGAAGTCCTGATGACTTAAAACTATAAAGAACAAGGACAATTTCATGAAATAGAAGTAGGCTGTCCAAAGTTCCAGGCTAAAAGGCAACTGCAACAGTAGATGGAACTGTCTCTACCAGCCAGTTAACGTAGCCTAGTTTCATGGCTCTGCTAACCACAAATTCCATGCTCATTTTCAGCATTTTATGCTAAAAGCGTGCTATTACTAAAATTCTTCGACAACCAAATAAGCATAGAATCCTTGGTTACAGGATTTGCACATGCATATAAATGATATAACCCAAATTTTCCTGCTAATCTGAGAAATATGCTAACCCTAAGTGCAGAATTTTATGGTGTAGTTCGTGGTGATATTTTTGCTAATGGTGAGCAGAGCCTCATGGCCAATCAGGCCCTGATCAGTGGTCACTTTGGGTACTTTTATTTATAGCAGACTTTTGCTAGTCTTTCAATTTTTGTTGCCTATCTACATCTTGTCTGTCACCCTTTCCTGTAATAAAACTGGAAGGTTTATAGATCAGTTCCATGAATTGACCTTCCATGAAGTGGCTTGTTGGCAACTGGCCAAGTACATGTGTACCATACAGAAAAGGTATCGTTTCATGACATTGCCAAAATGTTGCACACTTTGAGCAGGTCAGTCTATCAAGAAACACCAGCAAACATTACTAAGATTATTTACAACTGAAGTTGTGGGATTTTTTACTGAAAAGATTACTAAAAATGTAACGTTGTTTAGTGGTGAATCCTTTGTCTTTGTTTTTTAGAGACTGTGCCCTGAGCAGTGATCAGCTGCTTCACATTCCAGTCACAGATGACGAGGATGGGGACCTAGACCCTCACTTGAACCCAGCATGCCAATATCTGGGTAAGGTAGCATTTTCTGCGGAAAGAACTGACTGTTACGAGTTCAGTATCCAGCCTGTCCCTGGTTTTGTTACATGTCAGTTCCTTTGCCTAGTATACAGTATTCCAATTCTGTGCCAGGAATGTCCTAAGTTCCACAATGATCCTGCTGATCCAGTGCAGGGCATATTCCGGATTCTATCACTCACCTCTCAGATGGGGTGTCCAGCATATCTCATTTTCTGTCACTATGTATAAACAAGCACCGCAGGCAAGAGGGATTTTGAAAAGAACGGCTAACATTTCCTGATGTATTTGCTACGTCTAATTTCTTTGACTGCCACACAGAATCACTGTTCAACAGACTTACATGTATGTGGTGACCAAACGCGAACAAAAAACTCACTACCATGTGTTGGAAGCCAGCAATAACGGTTGTCAGGTTGCATGACTTTGGCCCTACCACACAGCTTGATTGTACTTACATGTTCTATTTTATGTGCAACCTTTCTTCTCAGCTGAGAAGTCGGGAATTATCACAAATGTTTAAGAGACATTTCTCTTTTATGTTTGCCACATAGGTGATGTGATAGGTTCCGAGCAGCCTGCCCTCGTATGCAGTGACCACGGTCTGAGCCGCAGTGTCTGTGTGGTGTTAGCCTTTCTCATGGTGTTCTACAAGTGGACACTGCAGGTGATTCAATCGATTCTCTTAACAGCAACTGGTCAAGTTTTAAGAGTCATTTTTTAGGAAGGAAAGCTAATATAATCTAGTTTTTTTAACGTAAACAAAAATTAAAACATGCCCATATTATTATATGTATACATGTTTTAAGGAATTTTTACACAAAGCTTTTATTTATTGGATGGACAAATACAATCACATTTTCACCACCCGGTACATGTTAGTAGTGGAAGCATTTTGCTAGTTATTGTTAGCAATAACAAAAAACGTGAAGGGTTACTTGACTGATACAGTGTCTGGCATGATGCTTCCATCTTTATTAGAAGCCTTCCTGAAGTTATGTGTCTGGGTACATCTTTTATCAGAGCCAATGCAAAAGTGTCGGGCTTGCACGTAGAACTCACCCTCAATCATCTCATTTTGGAAACAGCATTCTAAGTCTCGTAATTTTTTTTTAAATACAAAGTGTTCCCGTTGTCTCCCTCTCTATTCAGGAAGCCTACAAGCACCTTGCCTCTTGTAAAAGCAACATCCGTCCCCACCGCTCGTTTGTCCATCAGCTGTCCAAGTGGGAGAAGACTGTGTTTGGGGAGACCCTCACAGACATCAGTGAGCCAAACTTCTAGAAGTGCTGGAATTTCTGTATTTAAGTGATCAGATTCATCCTTAGTTTCCTCATCCTACGACGGGGAACAAGTGCAAAACTTTGAAGTTGATTCCTCATCTGGGATTCTGCTGACTGAAAGAACTATGGGCCCTGTCCCCGCCATGTCTGGATTCGGATAGTGATAGCTTTTCACAAATTTGAGTCTTTTCAAATGGTTGTCTTCAAAAGTTAACATTGGAAGGAGAAGCATCATTTGGGGAAGAGGGCAATTCAAACAAATGGAACCAAAGTTGTCAAACTTGAAGAAAAGAACCATTTCCCACCCCTGTGGGTTTACTTTGGTTCTTGGTGGTAACCAGAGATACGTGCAGAGTAGCTTTAAACATTAGATCATTTCATTCTTCAGTGACACACAAGTCTCCTACTAGCAGTCATGACTGCTCAGAGGAATGTGATCAAGGAATGCGCTAGATTGAGCTGTAGTTTACTTACATGGATCAAAGGGGAACCTAACGCAAGTGAACAAGCTCATGTCATGTTTGTAAGTCACCTTGCACAACCACATTATTTCCTTTCTGGCCTGCTTCAGCTTCCAACAAAAGCAAAACGCAAGCACAAGTGTATTCAGTTCTGAAATGTCACACATGTACCAGTACTTTAAATTTTCTCCAAAGCTTATACTGGTTGTGAATTGTTTATTTCATATTTCAGAAGTCAAGAACGGACTATTGTATAAAATCCTGTAGAATATTGTACATCTTTATTATAGTTGTGAGGTGTAATTCTTCAAAATGGTTGCAAACTTCCTGTTGTTCTCTTTGTAAATAAATATGGGTCCATTCCATTTTCACTCTTGTGGTAAATATCATCAGAGTCATCCGAGTTTTTAATTTCTATCTTAACTTTTACAAAGAAAAATTACAGAGATGGCATCCTAAGTGTATATGTGACCCACTCTGTGAAAATGAGTCTTAAGTTGCCACTTTTTGAGTACTCATTTGTATTGGAAAGGGTAAATTGAGTTCTTTTGATATATCACTCAGTTTGGCATCCTGATGAAAGTGGATACTCCATAGTGAAAAATGCTGTGGGTTCCTATTGATTTACACTGTGCAAAATTATTCTGAAGGACTTTTTACTCCAAAGTGGCTTTGGTGACTTAAGACTCATTTTCACACAGTGGGTCACATATGTATTTCTAAAAAAAATCCCCCTCTAAAAAGATAACGTCCACCTTGATGAAATTTTATGCCAATTTCAGAGTTGTTTTTGATTATCCTTTTCACATGCTTAACACATACCTGTAAAAAGAGCTGTTCAAGGAACAATAGTACCTGCGTATGTTGCCGCTATGGACAATACCTCCCTCCCAATGTCCTCCTGTGCCCCTCCCACCAGAAATTCCTCCGTCAACTCCCTCAGGGTCATGGCAATGCGTCTGTCTGCAATGGCCCCCCTCTGTATCCCATGATTCCACTGGTACCTCGCGGGGCCAGACAAGATCAGCAGACTCCGTGGGTGCAAGGGAATCCTAACTGCAATCCGAGCATCCTCGTTCCTTGGGGTGTGATGGCGAACAGGGGTCATGTCCAGATACGTTCCTGAGAGGAGGTTGATGGTGACCAGTCGCTCCCCCCACAGCCAGCTGTCATCCAGGTGAGGGTCAATGGCTGACCCTCTGTCGGGTCGGTAGTCCAGATTGCACAGTTCCACTGGAATGAAGTTACACAAACTATCAAGCTCATTCATTCGGTCAACAAAGGCCTTGATGAACGAGGGTAGGCCGGTGAACCCTGCCTTTTTGAGTTTCCTCCGTTTGAAGTTTACTTTGGGTCCATAATCCTGCAGGAGATTACAAAGTGAAGATGAATAATGTAAAGAATAAGAGCAATGTTATTTTTATTTCACCAAATACTTTCAAAAAGTCTCTTTGAAAAAGGCCACACGACCTTTCAACTCATCAGGATCTAGCTACTTGGATATGAACATATGTACATAAGTACTTCTTGTGAACTCTTCAGTTTCTAAACTGAACTCCGCAAAGATTCCTTGTAAAAATGGGCTTGAAGTTAGGATTAGTTATCTTTATATAAAAATAGGAATTCTTCATTTAGCTACCAAGTAACTGTAACCATTTCAGTTCTATGCCCTTTGCTAAATGTTCTACAATACTTCAAACATCTGCCAAATCCAAACAGGGTAAAAGGCTGAAACCAGGGTTATTTTTTTATTTCTTAAAAACTGGGTACAATTATTACACTACCATAAAGAAGAGACAAGGGGCATTTTCTTTGAGTTCAAATTCAATGGAACCCGAGACCTGTTTCATCCTCCCAGATTGAGATGGTTTCCACGGGGATACATCTATGGTCTTCACAGCCTCTGCCTCCTCCTCTTTGGAGATGAAATCTGGTATTACAGTAACACCCGGGAATTCTAATGTTCTCCCTGTGTGATCACAGGATGTGGCCCCCATGGTAGGAGGATTGGAGAAGTCTTCTATTCTTGTAGGTCCCCATGCTTTCTTACATCTCCAACAGTAGCAATACCATTCCCATGGCTCCTGTAGGTACGTGTACATTGAAAGCATAATTTTATTATTGTGCGAGAACAAATATGACAGCACTGACTAGCACAGAATACCCTCACAGAAGTGGGGGGCCTCGTTACCATGGAAAATCTTTCTCTGGCTCCATGCTTACACATGTACATTATCAGTACGACTTTGTTTTCAGGAGATGGTATTCAGACCTAGTACAATTTAAGACTTGATTTTCCTGTGATCCTCCACAGTGATGAAACACAAAAAAGAAGAAACATGCCAAAGTTTAATGTAGGATCTGAATTTAAAAAAATAATAATATTGCAATTGTTTAGAACGAGTAATGGATTCAAACCCACAACCTAATAGTAACTGGGAACAGCAAACAGATGTTAGTGCAATGTGTTCCTTCCTCCATGCTATGACTACGACAACGAGAATGGCACATTATCCACAGTGGCCTACCCCCACTGTGGGGTTCGTCGTCCACCGTGGTCCCACCATCTTCTCTTGATCTATGGTCCCACAAACGTTTGTCATGTTCGTGGGAGTGCGGCGGAAGAGGAACCCCACAGCTCGAGGGTAACCGTGGCCACCGCGCGTCGTTACCATGCTGGTTAGACATGTTAGAACATGTGGATGCTGAATGCGTAGCCTAAGTAGGGAACATACATGTAGACCATGCATTAGACCTACTTCTTCCACTCTTGAAAAATTCCTTGAAACGAGAGTTTCACGTTCACAAATTAAACATGTCCTTATGCCTTTACACGCACACGTTCCCTCAGATACTGCCATTTGTAGTTTCAGGACTGGGCGAAAAAGCCAAAAATTCAACCTGCGTCGATCACCCAGACCATACGCAATAACACGATCTTTGGTCAATCCATGGAGGTAGGAAAACACTCTAACCGGTCATGTCGCGTCGACGTCGGCTCCGCGAGACCGCTACCCGGTACCCGCCGCCCCCTCGCCGGCGCGGCGGCCTCGATAACTAAGCGATCAAACGTATGTAGCCCAAATTTTAGGAGTGTAACGCTGAAGGTAAGGCAACTGTAAAATAGCCCAATCCTCCCACTTGGGCTATCCGATTATGGGATGTTCTCAAAGAGGGCGCTTTCATTTATATACAGCGCCCTCGCATCTCAATTTTTCTCTTTTGTGAAAGCGACGCGGCGTTCACACTCTCGATCTCAACTGGTGACGTTTTTCCGAACGGATTATCTTCGAAAAGTTTTGGTTTTTTGCAAGATCATAACGCATAAGCTCCCATAAATGTCACAGATCGCTGCCTAATATGTAAGTATCAGATATGAGGCTAAATACAACATTAAACATTTGTATTTATTGTAGTAATAGGGGAATGCCAAACACGTCATTTCTACTCAATTTGGCCCGACATTTTTTCCTAGACGAGGGGCGCGTCTGCACCCCGTCATACATATTTCTCGGATTCAAAACTGCATTCACATTTTCTGAAATCCAAGGGAGTATCTTCAGTAGGCTTCACTGGGGTTTTAAGTGACTTCCGGGGTAATTTTACGGAGTGGTAAATACCAGTCTTTGCTTTTGATGGGAAAGGTCAGATCAAATTCACATGCCCAAGTTTCCATGCCATTCTTAGATCATTTCCGCCTGTAGGTGGCGCTGTTTTATGTTTAGGCACTGCTTATTCGTGTTATTCAAAACTTCAGGGAAGTGGGGGCCAATTATGAGTTTATTCCTTATGATATTCTGAATATTGATGTTTCAGTATTTACTCTCATTTTGCATGAGCTGTGAACTTTGAATGTTTGGACTTTCAAAAGATGTGAAGTATTCAAAGTTGAAGCTGGACCATTGGCTTTTTTCCATGTGCTTGTTTGCCTGTGTTTCACATCAGTTTCACCAATTAATAAGGCAGAGTCAATTCGAATAATTCACTATTCGGTTATTTGACCTTTAGTTCGATTGAATATCCAAATATTCAGTCATACCAACCAGCCAATTGTTGATGAACAAACCATACAAAATTGGGTGCAATAATGCACACAACTGTACATAATTATAATCACTATAATAGTGTTTGGGAGTAATCTCCAGCCGCACTTTAGCAAGAGACAAACATAACTTCTTTGCCCTGTTGAAAATTTCTATTCCTTTTAATTTGTAATGAATAATTTACTTTTTTAATTGTAAGATATATGTTGCTTTTCATTTGAATCTGCTTGATACAAGCCTCCATAGTGCAGTTTTTCTCACTTAAAACCAAAGAAAATTCTCCCTTCATTTTCATGAATTTTGCATTTGAATCTTCAAATTCGGAAAATGAGATTAAAGAAATGAGATTAAGTCGCCAGAAAATAATTAAGCACTTCGCATTCCAACAAAATTTCCATGTCTTGCCTGGTCTGATATCTTTCAAGTTTTCAAATTATAAGGTCTGTGCGTAATTTCGAAAAATGTGATCAATTATTGAATATTCAATATATGTAAAAAGAGTGACCGGTAAAAGTACTAATGATAACTTGTTTGGAGTTTGTTGTGGTTTCTTGTTGGTTTCTTTTCAATTATTCTGATATTTTTCAAAATATATTAATTTTTCTTTGTCCAGCTTAAAAGATGGCGGATAGCAATAATGTCCAGACTGAGCTAGCACCAACTGAACCTATCCTTGTGCCCCAGGCTGAGGAGGCTGCCCCCGTTTTGGTGGCAGAGGCTCCAATACAAGAGCCGACCACGGTGACAGATATTGAGCCTACTACACAACTCACTGGCCAGCCTGTGTCTCAGCAACCCTCGGAGCTCATCCCCGAAATCCCGGCCGATGCTGTTCCAGTCCTCCAGTCAGAGTGCGTTCCCCGGCTCCCGGTCACGGAAGCTGTCCCTGCACCCCAGGACCAGGCCCCTTACATCAAGGTGGACAGTGTCCCTCCCGAGCTCCTCCCAGAAACTCCAGCTGACAGTAGTGCGCCCATCCTCCAGTCCGAGCCTGTCTCACAAATTCCGGTCGAGGCCGTGCAAGTCGCTCAGGAGCTTGCCGCCCAAGTTGAGGGTGCCCCAGAGATGGTCATGGCTGCTGGTGATGCTGTCCTGACTGAAGCCACTCCACAGGATGCCCAACCTGTCTCTGAACAGGCTCCAGAGGGAGAATCCAGTAACACTGAGCAGGTGACTGAAACCCCAGTCGACCAGGCCCAGAGTCAGAATGCCATGCCCACCCTGGAGCCCCCTGCCAGCGTTCCAGCCTACAATCCCCAGCAGGCACCACCCCCTATCTCCCCGCCCAAGATCACCTCCTACACAGCGGTCCACACCACCACGGGCATCATGCGCTACACCCCGGGGATCATGTCGGCCCTGGCCGGCAAGTACTCCAACAGCAGCCAGCTTGTAGAGCAGCTGGTCCTCAACTGCGCCGGCTGCATCTCGCTCTCGGACATTCGTGTCCTGGACATGTCCGGCCGCAAGATCATGAACCTTGACCCAGCTGTGTTCTCCCGCATGCCCGACCTGGAGGAGCTTGACCTCTCCTTCAATAAAATCAAGGTATCTTGCCATCAGAACGGCAGCCAATAGCATCTGCAAATATAACCTATACATTGATCTTGAGCTTAGCAATAATATTCTTCACAACATATTTCCAACAGTCTTTCCATGTCCCAGAATTCATGAGGCATAACTTTCCAGAGACTCTGTAAATCCTCTCTGATCCACAGGAACTTGCAGGCGTAGTTTTGTACTCTAACTTTCAATGTCATGATATTTTTGTCCAGCATACTTAAATAGTGACACATTTTACCTTCCAAAATGGTGCACAATCCTCCCAAACCTAACCATGGAAAGTGAGGGAAACCTTTAAACACTGGGAGAAACCAGACTTTGAAATAATCAAATTGAAATTCCATGAAGCATTTTCATCATGTGTGGTAATTTCATTCCATTGGTTCTACTCTCGTGGCGTAGGGTTTTGATACACAAGTTGGACTGAAGAAGCTTCGCTATTTGAACCTGAAGAAGAACAGCCTGAAGAGTGTGCTCACCCTGGAACAGTTCCCCAACCTGGAGGAGTTGAACATTGAGGAGAATGACTTGAGCGTAAGGGCATTTAGACAGGAGAGATCCCCCAAGCACATATATATCCTAAGACCTCTGCCGAGTTTCGGCCGGCTGTTCCAACAGCCAGAATAACGGAGGTTTTTAGATCAACAAACCCAAATGTGTGCTGGATTTTTGCAGGACGCTGTACCACTTTGTTTCCTGCCCCATGCAAACCTTCAAACCTTACATGGTCAGGTTCTTCTTAAGTCACAAGAATTTTAAAGGCTCGTAATTATAATCACCTTTGCAACAAGTGGCACCATTTTTCAGTTGGGAACAGTTGCTCAGAATACTTAACATTGTCAAAGGTGAGGCTTTATGCCCAACCCCTGATACATGTCTTTGCAGAATTCTTCTGGAGTGCATGAATTTTACGGCACGCTCTTAATGTTTTGTAAGGATCATGGAGGGTGAGAGTGCATTTGTGTCTCCCCACTGCAGCCTCCGGACCAGTACATTGCCGTCTACCTGCTACCCAAGCTCAAGAAACTGAACGGGAAAGATGTGGACATCAGGGACACCATCCAGGCCATGGAAGACACGCTCAAAGACAGGGTGAGAACTCCCCCATCTCATTTTTTTTTCAGTTATCGGAACTAGGGAACCATTTCCCGCACTGGGTACCCTGAAGCCATCTCAGCACCCTGCTATTCCCCTTCAAGGTGCCCTGTTCTATTCTGCTGCGCTACACCATGTGAAATAGTAACTGGAACGTGATTTTCAGAACCATTAGTAGGGTTCAAAAGTGGTGATTTTTTATATCACGTTTTATAACAGTCAAATGATTAAAGGCAGGTGTGGTGCATTTCAGAAAACTTGTTTTGGAATTTGAAAGAGGTTTTTTGTCATAATACCAAAAACTTAACAAAGTATTTGACATTTTTAGTTAGGTGTTGGGTGGGGAGACATTTGTCACAGCCCAATCCACTGTTCTAATTGAGACCCCATGAGACCATCACAAGACCCCACAAGACCGACACAAGACCACAAGTCTGAATTCCAGTCGATGATGTGCAGCACAAGCATTCCTTTGTCATTGTTCAACTTGTCACTCGTGACTGGCCTAGTGTCCGTCTTGTGATGGTTCCGACTACAGCGCAATTCCAATCCTTGAACAAATGACAAGTCACAGGTCATCTGCAATTGGTAGAGTGAGGATATTGAATATTCCAGTGACAAAGGTGTCAGTGTTCTGAACATTAATCATGCCATTTTGATATCTATAGTGTGTATTGTTACACACATACAGTCATTACCATTTGCATAGCTTGTTCCTGATTATGTTTGCTCTGATATTTTATGCCGGCAACGTGGACGTCACAGATGCCTTGTGCATGCATTTGCAACAACTTAAAAGAAGGTTGATGCTAGGCTTGGGTGAATGTGATTATTTTCAATAGTTGTTTTTTTTCTCTTTTTTTTCTTTGCTGGTTGGGGGGGCGTGGTTTGCAGATGCTTAAAATCTGGAAGGAGGAGTTTGCGGCCCGGAACGAGATACCCCTCAACAAGGCAGAGACCCGAGCCCTGGAGATGGAGTTTGTCCAGCGTCTAAAGGAGTCGATCCAGTACGGCCCCAGCTCCCTGGCCGAGTTCTCCAATCACATGGTGAGGCCAGTCAGTGCACCTGCTCAAGTTGACTGTGATTGAATGCGATACAACCAGGGCTGTGCCAGATGTTCAAGTATTTATCAATTGAGATATTTTGATTTTCAAAATTGAATATTTGGAGATGAAATTAAATGAAATAAAAGAGAAAAAAATCAAATAGTTTGTTAGAAAATGACATTCTAAAAGCATATCTCAAGATGTTAGGAGTACATGTACACAGAAAGTTGTGTAGTCATGCACTACAGTAAGGCCAAAAAAACCTCTCCTTCCATTTTGGTAATTAATTACTTTTTTGTGACGTCTGATCTTGTTTGGACTAAGGGGAAGGAGTTAAATCACTTCTTTTTCCTTCAACTTCAAATCTGCATCCTTGCTTTCTGGAATCTGTGCCAAGTATGAAAAATATGTGTCAGGTGGTTTGCTGCCACGCTTTCAGGCACCCAACAACAAAATGCTTTGGGCAGTGTGGACATTAACGCTCGTGGTTCATAGGAAATTATTGAGATTATCTATGATCTAGGTATCTCCACTTAGTAGTGATATGGTAGTAATGTGATGTATTTGGATTTGCATCAACATTCTCAATAGCTGACAGTTCTTGCTGAGAAGCATGTAGCCTCCCAGACGGCCTACTGGCGCAAGACAGTCCCTGAGCTGATCCAGGGCTCAGCAGGCCAGGTCCCTGCAGCCGGCAACAAGGTCAGCATCAAGCGGCCCAACAAGGAGGAGGCTTCCGGTGATATCAGCCCGGTCAAGGCCGAACGGGGAGCCAACGAGGCCAACTCGCTGGCTGCCAGCCTGGAAGCGGCTGTCCTGGGCAAGGAAGCCGCACAGACTGACCCAGAGAAGGAGACCCCCATGGAGGACGACAGCACCCCTGAGGCACCTGTGGACTCGCCTGCCACGCCCGTCGGCACACCCAAGAAGTCCCCAGCAGGGAACAAGTCTCCTGCCCAGGCAGCTGGAAACAAGTCCCCTGCCCAGACTGCCGCCAGCTCCTCCCAGAAAACCACGCCCATTAAGGGCCCTGTCAAGGTGATTGTTGTGAAGAGGCCCATCTCGAAGGATGCCAGCACCACCAACGGGGAGGAGCCTAGTCCCAAGAAGATGAAGGAGGAAGAGGTCCCAATCAAAAGGAAGCGAGGTCGGCCCTTAGGCTCTGGAGGGAAGTACACCAAGAAAGAAAAGGCAGAAAGTGCGCCAAAGCCAAAAATGGCCGCACCAGCCAAAGTGACACCTGCTAAATCTCCGACTGTAAACAGCACAACCAAGAAGGACAAGGTAACAGTCCATTTCTGTTTCTTCAGTGAAAAGCACACTCTAACATTAGAGTCTGTCCATGGAAATTTATTATTTATTAATTTTTTCTTTACACTTGGGAGACTTACCAGTGTCTAAGCACTGTTTACCATAGGTGCCCACCAATTACAATCATTAAAAATTTATTGATATTAATTAAGAGTTACTTGACAAATAGTTACCAATCCAAGAGTACACACAGCACTAGAAACAAGATGCAAAAATATGAGGCACACAATAATTTCAAAACAAAAAAGCACTCAACGATGAGAGACAAGTACTGGAAACTTGCACAATATCAAAGACTAATGCTTACGAATGCATGTTCCCATAAGAATTTTTAAAACTCGCTACAGAAGTAGGAAGAGGACACTTCCATAATGTATGGAGAGCATTAAATGCACGGGCTCCACGAACCACAAATTTACATTGACCAGATTTAGTTTTACTAAATGGAACAAGGAAATCTTGTTGAAGGTTGGAAAACACTTTCCAGTGAGCTCTTACCACCTCATATCTTGCATTATCCAACACCTGATTTTGAGTGATGGATGTCAGCCTTTAACCCTAACACTCCTCAGTCCTCCAACAGGTGAAGGATTGAGGAGGGTAAGGGTTAATCAGGGAAAGTTGGCTGACTGTTGAGTTTCATCACGTTGTCTCTCTGGTTTCTTGTTGCACGTGCAGAAGATCTCCAGTGGTTACGAGGTGATCCACATGCTACGCTGCCATTCCATGGAGAACGACCCCACGGATGCCAAGACCAACGTTTGGAAATGTGCATTTGAACCCAGCTTAGAAAAACCGGGTGAGTGCATAGCACAGCTCATCTGTCACAAGAGACCCAAAATGTATGTTACAGAAGTACATGTAGTTGAACTAATTTTAGAAAAATTAAGATGTGTGAATGGCCACCACGTACAAGAGTAGTACCAGAAGGCTTAGCTACAAATATGAGACAAGCAACAAGCAATGATTGCCTCTGGACTATTTGCATTCAATAATTTGATTTAAGAATGAATCAGGAAAAACCCAAGTCTGTATTTGCTTAGTATGTACAGCATCCACTGCTGCATTTCAGAGATTCTGACATCAAATCCCATTCCTTTCAATTTCTTTCTCCTCCTCAAATACCAAAACATTTCTGCCTGGAACCTTCCTGAATTCTTCCAAACCCTCCGTTGTCGGTACATGCTTTGTATGCCAGCAGCATCGGTCTCTGTGGGAAAGTAAAAGTAGTTAGGCCCATCCTTCATCTGTCTTACAAAATCCTCGAAAATCTCGTGGGTTTTGAAGGTCTGGGAAGGGTCAGTAGGTCAACCAAATATTTGAATCCACGTGTGATGGAACAGAAATTCCGATTTGATGCAAACGGCTGTAAAGATCAATTTCCGGTGCAGCTGTCACGGAAACAAATTTGAAGTTGTTACCGTGTGTTCCTGTTCAGGTACTAGCAAGTGGACCGTTGCCTCGTGCGGTGGCAACACAGTGTGCATCACAGACTGCAGCACTGGCAAAGTGCTCAAGAAATACCAGCATGCCAAAGACAAAGAGGTAAGCCGGGATATGAAAGAAGTGACCAAATGCAAAGACTGTCGAGTCTTTTGGTTAAGAGATTGTGCCTGTTAAGTGCACTGATATGTCTATGGTCATCGAAGCACAGAATGGGACATCATGAAGCATGTTTTGGACCATGTACTCTGTGAAACACTGTACTCTGCATGCAGAACACTGCTGCAGGCTGAAAACACTCCAAGTGTCATTCCCAGTCACTGCCTGCACAGAAATGCCGTCCTGTCAGTGATTTGTTGTAAATTGGTGAAGGGCAGTCCATACCACTGCAAAAGTGTGCGGTAAAACAAATGACACATTTGTTGCACTTGAACAAAATGGGATTGTCAAGCCTCAGTGTCAAGTCATTGACAACGGTTAGTCTGTAAATAAACGACATACTGGAAACTCTTTAAAGCTGGTACTTGATATTAGAGGATTTTTAGAAGATTGGTTTATAATGCTAGAAATGGTTTCTAACCTCCCTTGGTCGCTGGGGGTTTACTTTTTTTGAGGGAGGCAGGGCATAACTTTATGTGCGGCTCACAATATGTATCATGAATCCTTATGTTCCAAAGCACTTTGTTTAACTTCTGCATCATGCCTCTTCTATCAGGAGTTCTACTGTGTTGCCTGGACAACCATCACCATGGAGCCAGAGGAGGGCAACTCCACCAGCACCAACATCCTGGCGGTGGCCGGCACGCGAGGCAGTGTCAAGCTCCTCCACACTACCCAGCTACTGTGCTACTCGGAGATCAAGGGTGACCGTCGACCCAGGCCCATCAACTCGTTGCTGTTTCACCCCGAACACCCCACCTGGCTGCTGTGTAAGTCCCTCCCCCCATAAAAGTTTTTTGATCAAGACTGTCATAAGACCAGACACATGACCAGTCACATGACGAGTCAGAGTTCACAAGGTGAACAGTGACAGAAGGAATGCGTTTGTTGCTTTTCATTTGAAGAGCCTGTGACATGAATTCAGGCAGGATGTCTAACATTAGTCTTGTAATGGTCTTGTAATGGTCTTAATGGGGCTTGACTACAACACTGTCAAACAGTTACTTAGAAACATTTTGGCTGAGCATATAATTTTTTGCACTAAGCAGATTTTTGTGCATAGCCTCCTTGAAGTTCTGCTCCCATTGTGACGGATGTCGCAGAGCAGGAAGAAATGCGAAGCAAATCTTCATACTTCAGCTTGGAAGCAGTCACAAGCGTTGAATATCACCAGTAAATTTTGGCTGGTAACCCGCTGTTGCTTATTAGCATCAACACTGAAAGTATATTTATAGTTACTCTGAGCAGGGGTTCCAAGACTATAGCTTCAACCACTTGAGACTTGCTTGTTATAAGAGGAATTTTTTTTCTTTGTTCAGGTGGATCTGAAGACATCATCATCTGGGATATTGGCATTCCAGAGGGACCAGAGTACAGGTGTAAAACCAAGTGAGTATAACAGCAACATCTGAAGAGACCTCTGGGTTCAATCTTTATGTTCAAATCAGTCAGTATCCCATGAAGACAGATATATAACACCATTTTTCAGCAGAAATCTGCACTTAAAAGCGACAACCCTAAAACTGTGGACCCATTCCATTCTGCCGTTCTCTATCTACTTCACTGCTAAAGGTTTCAGAAGTTTTAATAATGATATAAGGAGTTAAAATACTACAATATTTTTCAACCTGCAGAAATCATCTTTTGTGAATAGAACCCGCACAAACGTTGTACATGTGCAATACATACATATTTATGACGTGGGCCCAACAAGACATCTTTGTGAAGATATCCCCTCTGTTTGGGAATTTGTACCCCGGAAAAACTAAAGTTGTCTTACATTGTCTTAGGTAGTGCGTAATTCAAAATGAGTGTATCTAATCAAAGGTGTTGGCGTTGTACTCCAACAGAAAGATGTATCACCTGGCAGCACCTGGTCGCGTGCTGGGCCTCGTGGCACTGCCCTCGTCTGACTTTATCCTGGCTGGATGTGAAAACGGTTGCTACGGATGGAGGACGGACAGCAAGCAGCCCGTAGGGAAAAAGGGCAGGTACGTGAGATTCATGAATACCTGAGTATTCACAAGTATTTTACGCTACTGTTCTGTCTAAGTTGCAGATTGTGCACCAGTCTCCTTGATTTCTGTACCAAGCGTGGGTTTAATCAAGTAGACACCATACCCCTATTGCATACCATATTATGCTAGATACATTCAGTGGGTTTCATCTGGCTGGCATATTAGTTTTTTGGCTAAATCATGAGATATACGGTAAACTGCCTCAGGGGTGCCCACCCACAGTTAATGCTGTGGCATGCCATTTGCCTCTGTGACGAACATGACCTCAACTTTCTTCTCCCGACACATTGTCCTAAGTTTTATAGCAAACAGAATTTGGAGCATTAAAGAAAGGAAGTTCAAGCACAGCCTGTTTCTGTTTCAACTTTTCTATCAGACAAAATGGTGTTTAACCCCTTCGCTACGGAGGACTGCTACTACCGCACCATTGTGTGTGGATTAGTGCATACCACACATACAGTCTATTCACCATGCAGCTGCTGGTTCAATGGGGCCTGCTGCTGGACAAAGCCCTCCATTCAGGGCATACCACAGCTCAGCAGTCGCGGTCAAAATAGTCCCGCCGTGAAGGGGTTGAAGCAATGAACCTTTGGCATGCGTTGACTTGTTCATACTCCTGTAATTTCTGTCTCACTGATCAGAGGGCGTGCAAGTGAAAAAAGCCACATCATCGAACTAATTTGACATAGAAATTACAACCGTGCAGTTCTTGTGAAATGGTCAAAAAGTTGTTACAGGTGTAACTATTTTCTCGTATGTTACATTTTCCCCAAAGAAAAAGTGAAAGTCCAAGTTCTCTGACCGTAACGCTACATCTGAAAGTCTTTTCAATAACACATGCGCTTGTGAAAGCCACCAGCTGGTAATTAGTTACTATAGCAGCTCACAGCCAATACCCTTAGGTCTACACAGCCAATAAGTCTGTTCTCAGTTGGAATCCCTTGGTGGATTTGACAGGCCTCACTCAGTGGAGTTCCTCCTGCCCAGCAAGGCTCGTCTGGCGGAGGCCATCAAGGGAGACGAAGAAGAGGAAGAAGGGGAGGGAGACATGATTGACGGACTGGCCCTGCTCAACGACAAATTAGTTGGTAAGATATGAAAGACGTCAAGCGCACATGTATACGGACTGTATGTTGCGTTTGCGATTGGCCCTACTCAACCAGAAAGTCGGTGATAAGAGAAGACGTAAATGACTTTGGGTGCACGAGTTTATATGCACTTGACCATATGTTTGTCACCAACCCGACCCAGATGATTCAGTTGGCTTTCCAAGCATTTAACTTACTTGATAATGAGACTTCAGTTTTCATTTTTATGTCTGGAACCCCTATGGAATTGTTGTATTCTCGAGAATATTGCTATATTATATTTCCATCGTCCAGCACTTTGTGACTAGTTTGCTGTATATAAACATAATTACCTTACCTTCCTCCTGAAAGGTAGAAATTAGTGGTAATGTTCATGTTTATGCTTGAAACTGTGTAAATCGTAATCGTACCTTACCAACTCCAGGAGTTTTAATGATTCAGTTTTTCCCTCGCCCCACAGCCAGCAAGGTGGCCTGCGATGGGGCCATCCACGTCTGGAACCTGGTCGACGCGCTCAAGAAGAAGCCTAACAACAAGGAGATAGCCGTGACCCCGCAATGCACGATGCAGTGGTGTGACTCGGACAGCGTCTACCTGGACATTGGCACATGGCAAGGTGGGGTGATGGTGCACCAGTGTTAGCATTCAATGGGGCCAAAATTGTTGACCGTTGGAGTGTCATCGTCTGTCACAATGGAATAAATTCATCTGATGTGTTAATTTGATCTACAGATTGGAAATTGAATTATTTAACCTTAACCCCCCCTTGGCCCTTTTACTAGGAACCATCCTGAATCCTCTGACATCCTCCGATTTTCAACATAAAAAATTGCATTCAGCCCAAATCCTCCAAATCCTCTCAAATTTCTTGAAAATGTCAGTTGGAGGTGTGCCTAACTGCCCGAATCCTTCAAAATCCTCCAGCAATCCCTGTCATTATGTTGAGGCAGTGCGAATGGCACTCTTGAGCTGTGCAGTTGATTCAAAAGAAATATCAGGCTGAATTTGTGCTTGACTAAGCCATGACATTATCCATGACCTTCACATATGGCGTCCTTCGAAATCAGCCATGCATTTTTGCCATACACCCTGGCTCCTCCAAATTCCTCCCCTTTGCAGAAAAGGATTTTGGAGGATTTGCGAGGGTTAGGGTGAAGGGTTAATTATTTGCAGATGGTATTATTTTTGCTATAAAACTTTCAGAAAGATATTGTAGTCCACCCTTTATATTCAGCCAAATGTTGCAGATACGTGCACTGACTTCAGAGTCTATTAAACAATATATGTGCTATTTTTGGCCGCAGTGTCATATTTTTCAACACTTTGGGGCACACCCCTGGAATGATATTTGCTACCATAGTAGGCCGTGGACAGCTGTCAAGTTCAGGTTCAATGCACGGTCTGCTTCCGCAGACTTCTCAGACTTTGTATGTTTAAAACAAACAGGGTATTAACATGCATTAACATTAGCTAGAAGTAAGTTGGCACTTATGGTGGTTGAAATCATCAGGCTTGCCTGTATATACACATGGTCTGATAGTGTTTCCACGTGCTCCAGCGTGAGTCAGTTGATTTCCTGTCAGTGGTGGTATTCAAGTGAAGCTCAACGAGTTTTATTCGTGGCTGCTTCAGACTCAAATCGTTGCCCTGGTCCAACAGTGTCCTCATCGCTGTACGCTTTTGGCTTTCAATCCCTCAGGATGTGGGTCTCTGGTCAGTGGTGATGACGAGGGTAAGATCTGGGTCTATGACACCTCCAAGCTGCCCGTCAACCCGGTCAAATCGCCCACCACCAGGAAGCCCATGCACGTAAGTGTCTGCTTCAGGAGCATTCATTAACTTTCCTGCTGAGCATAAATGTTTCTTTTGGTGTTCAGAGAATGTCTAGAGTTCCAGCTGTTTAAGTCACGCTTACGAAAGCACCTGGCCTGTACATCACTCGAAATTCTATTAAGGTCTGTTCATTCGGCGTCACAGTCGAGTTTTGCCTGCAGGTGGCTGCTAAAACTATAGTTGGCTGTCGGTACAAAAGTAAATGAATAATTCTCGAAGTATTAAAAATCTTACGCAGCGATCAGAACAACGGATAATAATACAGGTAGTACTGAATAAATGAGAATGCAACCCAATTAAACTTAATGGGACAAACCTCCATTTTGAGCAAATTTGAGTTAAAGTCAAAACCAATCAAAAGGTGATATTTCTGCAAACTATGGCCAGCCATGCAAGTTGTAGACAAAATGAGAGTTGTCTATTGAGCAGTAAGCCTTTGTATGTCAAGTAAGCCTTTACCTACCTTTGTTCAACGGACTAGAGAGGTTTTCCTGGGGCCTATAAATGTCTATTTATTGTTCAGAGAATGTCCATGATTTATCACACATCCAAAAGGACCTTGCCTGTCTTTAACTGGGCAGTGGGGTACTGTAAAGTAACCCAGTGAGTGGACATGTGTTTGGCCACTGCTTGATTTTTCTACATACTCTCCATTCCACAACATGCCATGCTCCAAGAAAATTGAATGAAACCAGAAGTTATTTTGGAGGTATTCTTTGCTTAACAAACGTTTTGATCACATTTTTATTGAAACTAAGTTATGAAAATGTGGTGCTCTTTGAAAAAAGTGGCATTCAGAATTTGCAAAAAGGATTTCAGAAAGTCAGGTACCTGCCATTTTTGTGTCAGTTATTTTGCATCAAGGTACACCTCCCAGTTCTAGTTTATTATGAGACAAAATTCCACAGAATGCTAGATCACGTCTTCATTTCATTGGTTGGTTCCTCCCCTCCCCCATTCTAGTTACTGTACTGGCCTGACGAGCAGCCAAACGACAATGCTTCCACCTCCTCCAATGATCACATCATCATCAATGATGTAGCCATCAGCTCCGACTGTAAGTACATCGTGTCGGTCACCAACCGAAACGTCATCTGCATATGGCGGAAGCTATAGTAGGCTGATTGCACACAACGTATGGGAAGCTGTAGAAATATTGAAATCCCTTGTAATTTTGTTTTCTATAGGATTGTCCTGTGAGTAGCCAAATTTTGGGTTGGTTGAGAACGTTGAAAATGACTCTGTAGGGATCGCAGCATTTGACCACAATTATCACACAATTTTATCTGATGTTGGGAAAACTTTTAAGAGTGTTTACCTGTGGGTTGCCATTCGAAAACTTGGCTCAGTAGGTCCATGTGTGCCAACCAGGGCTCTAGAGTGGGAACCAGTTTGGAGCTGTTGCCCCTCGCATGCCAGCTTGGCTGGTAAAGTTTATTGGGGGGGATGTTGTGTTTATTCTGATGAGTATTACCCACTAGGCCCCTGTCGATCGGAAGCAATCATTATAACAGCAGAGTGATGTCAGAAATCATTCACAAAGCCTCCTGTTGTTTTGCGTATTCTGTAATTTTCACTCAGTATTTCTGGCCTGTGGTTTTGAAAAGTAGTGCAGGGAAATCCAAGAGAATTTATTTTACTATGAAGTGGACAGCTTTCTGTTGGTTTTTTAAAACTGAAATTTTTTGGTTCCAATTTGTTGGAGACTTTGTATGAGCGACTGAAGCACTGATAGCAGCAGCCATCTTGGTCATGTTCCAAGAGTGTGAATGAAAGAGTGCGCACTCCATTGTGAAGGTTGTCGGGGGCCTGTTTTTTTTTTTTTAGGGCTTCAGTGCCTCCTGCCATAAGTCCTGGTCTTTTTGCACTCAAAACCCAAGATGGCTGCCTTTTAATCTGTCATTTTGGTAGATGCTGATTTTTAATAATGTATAGAGGATTCAGATGGAACATCATTTTGTAATGACTGAATCGTGTAAAATTGTGAATGGGGTCAAATTTTGGAGGGAAAAATAATGGAATGCAAATGGAATGAAATGACTGAATAATGGGATCAGTTAATAACAAAGACCGTTCACTAACTCAGAGATTTCTCATGATGACATGGGTGAACACAATTTGTTTGGAGTAGCTGGATTGATCTGTGATGTAGTTGCTGAACAGACCGATTGCACCCATTAAGTCATGTGATCTGTAGTGGATATCAAACATAAGCAAGCATAACGTCCTGCCATGGCAAAGTGTGTCATAAGTGTCATTTACTACAAATAAAGCTGACAGTTATTTCTTAGACTACTGATGTGCTGAGCACTATATCAAAATTGGCATTACTTTTGGTTAACAACACTTACGACACATGTTGCTATGGAAGGATGCCATGTTTGTTGATGTTTGATACCCACTCTAGGTCACGTGACTATGCTGGCGCCATCGGTCTGTAGTAACTCCCCATTGGTCTGTTTGTTTGTTAATCACTACCTCCACTGTGGAGGCCTCTTGCACTTGTTAGTGCCCTTACCTATGAGACCACTCCCATGTAACCAGTTTCCTGAGCAAAGTCAAGGATGGTATCACTCTCTTGATATTGCCTCTCCCATTTTGATAAAATTTCACATGATTTTTAGAGAAAAATGACGGCAATTATGTGTTGTTAATCTGCCCATTCAAATAAAACAGTATGATTCGTGGATGAAACCCAGCAGAAAGCAAAGAAAAATCAATTTGTTCCAACAAAGTGTTCAAATACCTCAGTTAACAAGTTGTATATACTCAGTTTAATGCATGTTTTTCAAACAGGTAGAAATAATCATTCGTTGACAACTGATGGTGTTGAAGCATTGTACATAGCCTCTTTTTGGTTTTATTTGGTTTAATTTTTGTTTCATAACTGATCGGAAATTAATGCATTTGTGACTTTAATGACGCGGATCTTTCAGGTGAGCGTCTTGATGATGTTAGGTAGATCTCTACAGTTAGAACAAAGTCATAAACTCAAAGTTGTTTTTATTTGGCTTCTCAGTTATTTCTCTCTTTTTTGGCCACCGAGTTGTAGGTTCTAGACTGTCTTGTACAAAGTGTCTCCTAGATTTTTTAATGGAATTCATTTCTTTGATTTCAAGTTGTGTATGAGTTTTAGGAGGTTCTTTTTACTTTTTTTCCGGTAATTTTTCTGTCAGAAATGTTTGTGTTCTTAACAGTAGTTGCTGTGCATCATAATTTCCTGTTTTCAGAGTTTTGGGGAATCAATTAGTACTATAATCCTGTTCAGATAAGTCTGGAGCAATCATCTCATTTTTGTGAATTTCTGTATTTTTTAATCATATTTTTTATATCCTGCACCAGTGTTTGGAAACAACAATAAGTGTATTTTAGAAATTTAGATTCTGTGCTTTGTAGACACACATTGAAAAAATTACCTGTTTTTCCCCAAATCGGTTTGGATTGAGATTGGTTACGACAAAATCCCCAAAATCATGGTTTCAGTGTAACATTGGTTCCATGGAAAATTTTGAAAATTTTAACCAAACAAAAAGTTGGTTACCAACAACTGTGATATGCCAAGAGACCAAATGAAAGCTGTTTTGCATAATCTTTGCCCTGAGTGATGTTTGGCATTGCTTCTTTTCACGTCTAATCACCAGCAACGGTTCATGGTTTTTGTGCTGTTTTATGCACAGATTTAAATTTTAAACCGTTGTAATGCTGAAGTAGATTGGGGAACCGAGTAGACTCTCTGATATGCTCAAGATAAGTGTGATGCTGATATTCTTCAAACCTATGGAGTAATGGATGAGTTTGGTGACGTGACTCCAGGTTTTATTCCCAAGGTCCAGATGCGTTTGGGGACTTAGGTTCCCCTCTGCAGTCTCAGCTTGGCAGTTCTGACAGGTTTGGGTTTTTTTTAGCTGATGTAGAGGCCTTGCTGTAGTAAATGTGTGCAAAGTTGACCAGACATTTAGGAAACTCTTTGGCCTTGGCAAAATTATGAAGGGAGAATTATGTAAATGTGTAAAATCTTGAACATGGTCAGACTTGATCTGCTTTCATTCCAGTGAAACAAAATAAAGCATTGTATAAGAAAATAACACGCCCAGTATAACAGAGTTTGTATTTCAGAGAATAGACCACGGTAGACCTCTGAGGATATCGTCTGAGGTCTATTGTGTTTCTGGCAGTCCATGCGTTTTCTATAGGTGTATTATTTCTGGCTTTACCCAAGGAACTGAGATGTGGAAATATTGAGACTATTCTGTATTTGATCAAATATGGTCTACTTCGGTTTTTGGATTACACTTGGTCTTGCCCCTGACAGTTTACTGCTACATCTTATGTCATGGAAAATATACTTGCATTGTTCTGTAATTTCACAGTTTTCATGCCTCTCAAAACTGGCTTTCCATGACAGATATTAACTTCCTTAATGTTTTAGATGATTAAAAATCAATAACATCATAAGATGACAAGGTCTCAATACAAGAGTCGCAATACAAGAGTGGATATTATCTTATTTGTTTGTATGGTGGTGAAAAATTATCAAGGAAAAAACATTAAAAGCCTTTACCATGCTTATCCCAACACAATCCAACCAACAGAGGACCAAAACAGCATTTTTAAAATTTCTCACATATTCCCACTTTTATTCATCACATTTTTTCTTAATCTCTCAAATCAACAAAGTTTTTTTCATACTCTACAATATTGATTTCTTGATTCACCAATTACAAAGAATATTCCCATTGGAGAACATGGTTTTTAATCCTTTGAGAAATAAATAAAACATACATAAAGCCAGTAATGATTAAGGAATACTTGATGTTGCCTACAGCACACTACAAGATACAGTGAGAAGCGACATTTTTGCAGAAGCAGCATACCGAAACCCACTCTGCCCAATACTTCAAACGTCAACAAGTTTACCAAGTATTCCTTTTTCGTATTTTTTTCTCCTTTTGCTACTTTGGTACTTGACTAATAACATCTCTCATAATTTGTTCTTAGTTTGAATCTATTACTATGGTACAGTAATTACAAATAGAATTTTTTTTTATTCCCAACACCTAAATGCATATTTTCTTCCAACAATTTTGAAAAGTTGTTATAGAAATCCTCGAGCAAATGTACACACTTTACTTTTTAAAACCTGTTGATCGCCGCTGATTTTTGTCAGAAAGAAAAAACAAAACTAAATGTTCTCCCGCCTTCAGAAGAAGTTGCAGCACACAAATCATTTCAATTCAAAGCCCTCATTTTCTTTCTTGGGAAAGAAACTGACAGAAACTAGCGGGAAAAGTTTACCACAATGAAAGAAAGCGGCTTATTAATGTCTCATTTGGGAATTTTCTGATTCTTTCTAAAAATAAAATATTGCAAATCCATCCAAAATAGGAGAAAGATTTCACAATACGCAGTTGCACACATTCGTGTGGTTTCTCCCTATTGCTATTTTTTGTCTTGAAGATGAGACTGGCAGTTCAAACTTTACTGTCTTTTCTTCAATGCTGCATTAAAACACTGTTTCCTACAACAGCATTCTTTAGGGGCAAATTTCATCCTTGGGCAGATTAGCTTCCAAATCTCTTAATACATTTTTACAAAATGGGGCAAACTTATTGCAAGATCGTACTCCTCAACATATTTATGCACTGGTAATAAACACTGATACAGCAAGTTATTTGGTCTTATAAATAATGAGCACAAGTACTTTTATTAGTGTAGCTCAGAAACAATTCACCTAAAAAATTTAATTGCCTTTGTCATTGTTGTGAGATGAGATGACAACACATGGTCGTAGGTAGAGAACTTTTGTATTTTTGTGACTGCATTATTGAAATTTGATATCTAAAAGCCAGTGCTGCTGTCAAGTCCATCACAATGCCCCGTAAAATCACTAGTTATCCAGTCTTAAGTCAAGTTATAGGCTAGTCAACTAAATCTTAACAGAACATGAAGCATTTTCTGCATACTGTTCACCCTGTTAAATAAGACCGGTCTTGTAAAAGGTCTTGTGAAGGGACTTACAACAAACTCCACTGCAACACTGTCTAAAACAAACAGGTACTGAATCCACACTTGCATTACAGGCTGTCTTTAACACTTGGAAAACACCACGTGCTGAAGTGCAGGGAGTCTTTAAGACATAATTTTGCTGTTGTTCAACTCGCCACATGATACTGCAGGGGTTTGAAATAGCACAATAGATATTTGTTCCAAGGTCCGGAGAACCAAAGCTGCGGATTTCACACGAATTATAACGACATATTTGAACTCTCAGATGACTCCAATAGATTAAGGATTGCATACATCGCAGGTAAGCAACAATTGGAATATTTAACCTGACAATAACGGGTTTGTTTTTTTAAGACTTGTTCAGATTTGTTGAATCATTTCAGATACTGTCCCACTTTCGACCAGAAAAATAATCGTGTATCAATTATATTTTAAATTCTCCTTTAAACCTGGAAGTAACAGACCAATGCTTTTGTATTATGCACTTTACAAAAATCTCCAAGGGTTAAAAAAGCATATTTTGCTTAAAAAGTACAACTACATTTATTGCAATTCCTACCAAATATTCAGCCAAAACAGGTAATTAACTTCAAGTTCTTAACAAGGGGCGTTAACATTTTTTTATAGGCACCACTTATACAGTTCAGTTCTGCTATTTTTTTATTTCGTTTTGCTTATTACAAACTGGAAAAAGGACTAGACAGGTTGTGTCTAGTTCCTCATCAGTTGTAAGGGATGGCTGCCAAAAAAGGGAAAAAAATACAGCTACTGCAAAAAAAATCCAACAGATAAGGCTATATTCCCCCATGATAATAGGTTCAATATTCTGACACATATTCTTTCAAAAATATGTAACGAATTGTCTTTAGGTGGGTGAACCACTCTACAATTACTGTTCAGTTTTATACTAGACAGAAGCTGAAAGGTTTATCAAATTTCAGCTTTGCTTACGACTGCAGCTTCATCTCTGGTTCCTAAATCATTGAGAAGACTTTGTTCTTGAATGAGAGGGAAATACATGTACTCTGACCTTGCATTGAAAGATTTGATGTTCCTGAACCAGAAAATGACCAATACAATAACAAGGGACCTTACGGCTGGGGGCCAGAACAGACAGCTCAAAAGAAAGCTGAGTTTTGAAAAACCCCTCGATGTTTTCTGTGATTGCGCACAGTGCCCAATGCACTTTGAATGCAAGGTGCATGTTCTCATCTGTTGGTGTCTGATCATATGCCAAATAAAGGGACATTAAAAATGGGGTCTGGAGTTTCCTTTTTTTACACTTAAATACAAAAATGGTCCCACATATTTGAAAAAAGTTGTTATTCAATTTGCATATCGTTCGTGTTTAACAACACGTTTCAAAGTTCGATGAATTTGGGTCAATATAAAATTGGAAAAAAGCCTGATTTGCAGAACAGAAACAAGTTGCAGTGAAAGTTGCTGTTACATGCATCACTGTTTGAAACTGTACAATCATTTCATTTTTACATCATAATTTAATTCTCTAAATGATGGCTCCTGAAAAGGACCACATCATTTTTCGGAAAAAATACCTTGGTAAACACACACCACACACACATTACACGGAATGGAAAAAAAAAATTTAAAAAAGGAGAAAAATTGCCATTTTTTCATAAACACATAATTCAAAACTGATTTTTTTTCATACTATGTGTAGAATAAATATTGAAATAAACTACATTCTACAAAGATATTTACAAAAGATATATTAGTAGGTTTTCCTTTCTATGCTAGTAGTACATCGGACAGGTATATTTGTCAAGCACAATTTAAGTAGTATAAAGAGAGTAATGTCACAACATCGTGTTGGAACATGGACAAATATCTGTCTCTTGCAGCATAGTTTTGTAAAGCCATGAAGACGATTGAAGAGATGAAACAGTAGCCACTTATTCAACCCACAAAAAAACTGATTCTAAATCATCCGTTTGCAGGGACAATTTCGTCCTCTCTTTCCCAGCAGCATTGGCAATACGATGAAACTTTCAAAAATAATGCAGCACTGGCACCCGATCTTCACAAGTCACTTTACAAATCCTCTTGCAAAAAAGCACAATGAACACATTGAACAAAAAGGGGAAAAAAAACACACATTTGCAATCATGATATAAATATCCTGACAAATGGCACGTGATCTTTTTCTTCTTTCGTCCTACCAACACTCGGAACCTTCATCTACACACATGTACCTGACTTAACATACGACCTGTACAGCCAACACGCTGATCCAATCAAACATTTAGTGAAGTAAACTGTACACAAAAACATCAATGAGAACAAAAGTTTCAAGGAACCAAGAGACAACTAATTTTACAAAGTTTAAAACTGTACAGATTCTCTAAACGTTGGTAAAAATTGTAAACGTCCGTCACTCGTTTTCAGTTCATTGTTTATATACTAAGAAATCTTTTGTCCCAGTTGGGATGACATTCAGAAGTCAATGTTTCCCATCATACTAACACGATTATTTGCCGTCAAGACCAGGAAGTAATTCATCCTGATACTGCATTGCCCAGCTCTTCTTGTGTGTATATTCTTAGGTTTGTTTTTGCCCGAACCCTCTGACCGCTAGTGTCACAGTGCCTCTACCTCTCACTCAAAAGACTAAGGACTCTCTGCCAGAGCACATTCTCCAGCACAATCCATCTCATCTCAATGAGAGCAGCACCTCACAACCGAAGCAATCCACCCCTCCTACAGGTCCACAGACCTATTTACATTGAGGAAAGCTTTAAGACTGGAGCAGTGCATTGCTTCAGGGGGGTGAAAGGAGGGGCACAGCAAATATGTAACTCAATAGTGTGACTGAAATGGTGAAAGACATGAGGACCAAAATCTGCAAAAATCGAAATCTCTCCCTCAAAACTTTTGCATTTGTTTATAAAGCCAACGCTTCGCAGTAACTTCACCCTTATTCAAGCTTCCTGAACATTTGTGAATCAAACCTTTCCTAATGACAATCGAGACACTACAAATAAAACTTGAATGAACTTGCTCTTTCATAATTACTCAGCATACAAATGGGTTTCCCTTTTGTGACAACAATCCCGGATACAAATTGCACAATACACGTTGTATAAAAAAACAGTAACGATAAATAGAATTAGTATTACAACTAGGTTAGAACGAAGTCAGCACTGCACTGCCTAATCAGTGCAGGAGATATGGATCAAATCAAGAATCCCACCCCTCTGAAATACAGTGGTGTCTTCCTTGATAATAATGTCATAATAGGCAGATCCACTATTCAGAGGTAGTTTAATGATAAATCACTGCATATACATGTAACTTAGTAGCTCCCAGATTTTTGAATACTGTGCATTAGCTTTTCTCTCCCCAACAGTATTTATTTCAGCAAACTGCATTGTGTACTCGTAGAGTTTAACACCAATTGGGCAACCCAAGATGAGTTGCTACATACTGGACATGGCGACATCAATCAAAATAAAAAGCAACTTTGTGATTGGGCAGGGATGTGTGGAAGGTTCAAATTGTTTATGGGAGCTGATAAGAAAATAATGGCTCATGGCGTTGATAATTTTCCGCCTAATGGAACATCTTCTGCAGTAAAAATTGCCCAACCAAAAGTCCAAGGATTGCTATTAAAGCAACAAATCGAGTCAGTGAAGAACACATGCTTTTAAATAGCTAAACCAGTCTCTGGCCTGCACGCTTTATCCGATGTCTTATCTTACTTGCTACAAGGTAGTCTTATGTTGTCCCCAAAAAGGAGAATTTCTGCTTACTATTTAAGCTCAGGAACAAGCTAGAAAAATGCTTCCAGAAAGGGAATGCATGATATGCAAATTACCAGGAGCGCTTTTTTGAACACGATTAGCAGAAACATTAAATTGTTATGAGCAGGCCAGAATTCCCAAAGTGCAAGCCTCCATGGATGAATCCCTTTTCTATTTCAAAGATTAACTTCTGGCAGAAAGTCCGGAATGGCATATATTAATGGGTTGTCCTTACAACAAAAAATTGCAAGTGGTTTTCAGGGAAAAAAAAAAAAATTAAGCACAGCCAATGAGATGTTAAGTGCATTACGGACACATACAAAAAAGAGCTTACACATTTACTTGCTCAAATCTACAGTTTGTTCAATTAATTCTCTGAGCCAAAACAAAAAATCCCTACAACTTAGCACCATCTTTGGCAAACAGAACTGTACAAGACCCCCATATTGTTAAAACCCCCTCAAAATGACAGTCGATCCTTCTTGCAGTAACAGTTCACATAGGTTGCTCCACTCTTGTTTAGGGGTGATGCATAGATGTAATTAAACAAGACCTTTGATAACCAGCAGTTACTTCTAAGAGAATCAACCATCATTTACACACAAAAAGCATTAGTCGATGATTGACTTATTACAATAACTTATCCTCTTTAATTAGAGTACTTAAAAAAAAACCCACACATTTGCAACCGTCAGATCGAAAATTCAGTATCTCTACAATAATGCTGCATTGACACTGGAACTCGTAACCCTGGAGACAAACTCTCTAAATGAACTGCAGCATTCACTTTCGGGAGACAATGGGTACAGTATACAGAATTACTGCTGAATCAAATAATATTGCTTTATCGTACTCCAAACACAAGGATACAGTAATAAATACAGATACCACACGTTTAATGTGCATAGGGCTGGGTCCATCATGCCGTACACACAACAGGCGGTCCCGGATGAAGAGGGGGAACGTGGACGGGACACAACGTGGGGGGGGGGAGAGTAGGAGGGTGGGCACTGGCTTACCCCTGATACCCGTTGGAGACAGTAGGGGGGAGGAGTTACTCCCAGGGTTGAGGGGTGGGTGGCAATTCAGAGGCACTGGCTACTGATGAGCTGTTAAAAGAAAACAAGACATCAACAGCATTATTATTTCCTAACACGAACCAGACACGACAATTACTGACGCTTCAAACAAAAGGTAATGCAATTAGTTACCATGCTCACTTGCAATGCTAAGAAGTAGCATAGAAACTGAGATTTGCGCACAAAACACCGAAGCTTTTTTTTCTGGTAAGATTGCTAGAAGTGCTTCAAGTACCGCATTCCTTATTCCTTCATAAGAAAAAGATACATTCTCAGGCGTGAGAAAAATCATTAACACAGTTTTACTCGACACTAGTGCGACAACTGGACTCGGCCTTCATTTGAACAAACTTGTGCAGAGAAACTCCTAGGTCCTGTGAAACCCATGACCTAAATGAAATCTTACAACAAACTACAACAGTGCCCTCAAGAGGCTAATATCTTCAGCAAGGCTACGTCCCTTTCCAAATCACTTGGCTGTAGCTTGAAATCACACACAACCCTATGGGAAGGGACTGCAGCCACAACCACAGACTGGTGCCCAATTTCAAGCTGCCAGCCAGGTAATCCAGGCATGCCCACAGGCCCACTCATGACATTTTCTGTGGGTCTTGGTATGTCCGTTTCATCACTTCTCACCTGGCAAAGCTCTTGAAGGCAGCAGACTGGGGATTTATACAAAGGGGCACGCTGTTACCCTGGTGCCTGTCCGTAATGAATGTGTGTAGGGCCTCTGCAATGACATGACAAGAACATATATACAAAATTTGTTTCATCAACACATTGACTGCCAACTACAAGTATACTCATAGTAACAGGTGTACTGGGTTCTGGCACTACAAGTATACTCATGCAAAATGAAAGGCTATTGTAATGTAAATTGAGTACACTGACATCACTGAAGAACACAAAAATAAACTGCTGGCAGCGTGGAGGACTTACATCTGTAAAAAGCCCATGTTCAAACAGACACCTGAAAGGTACCCTGTTAAATATGTGCGCATGCATACAACGCTTGGCAAATGGGGAGCGCCGTGTGAAATTATACGAAGCAGTCAATGTGTTCAGTCGGAGGCAACGTGTACTTGGTATCAGCACTTTTATCAACTGGAGCTTTTCTAATCAAACCAGAAAGAACCAGACTCACACATTTTTATTGAACCTTGTCCTTGCTCTTTATGACAGCGTAACCAATTCCACAAATACTTTCCTGATCAAATGCTTTCACTTCCAGTTACCACACAACTCACAGCAAATTTATCCAAATTCATGGGAAAAAAACGGGTCAGAATGGAAAAACTGTCAAATTGTCACACTCACCTTTGACCTCATGCACACTGCACAACCCGTCCTCAAACTCCGAGCTGAACCGCTGCGGAGCTGCGGGCTCAAAGTCCGAGGTGTACTGCCGGCCCGCTGCCGTGTTGTGACAGCAGCGGCACATGCAGGTGTGGTAGCGTAACCGCCCTTCCTCTAAGTAGGGGTGGGTCAGCGCATCTGTACACGATATGCGCTTGTCCTATGAAGGTAAAGAATTTTAACTGTCAAGATGATGAAAGGGCTTCAGGTACCCTGTCTAAAAGTGAAATGCAGAATTTATGTTGTGGTTTTGAGCATTTTTTTTTAAGAGCTTAGTAGAATTGCAAAGCAATGCATGCAATATTGAGTACTCACTGACTAAACTTCAGGAATGCCTGCAGGGAGCATTTTCAATACTTTACTTGTGGTCTTTATCAACTCACCGGATTGAAGACCAGCATTCGACTCAGGAGATGGACAGCTTCATGCGTAGCCTGAGTTGACAGACTGTATAATGCTGACAGACAGGGCTGTGGGTAGAAGGATGTGCGCAATGTTCAGCAAATGGTCTGGGTTCCAAGACACGTGTGCAGAGGCATAAAGGGGTTCTGACTACCGTACCTCATAAGCAGCACAGTATCTAGCAATCTCAACAACACATAAAGTTTGAGCTCTCTGCTCCGTGCTTCAATTGTTTTCAGTATTGATACTGCTCAGCAAAGGCGACTGATAACACAGGCTAAGATTTCAATCAACATCTCATCATCAAATTAATGCAACTGCTATTCAAAATAACTAAGATTTTAAAAGTTTAGTTCAGAGACGTAGAAAGGTACCATAAATGTAAATAAACAGGAAACACATGGTTTAAAAGACTTCTGTACATCTGTTGTTCATTTTATTAATGCTCAATACATCAATAGTTGTAATGGTACAAATTAAGGATATTCATATTCTATACTGTAACCCTATTTGTTTCTACATTCATTAATATAACATTATGCCAGCGATGCAACTACGAATATGAACATCAGCAAGTTGTCAATTTACCATCTCTGAACGTGGCCAAACAAACTGACCCGTGTGACTGTACATCTACTCACAGGTTTGTGCGGTGACCGAAGTAGATGCGCTTTTGCGCCGTCACAAGCGTACTTCATGTCCTCCATGCTTGGGGTACCAAGGAGATCAGTGATGAGGTTCAGCTGTGCACAAATGGAGAGGAGAATGCAAGTTGAGAAGTCAGGTGCATCTTTAAGGGGAGAAAGTTTCCTCACGCACCAAATCGCTATGTTACAATGTGCCAAACGGAATGTGGAGATAAAGTGCATTTGAACAGACTGTACAAAATTCTATGACATCTTTACTTGTCATGAGCCACTGTGTGAAGCATAGTGAAACAAGAAACAAATTTGGAAATAGCATGAATCAACTCAGCAAGTTAAGTCTGAAAATAGTATCTAATAACTACATTCTGTTATTTCTACACAGTCTCTCTGTTTAAAAATCCAGTCATGTCAATGAATTGGTACGGCAGCCAATGTCTTTTTCAACAACAAAGCAACTTTTTTTCTAGTTAGTTATCTGAGTCAGTGGCTGAAAATCAACTCTCAACCAACTGTTCAAAGAGGGATGATCAAATGGGTTTCATTTTTCATACACAGTTGACAGCACTAATAAACATCTCCATCTTTATCAACATAAGCACGGCAGGCTTCTGCTTTCCTGAGCCGCACTTTTCATTTCTCAGATTTTAGTAAGATTCACTCTTTTCCTTTTAGTCAAACTGCTTTTCAAAGTTTAAAAGATCGATTTATGTCAGTTCTCTTTCACGTAATTCAAGTCCGTTAATATGCTTCATTCTTCGTAACAGCTTGGTGGTGAACCATTCATTCAATTGTTTAGCTTATCAAATGAAACTGAAACAACAAATGGATTGAGGCTGGGAGGAAGCGCAATAAATTAGAGTGCGAATTTCAGCACATCACTTGACTTCCCTAATATATTTGAGAAAGACTAATATCATCCTCCATCAGGGAGCCAGCGTAAATGCTCCCAAGGCCCGGCGTATTAACCGGTAATTGAGTTACAGCCCCATATTTGCTGTGTCAAGGCGGAACGAGCCAGCCCTCGATAAATCACTGTTTCCCGGCTGCCTCGGTGTCACTGCCAACACGGACAGCATTATGGAATTAACGGGTAGCCCGAGCCTGGTGGGTCCTGATTGTTTAAACAAAAAGGTAACAAACAGACACTTTAACTTTCAGCAGAAAGGCTGATCTACTGTAGTACTGTTTAGTGCACCATAAAGTGATCATAGTACCATCTACAATTTTTTAATTCCTTCAAATCTGATGTAGTGTCCAAAAAGTCCTTTTTGGGGAGGGGGGAGGTAAGCAAATCCTAAATTTAATTTGATTGCTGTTGGGAGTTAACAAATTCACACATCCATTCCTATGAAAAATAGTATGCAAATTCACCAAAGTGAAGCGAGACTCTCAGGGGAATCATGTTACCTTCTTGAAATGCCACGATTCTGTGATGCCCTCCTCTGTAAGCGCAGAGGAAACACTGGCTAAAAAAAGTCCCATCCGCATTTGAAACGAACTACATGTTTTTCCAAGTTTTTCATTGATTTTCTAATTGTGGGATCTGTTACTCTAAAAAGACAGCAACCACCTCTTTTGTAGTTAGGCTCTTGCGGTTCTTCAATGCAAACACGCACAGGAAAGAGGAATGAAGTGCTATCACTGAGCCTGCATTAAATTCTTGAAAACGAGTCATTTTTACAAATAACGATCTCTCACTCTTATCTCTGCTATTATACCTGGTAGGAGAAGGCCACAAACATTAATACGACAGAATCCGAAATCAGCTTTCCTGCCATATCTGTTAAGCCTTTTCAAAGGTCATTTTCAGACTTGTAGAGTGAGGAGGCTTACTGTCACCATTAATAAGATTTATCAGAGTCTAACTACAAGTACACTCACTGTCTTAATGGCTCAAACTACTTTGCCTTCAAAAACGTTTTCCTTAAAAAAAGGAACACGTAATTAATACAAACTGACAGAACATGCTACAGACAGACATCAGACAGAACATGCTCCAGTACATGTACTTTAACCCTAACCCTCTGGGTTTTCCCGGTATCTTGCTGAATGCAGCGTATGCCAAATTATGCCAAGCCATCAACCCCTACCTTTCCAAGAACCTTCAAACTCCACAAGTTTCACAAGTTTTTACAGAAGACAGGGCTCTGCAGATTTGAGGTACTAGTATGTTGAGCCCAGCTACTGTTACACTTTACGCTGTGCTTGATACCCCTAAATGTTACTGGACAAAGATATGAGCCAATGGTTTTCTGTCCAGATTAAGAGCAGTTTCTAGCGAAAATGGCTCACAGTTCGATTCGTCCAAAATATTTTAAAACTCTTTGATGGCTTCAGCCCCATTTCACATCTTACCTGGGTAACTGGACTCTGTGCCTGAAACAGAATCCTTCTTCCCAGGAGCTCGGCAAAGATGCAGCCGACCGACCAGACGTCCACAGATGACCCATAGTGTTTGCTGCCCACGAGGATCTCTGGCGCACGGTAGTACTGTGTGATGACCTCTTGAGTCATGTGTTTGTTGGTGTCTGGTTCCTCCAGGCGGGCCAGCCCAAAATCACAAATCTGTCAATTGTAGAAAAAAAGTTCGGGGCATATGTAAAAAAGAAGTCAGGACTTAATTTTTTTCTGATGATGATATGGGCTATGCACGACAGTGATGTAGTCAACAGTTTCTGCCATTTCCATCATAAGTCTATCATACATGTCAGTCATGAAGTCTTCAGCCCAATCACAGGCTGATAAATGAACTACATGTACACTTGACAAAAGCATTCCTTTGTCATTCACCCTGCTACTCATAACTGGTCTTGTGGCAGGACTTGGGATTAGACTCGTGCAGGAAATTGTGAAAGGATTTGACTACAAACTCAACTACAGTGGTAATTATGAAAAAATTACCTCCCGTGCAGCTGGCAGGTAATTTTAGTGAGGGAAGGGTGAGAAATCAACCAATCGGAGGACATGTTACATAATAATGAATGCATTTTTGTGTCTGTTTTAAGCTTCTTCACATTACCGTGAATATCTTGGACCAAACCAAAAAAAATATGTACATGACATTATAAAGTGTATCGAAATGTCACTTTATCAATGCTACAATGCACTTAACACATATTTTAAATGGTACCAAAATCACACAAAATGCATGGAAACACTATTTATGATGTCTACTGCACTTAAGGAGCTTACTATCAGAAAAGTCATGCACAAACTGAAGAGGTCGTTTAGAGACTAACCTTGAGTATGCAGTTACTGTTAACAAGAAGGTTGCCAGGTTTGATATCCCTGTGCAGAATACCAGCCGAGTGAAGATACTTCAGCCCTGAGCAAAAACCCAAAGAACAAAAAAATTTGATGAGATACACGTGAAACGTGAACTGTGAATGCCCATCCCTTTGTTGCCTGAAACACAAATCAAATATTTGGCAGTGAATTCCTTGACCTCGACCGGTACCTCTGGCAAACGGCGACCTTCGAGGGAATGACCTGCAAATGGCGATCCATCTGATCAGTGAGATATGGCAGATTACATTTTTTTTAATATAGCTCTTTACCATGCCCAAGGTTTATGATTGAGGGTCTGATAATGCTAGGGGTCAGTTCCATGCTGGACTTGCTAAGCTCAGAATTATTTACAGCCAGCAGAGGGAACTTTACTGGCCTGGCCACAGGTTTACTATTTGCAAGTTTTTGGCACCACTGCTTTTATTCTGAGCCTAGCCAAAATTAGAATCCATTACTGCAACAGCACCGTGCTTGCAGACAGGTGAAAACTGGTATGCACGCTTTACAAGCCTGTTCGACCAATATGATGTTGTGACTAGCCTACATTAAATTCACACGTGCATCAAGTTACGCACCGCTTGTGATGCCATCGCAGCAATGCCATCTCCTTGGATTAGTCTAGGGGTTGGCACAAAGTTCCTGTGATCAAGCCAGAATCTCTGATTGCATGGACCAATCAATGTACAACAAGAACTGCTTAGACCAGGGGAGAATTCAAAGGCTCTGCTGACATGGACATCTTTGCCAATGACTGCCAGTTTGTGAAAGATCAGACTCACAAGTAAAAGCTCAGACTCACAAGTAACAGTGAGCATGTGCAAGCCAACATTTCAACAAGCCATATGAAATGCAAAACTAATCTGTCTAGAATTATCCAAAGAAATTATCAAATATTCTTCACTAACGTAGCAGAGTAAATTGAAGTGAACTGATGTACTGTTGGTGTAACATACAAAAGACCCCTTAATAAAAAGGTTTCTGAATTTGGGCATCTAATAATTAGAGCTATCCTTGGTTGACAAATAAAGTCTGATACACCGGTGAAATACAAACCCTCTATACTTTGTCCTTTGACTTTTCCACTTTAGCTAACCTACAATGTGTACCAGTAATCCTTAAACAAAATCTCACATATCATTACACCCAAGCTACTGCATTCAATCAAACCACCCAAAACAAAAACAAAACCAGCAACAAAAATCAAAGAATGACAAAAAGGGTCAGAAGGATCAATGCTGTTGCTAGGAATCCCACTCACCTCTTAGAATTTGATAGAGGAAGACCTTGACGTGGTCCGAGCTGAGAGATTGTGGAGAGACGATGATCTTATGAAGGTCGCTTTGGAGAAGCTCTGTCACAACGTATCTAGTGACAGGAGTTCAGGAAATTCTACCCTTTCTATAATTTTTCCTCTGTGACCTTAACTTATGGATTATGTGAGCTTTCCTTTCCTTCCCGAGTGAGACAAAAATTACATTTTCTCTACTTGCCGAGTCAAAGGCAATGTGGTTAATGACCTCGGCAGCAAATGCTTTGAACAGAAATGCTTGATGGAGGTACCAGTACACAGACTCCATCCATCTGTGTACAAAATCTGGGGTTTGATGCACTTATGCAAATAATGCACACCTTTGTAGCACTTACATATAGCCAAGTGACATATACATGTATGCACAGAATGATCACAATAACATTGGTGCTAGCGAAACAGGCGCCAGCCACTTCCAATTCTAGTTAAGAAATTTCTGTGCTGGTCACGGCTTTGACGCAATACATGTACACTGTACATACATTCTACAAGTACACATGTAGATATTGCAGATTTAAAAGGATTCAATATTGCCCTAATACAAGATTCTCAGTGGACTTAATTTTTGCCTTGAGTGTAAAAAAGTGGCAGTGATTTTCTGTAATGTTTGATCTGGGAAAAAGAAGGATAGTGTTTTTTTACACAGATAAGAACTAACAATCACATGTTAGTACACCCAGTATGCCCTGCTCCAACAATGCCACGTTCAATCATTTCTAACATTTTACAAACATTTTTCTGTCAATCCTAATAGTTTATTTGGAGAAACTGGTTGAGAAAATAGCTCTTTACATGTCTGGACATATCAATGCTGCTTTTCTCAAAGCATTCCTGATGCACTGTATACCCACCGCCTGAATGTATCAACTCTAAAAACAGGAAATGTAAGTGAAATGCAAGCTCCTCTCATCAGGAGGAAATTGCCACATCTTTATACAAAATACAAACCAAATGCACTTGTAAAAGGAATATGCCCAGAGCTGTGCTGAGTACAAAACAGATTCCAAAACAAAACAAATATGGCCATGAAAGAGAGAGAACCATGCAGGGTTCTCCCCACGTACATGTACAAACTTGCGTATCGGACCAGATACGCAATTATTTCTGCCCGATACGTAAAAAATGGGTTGATACCCATTTATTCATCCCCGCTACGCACAATACAATTATGATAGTGTGGTTCAGACTTATCTTTTTCGGGGTCCTTGGGCAGGCCCCGAACTCCACACCATGGCTTCGCAAAATGTTGGTAAACCACAATGGAAATCCCCACAGTTTTGAAAAATCCTGGGAAGAACCCTGCAACGGTTATGTTAGAATTCGACAGCAGTTGAAAAGACAAATAATAATACTTCACAACATGAATGCTCTTCAAAAGCAGTACATCAACAAAATAAACTGCGGGAATTTAAAATTTATAAAGATAAATTTCACAAATTTCCAAATATTTGAATGAATACTTAACATCACAGTATATTTGCAACTATCGTCGGCTTACACCTGTTAATTAGGAGTGCAATCCTAAAGACATACATTTAAACAACAACCAAGGGGGAACAGAGAATTACTGTTCTCATTCCCTGAAGTTGCTGATACATCTAGTGTGACGGCAGGCTACACGACACACTAGGCAAGAAGCACGGAATTAGGTGTATTTATTGAGAGGTTTCTGAGGGAAATTTCACGGATGGATGAAACAGAATCCGCACAGATTGCTGGGAGCACATGCAGCCAGGCAGGCAGACACAAGGAAAAAAATGTATGATCGGGAGATAGATTGGGAAACCATCCCTCGACCAAGACAAGTTCAGACATGGAAAATCAATCAGAAATAATGGCCATCTTTTCAGGCTAGAGGAGCCATACCCCACCCCCCCCAAAAAAAGTTGCAGAACTGAGACAAGTGTTTTGGCGACAATTATCGAAAGCTTTTAAAGTCCTTCTGCCAGGAAGGAAGGGATTAGGACAACACGGTAACAATGTCAGAAATTGGTGTAAAACATATTATCAACACATGTACACAGCATATTTCCTGGAATTTTCCACCTTTTACAATTCCACATTAACTACTCTCCTTAAAAACACTTCGACAGAGTAAAGTTACCGGTAAGTTTGCCACGTATGTGACAAAACTAATGTGATTTGCATGATTTAGTATAAAAAAAATCCTGCAATTGACACTCAAAGCATTCATTGAGGGATCCAGGGATGGTAGTAGGGAGGACAGTTCTCCACAACCCCTATCCTAAATGTTTTAGCCATCTTGTATCATTTAATGCGGAGGTACATGTATTTTGCTTTTCCTGTGAGACTATATGTATTTCATTTCCCTTCTGAGGCTTTTTCCCTGAAGTGTTTGAAAAGCCCCATAATTTAGACTTGCATTGAAAAATACCCACAGAGGACTCTTTGGGCATTCTGCTCTCTCCCCCAAACAACCTGGCTACCCCCCTCCCCCCAAAAAACCTACTTTGTTCTGCCCTTGGAAGCATTTGTAGTGCCTGGTGAGTGATTTGTTACGGTTCAAATTTCCAAGTCCTAAATCCTCTAAAATCCAACACTTTACAGTAAACCAGTACCAAGAGCACCTGCTTTGCTTAACAACACTGGGACATCAAGTCCTATGGTACATCTACACGTACAGTACAAGAAAGCTTCTCTGTGATGTGGTTACAAACTCAAGAAACTGGCATGTGGGTAATTCCAGAAATAAGGGGTCCAAAAGTGTGACATTTTTGTGTCCCTGTTACATCTGACCTTTGTTATTCGACATGGAAATATCGTCAGAATCAATTTCAAACTACAGTATTACTATTTGTTTGGCAGGAAATTTGCATGAATTCATCACTCTTGGAACACAGACACAGACAAAACATGTTCTGAACTCGCAAAATCATATGTCAGATGTGATAGGAACCCCTAACTTCTGGAATTACCCATGTAGATTTTGGCAGATATCGCAGTGAGGCTTTAGCTGGGGGGTGAACTGGGTTTATTGATTTACGTAACAGGGTCGCATTGGGGATGAAACTGCAGTTGAATTAAAATTGAATAAGGATGGCTCCCATGTAGGACTGAGCTGGAATTCAATTAGGAGGGATTTGGGGATGAACTTGGTTTGAAAGAAGATTGAACTGGGGTTATGCTAGGATTTAGGTGGGGTTAAAAAGGGATGGAGGTTCCAGTACTCTTTATGTAAAGGCTAACTTGAGGTTGACTCAAGCTTATACGTTGAACTGTGCTCTAATCACCATTGTCAACAGCTCCTGAACAACCAGCAGTAAGTACAGTTTTGTACAATAAGACTGCACAATTACAGTAAACTAAATGTTTTCTGTTTCTGAAAGGATACATTTCTTCAAAGTAATCTAGATGAGGGGGTTGAAGTATGTCCAGAGCACGGAGCACCTGTCAAGAGAAAGATGGTAATCAATCAATAGAATACTGTAGCACTTCTTTAGTATGAACACTGGGTCTGGGTTGTCAGTAGCCACTGACAGTATATACTTTCACAAATTTAGGCTCTAACCAATACGGTCCTCAATCCTCGAACAGTTGAAGGATTGAGGACTGTTGGGGACAATCCTGAGCAACGGGTGAGGGGGGAAATGCAATTTTCCACTGCATGAAGAAAGTGTGTGGCTTCTAAAAAAATGTGCCTTTTGCTAAGATTTGGGCTATTATTTGAGATTTGCCACTCCAGGACCCTATTCAGGGTTTTTTGGAGGGGGAGGGGTACCTGAACATTATTTGCCGATATTAACATAAAGCAGAAACATAATCTACTCTCCAAGAATTGAAGGCACCTGTACTTCAATAGTGAGAAATAATACAAATATGCAGTTTTAAGTACCTGGTACATGTACATGTGGCATTAATCTAGGAATGTTTCCCATTTGTGATTACAAATCATATATTAAAATGTAAAAATTCTTCCGTACTCTCAACAAAAAATTAAAAACCAGGAGATAACCACCCCCTCCAAAAAACACCCACAAAATTGTCTGCAATTTATTGCCAATCCAGTGCAGGCAGGCTCTTAGGAGTCCGCACGTACACAGGCTGGAAATGAATTATTCTAGGCGAAATACATGTCCAGTCCTACATGTACATGTGCAGTAATCAGACTAATGCTTACAGCCTCACACACTCGCACACATGACAACAAAAAAGGAACCCTGGGGCTTCACTAAATTAACAACACACACGCCAAGGAACTAGCCCTAAATATACACATTTAAGCCAAAAAAATGACTCGCAACCCACACATTTACATGCATTGCAAATGCAATTCCAATTTTTCTTTGCTTTGTAGCTATTCCAAATATGCCCATCATAATGATGGCTGCCTTCCTCTAATGATGTACCCTTATCACTCCACCGAGGTCATATTAGTTTTCAAACCAGGAAATCCAACCATTTTGGAGTACAATTATTTACACTACACGGTAACAAGAGGTTCTTGAATGGGTAATTACAAGCGCAATGAATTCTGTGATAACGCTTTTCATTGCACATACTGCTACCTGTATCTGACTTGTTATATCTACAGATTACAACGGACACTTTAATTTCAAGCTGTGGAACAGTTCAGAGCAATCATGAACCAATTCCCTATTTCATGCCTTCGCTACAATTGTGTACACGTACATGTATACATGTATGACCTGACGGTGCATTAATACGTGAACATGCGCTGAGTACAACTGTACACGTGTGATTCTATTTAGAAATATTCACACTGCTGTAGCCTCGATTTCCTTTCAACCTGTCCACAGTGTTTGTAACCCTCAGTAACAAGTAAATGAACACATGCACAATTTCAAAGACCCTTAATTTTTTTGAATCAAAAGCTGTGAGTGGAGAGATCTCATTCATAAATTGAGCACCAGGATGGTGCAGAGTTCAATGCAATCCCCTATTACTGAGGTGTTACAAGTAATGCAACGAAATGTATTCATACATGTAACCAGCTTAAATGAAACCCTTAGCAAGTCTACCCCCCACAATCCCATCCCCCAAGACATATGTAACACATTCTGCACATCAGAAATTCAAATGCGCCATGACTGAATTGGCTGTTTTTCAAGGATGCATTACGCAGACATGTCGTACATGTGTAGCTACTCTGTACAATATCCCTGATAACGTGATTGGCGGAACTCCGCTGCTGCACATCTACACAAACGAGTCATTATAAATTTAAGGACATTCCAACCATTCTTTTTTTTTTACATTTTTTTTTTTTCAACAAATTGCAAAAAACCCGAAGTGACAAAAATGCATGAGAGGATTCAACACCCTTGGGGGCTCAGTGTACATGTGCATGTATTTGGGGAGGAAAACAAATACTGATTCCTGCCAAAACGATGGTCCACACAGAAATACAATACACAAATTGGGAAGCTTTCTGTGAAAATACTTGTGAAGAACTTTCAAATACATACCTCTGGCATTTCTGGTTGGTGAGTAATGATGCCAAACATGTATGATGCGTTCAGGTCGAGCAGAAATGTTAATATGCTAACAAACATTTGAATCACTTCATTCTGATTCAATTCCAGAATTCAAAGTGTCAACTCTGAATGAAAACCATAAGGGGAAGGGGTGGAGGTATCAGGTGACTAACCGGGTCAAGTCTATTTGATTTGTTGATCAATATGGCTGCCATGTACATGTACTCACGTTGTCGTGGTTGAAGAAAAAGAGCATCTTGAGTTCGCGATAGACGCGTTTGCAGGAGATGAGGTTCTGGAAGACGTGAGGCATCTTCTTGAGAGCCACCCGCTTGCCATCTCGGGGATCCGTCACTGACCTGGGAATCGGAGTATGTGGAACAAACAGAGTAACCAAAATTGCATCTGTTAAAAATGAACGTCCACCCTAATTCTCTGGACAGTATTTTCTGCAGTATCTTGACTTGAATCCTTTTCTGCAATCCTGGATATCTGTCACTGTCAGATTCAGAACACTCTGTGATCACATCAGCTGCTATATCTTAAGGAAAGAGCAGACTCTCTGAGGTACTTGTACATTGGGGTTGGGGTTAGTTACATGTACAGTGGTGTACCATAAATACAAAATGTAAGGTAAGCTACAATACAAAGATTGAAGGCTTTAACAAGAACTTAATAGTTAATAGTTAATCCCAAATGTACTGGTACTTGGGTAACCAGGCAAATGAGTGTTTGAAATAAATGCTATGCCACGTGAATAATATTATGGACTACATGTAGGCCTATTGATGGCAAATATGTGACATTTGAATGACATGCATATAGGTTTCCAATTCATACGTGGACAGCTGAACAATTTATGTACATATTTCAAGGTACATGTACATGAAAACACAAAAGCTGAATGGAAATTCCAGTCTTACAATGTACACATGCGGGCATACTGGTGGTACATGTATGCAATCTGTTCAAGATTAGGAATACCATCATTGCAAATGGTTGTTTCACATGCAGTAGATCAACTGTGCCCGTGAAGTCACATGACCTTTAGTGGGTATCAAAACATCAACAAACGTACACTGTAGCGTCATCCCATAGCAAAGTATGTCATGTCATTTACCAAATATAAAGCTGACGGTTGGTAAAGTACTCAGACTACTGATGTGCTGAGCATTTTACCAAAAATTGGCATTAGTTTTGGTAAACACCACTTAAGACACACTTTGCTATGGAAGGACGCCATGTTTGTTGATGTTTGATACTCACTATAGGTCACGTGATGTAACTGGCGCAATCGGTCTGCTGTGCATATGTTCATGATTGGTACTGGTCCATACCACTTCTGTCCAGGACAAGAGCTTATACCAAATAATATATAAGATCACATGTACACTGTAGGCCTAGTTGAATATCCTGCAAACTGTATCCCCTAATGACAGACAACTTCTGGGGGCAGGGGGGATCTGCAGCATTGAAGGGAAATTAGGTCTTTGCACAATACAAACATGCTTAGGCAATGCTTTTTATGCTCACAAGGAAAATTGATGAACAAGTAGAAAACAGGGGCCTGCCGGTAGTGGTTCACTGCAGACAGAAGCAGTGGTTGGAATTGAAAAGAACATGCATGTATGCAAGAGGTGTTCTTTTTGTACGGCTTATGTTTTCTAGTGCAGGGCTCAATCGGCACTGGCCAGCTGTCGAATCAACCCTCCTACGGCCACAGGATATTGATACAACCCATTCTAGAACAGATGATTAGGATGCACAGAGCTCATCTCATGTACACAATACACAGATGGGGAGTTAAGCCTCTCTCATACACACCCATGGTATATGTACATGTACATTTGAAACCAGCACATGTACTGTACCTGTGCTGATTACTGTTTTTCGTGACTATGGTCACTAGTTTTTAAAAAAAATCACTTGTAAAAATTCAACTCAGTGCTCTGAAAAATCAATGTTCCAATTTGGAAGGGCTTTTGAGAATTGAGGAATTCTCCCTAGAAATGAAACAACTATATGTATGAAGAATTGAATACCAGGGGATTTCAGATAATTCAGGGAGGTTTCTGATTATTTACCCTGGGAGTTGATGCGTTTTGTTCGCCATTACAGGTGTGTTCTATACCAAAGAGTTCAGCAAAAAGGACAATTTAAACAATGATCAGTGGTTGACAGTTTCCAGGGTCCCTGCTTGCAATTTTAGAAATAATTTACCCAGTAGGTCTGCTTTCCAATTCAAGTTGCACAGGTGTACTAATGTACATACAATTTAATGATTCATCTCTCACTTTGAAGATGGCTTGTAAAAAGTAACTGTTTGATGTTTTCATGTTCCTTTTCTTATCTAAAAAAACCTGTTGCTGTCCTAATCTAAAGTTGGAATGAATGATACATAAAATTTTAGCAACAACAGTGGTGTCAACTAATCTCCATGTACTATACCTTCACATGCAAGTTACTCTTGTGAATGACGTATCATTTCACTTTCATTAAAATGTTTGTACAAGCTGTAAAAGGAATGGCCTACATGTGGATGTAACGGCCCAGTTTCTTTCCAAAATATGCAAACAAACTGACACGTGGATTTCATCTCCCTTCCCGATGACCTACTGTACAGTGTGTCCACTGACAGGTTTTAAATATTCCAGATTCCAGAGAATTTCAAATGTTTCATCTTGGTGGCATTACAATGATGTGCCAGGGAATTCAAGTTAATTTGGTACCATTGCACAGACCAGAGTTAATCAGTCAGCAAAGCAGCGGGTTGGGGAGGGGGGGTTGGGGAGGAAGAAAGCACGGGGAGGCAGTGCCGGCCTCGATGTGACCCCGCCGGCTGGGTTGTGGCAATAACACAGGCGTGCCTGAGTACTGCAATCCACGGAAGGCAGATGACCCAGACTCAGAGACAGTGCTTTTTTGTGTGTGTCTGTACGCGCAGTTCGACAGCGACTCCTCTCCAGACTGGAACACAGTCCAGTCTAATTGCCCAACAATCTGTCAGAGTCAGTGTGTGATTATTGCTGATCCCACTCACAAAGGCGATTTGGAGGGGGGGGTAATATCTATACAAAGTGCATGCTGATACCAGGCTATTTATGTTCTTGTTTCAGAGGACATGTTATTTGGGGTTTCCATTAAAATGATTAATAATGGAGATTGGTGCTCACATTTGCGGATTTCCCAGACGGGCTTAATGTACATGTACTTATAAAATGTACATGTACAACGGTATGCCAGTAATCACAATATACATGACATAATGACACACAAGCTGTCTTACAACAAAAAGCCTACATGTACGTAACGTGTATGTGCATGCCTGGGCACTGCAAAAGCCCCTCCATCCAAGGACCAGTTCCATATTCTTTAAAAAGTGTTTCTCAATTAGAGCACTTACAATGGTATTTACTGTATCCGCATACGGGTACATCTGTTTCTTACTGTTACAGGCATACTGTAGGCGTTGACCAAGATTTGTTTCTATGGGAGCAAACGCCTTTTTTTCCGGTGGGGGAGGAGGGATTTCTTGGGTGGGGAGGTAAAGTTTGATGTTGTGTTCAAGCAAATTGGTGGTTTTAAGCCGCTTACGTCTCTCTTTTGTCATTTCTTTTGCTTTCTCCCCCTTTTTCCTTTATTTTTCAAACTAGTTTTTCTTTAAAAGTGGCAGCATCCCCCTTCCCTCCTCTCAAGTGACTACACAAACTCCAATGTACTGATTGTCTGAACTTTACACTTCTGCGGCTGCATAAAGGATTCACTTTAAGTAATCCTCCCAGATCCTTCAAAATCCATCACAGAGAGAAGGGTTTGTGGGATTTAGGAAACTTTTCAGGAGGCTAATCCCTTGGCACTGTGCTTCATACCCCTGTTGTCTGTGTGAAGAAAAAAGAAATGGCTAAAGTTACGGCAACTGTAACGTGACTTCCAAATTCAATAGTGACGGCACTGCATAATTATCTTTGCCAATCTATAAGGTTTCAATGTCCCATTACTGTCATGGCATTGCGACAGCCCAATTGGTACGCATGCTTTTTTGTAATCACAGTGGGCCGGGATCGAGTCCGCTTGAGGCGTGATATTTCAACCATTTTCCCCTCTTTCTTTCCTCTTATTTTGTCGATCAGATTACGTGTTTACTTTCTATACATGTTTTCCTTTTCTGTTTTGGTATATTCATACCCCCGGAGGATATTTTTTAAAGGAAAATAAAATCTGAATCCATTCACCCTAGACTGGCCTGGTTCCTGTTTCCAATGCACTCGACTGGTGCAAAAAGCAGACAGAAACCTGTCTAAACTTCCTCAACAATGGCCACTGCGAAAGAAAAAAATTGACTGTTTCTAATGGGGAGGAATTCAGGAGAATCTGACAGGAAGACCACCACAAGTGCAGAAAACTGTACCGGTTTATGTACAAGACCTGTACACTGTCCTTTGAGGTGGTCTGGGACAAAAATCAAATGCAAAACACATGTACAGTGTACATATGTATGCATGTTCCTCAAAATTGCAAAAATGTAGGACTTTGCATAATGGACAAAGGGACAGGTATACATGTAGTCCACTGCATGGCATTTACGGTAAATGTTGACCTAATACTAACCACACACAAATTGTCCAGCTGTGGAGCTGGTACATACAGTGTACACTGTACATGTATGTGCATGATATCTGTCCTTTTGCACAGCATGTGCATGGCACTGAAGCACGTGCAGTGTTTGCCGTATTGTGTAAGGTGAAAGAGGAACTACATGCACGTGTGGACTAAAATAAAAAGCTGTTTCATTTGGCTGAGATTTGTTGGGCTTGGGTTCCAGTATTCACAGTGGCCAAGTCTGGGAAACTTGCTCCACACCAACAGGTAAACAAACAAGGACCCTAATTCCCACAAGCTAAGTTCAATATTAACACACATTGTTCTGTCTCAGCACTTGGAAAGGCAGTCAGAAATGCGGCACTGATGATCGTCCACAAAGGAGGTCTCATTCAGAGAGCACTGTACACATGAATATCTGAATTTGAACACCAGGCGTCAAAAACCACACAAAGAGCACTTCAAGCTGCTTCAGGGAGCAACCTGAAACACAAAGGCAAAATAAAATTTTGGGTTTTCAGAAGATTTTGGCCCTGTAACTTCAGTGTGTCAGCTTGAAATATGAACACAATAACCACTCTGTATATCACAGGAAAAAATGCTTAGGTCATGCTGAAGTTTGGACTTTGCCTACTGACTAGGGAAAAAAATTTAAAGGGGGCCACAAACAGGTTCCCATGCAGTGTTCAAAATCTGGCTCTACAGTCATTACCAGTGTTAATCAGCCAAATCCCTTCAACTTCTGACTTCCTTTTCCCCTTGACAGAAAAGAGTTAAGCTCTTTAGAACTCTCCCATTTTTCCGACCAACCATAAGCTCAACTACAGACTACAGAATGTGACCCACACAACCTGGAGACAGGCTAACTCCTGTGATGAACAGCACTTCAATATGATGGTACCATCCACAAGGTTTCTTAAGTATTCACACAAAGACGCTCGCCTACCCTCAGCCTTTGGGTCATTAAGAACAACTGACAAGTTATCATCTGTTCCCACAATCACAAAGACTGCAGCCTGAGAATATTTCCTTCAAGGCTCAAGCTTTAACAAGAGAGAACACACAAAAATATTCCACAATGGTCCAAGCGAATAACATACCCGTACATGTTCAAGGCCAAAGTGTATCCAGATTTCAGTATGTCTCCATGAATTCACACATGGGGGGGACCCACTGTTCCTTGATTCACTGGGCATGCAAATACATGTGCATAATGTGCTTAAAGGAGTGGAGTGTAACCAATGAACACCGAACAATCAACATGTACATGTATGTCATTGTGTTCTCTGCTCCAGAACTGATTTTGTACAATAACAGGTACATGTATGCAAAGTATTACAATTTATAAGCAACTGGCTTAAGATTACATGTACATAACATACATGTAACAGCCATAAGCAGGCTGAAATCCCTTGGCTGCCAACCCAGTCCAATGGTCCAACCATGCACTCAGGTGGTCCAACTAAACCTGCCCGTTGCCAATACATGTACATGTAAGTTAGATATCATCATAGTAAAAGTGAGCCACACTCTAATTACAGGTACATGTACATGTATTTCTCACCTGCAGGTACATGTATGTACATGTACTGTAACTCAGACGAGCCACAGACCAAGGAAGTACATGTACATGTACAACTGTACATGTACAAGCATGAACAGAGAAAGGAAAATAAACCCGGCCAAAACAAAGACAAACAAAAAGAGGTCAAACACTGACTGACCTTTTCAGTCATTCATTAGCACAGAAAAATATTCAGAAAAAATCCAATATTTGAACGGGATGAACCGAACACTGGTTGGACACTGGTGCATGTAGCCTTTTACAAATCAACTATTCAAGGTTCACCATTTTCCTATTAAGTGGACATCAATTTGGATGGGGGAAAAGAGATTGTCAGATAAATGTAGGCTATGGGCCATTGTGCGTTCATAATGCGTCCACCAGGCTCGACTGACAAAATGCAGACTGCCAATGGTCTGTTCACACAAGTCAATGAGCACTACACATGTGACTGCCTCTGTGCAGCAGAAAATGCCTGTGGCATTACAAGGAGAAACCTCCAATCGTGATCAAGGGAGGAATGACGGTGACCACTGTACAGCGCAATCGAACTACAGGCACTCATCTAGCAAATTACACTCTGGTCCGCACAGGTCTTCCTCAGTCCTGGCAGGTGACAGATGACAAGGTCTGGCACAATCCGATCGTGGGTTCACACTCAATTTCGCACAATGCAAAAAAACAAGAAATGATTGAAACAAAAAATGGAGCACTGAGTGTATTGCGCATGCACCCAAACCACCCACAGTATCCTGATATAAGAGACCAATCTATTCCCCATATTCCCTAAACTTACGTAAATCCTCCCTGTGCCCTTTTTATGCTTGGGTCTTCGTCACACCCACTGTCTTTTTCCAAAACAAATAGCAAAACTGTCTTTTTGTCCGATTTAATCCAGTGCATAGACTACATCATGGAGCTATTAAATGCATACATGTAGCTCTTGGACTACATGCACCTCAAGTACAAAACCACATGTACAGACAGAAAGAGTCCCACATACACCACTTGATGCCCCTGTGTGTAAACCTGTGGAACTTGTCTGAAAAAACCTAAGCATGTTCTAAGTAAGTGCTTCGGAATTTTCTCAGCTAAACTTAACTTTTTAAGACATGTTATCACTTTCTGATTTTTGACGGTTATTTAACATTTTAAGGGAACATTAGAGTTGCCCGTATATAGAACCCTTTCCATACTGTACAGACCTACTCAAGATAAACATGACCAAATCCTGAACGCTAACACCCTCTCAAATAAGCCACTTTCCACACATCAACTTATGTCACACAATTTACTGGCTAGGTGATTTTGAACTGAAAATCAGTCTCTATAACTGAGATAAGGCCAGTGGTATTTTGTGAACAATGACTGAATAGGTGGGCTCCACAAAGTTCCAATTCAAGTTAGCCAGCATTCAACAAAGGACACTTTTTTCCCTTCGCAATCCAAGTTTTGGGCAGCCAACTAACAAAGTATGAATCATCACAGTTAAGAGACAGCTCCATTCATAGTCCATGGTCTTCAATTCTGCTTGTTACAGAAACTAGCCTTAGCTAATGTACAGTATGTATTACAACAAAGAATAAATGGGAGTCTATAATTCATTTTCCTCTTGAAGTTAGAGGCTTCCTATTGTCTGAAAGAAATCACCGTAAGGTACAATGTGAACTATGATGACTTCAATAAAATCCAATAGCATGGACAGAAGGTCTTTTCTTCACTACTCAGAGTTAGATCAACTGAAAACTACCCACTGCTGAATATTGTTGGGATTCAGCAAGATTTAAGTTAATGTCAAGAATGCCAGAGTGATTAACATCAAGGTTAAGTCGGAAACTATTAGAATGCAAAAGAGAAAAATTGCAATCAGGCCTTTCCTGTTATTGAACCTTTTCAAGAGCTTGCAGCCTACTTGCAATATGTGTAAATTACAACATACAATGTATATGTGTACATGTATGTACCCCATTATTATTTCAATGCTCCTAAGGAAGTTAACACAGTCAGATATTCCTCAATCTGTTTGTAAATGATCCTTCATAAACTTCCTGTTGAAGAATGGGAACTGTCACAAAAGTTGAATAACATATGCATTTATGTGCTAATCAAAAAGGGGTGTTTGCACTCTTTTCAATACCATATTTTAAAAGCCGCTATTAAAACAAATATGAAAATAACAGGCCTACATCAAGTCTCTCAAACAACCACTTTTATGTGCATAACACTAAACAATCATTTTTCCAGAGAAGACAAACACCAGATAGAAAAGATTTATAAACATTGCTCTTACCAGCTTTTTTTTTACTTATGTAAAACAAAAAATCACCCCCCCCCCCGCCGATTTGCCTTCCAGCACACTGTGACTTCCTTTTGGACTGGCTGGAGTGCAAACGTGGAGGCGAACAAAGGCATTTAAATACGTGTACAGCATGCATCAGGGCCACGTCGCGGACAAAGGCCGGGCGAAGGCCAATCTCCCGACCCGGTCAAGACAAAAAATGTAATAAACCTCGTGACAAATAATGACACTCTTCGGAAAGAAATCTTATGCTAACTCGAGTCTGATTCAAAGCTCAAACCAAGGAATACTTGACTAAGTTCATCAAAAAATTTTAGTTAAAAAAAAAGTTTTCCAGCACACATCTTAAAGCGATGTACATGTACATGTACACGAAACATTGTGTGCATGATGTATTGCATGACCCAAGGGCCGTGAAGGGACGAGAACAAAGAAGGGAATGGAGTAACTCACCAAACCACGCCAAAAGCACCGTAACCGATGGGTCTGTCGGGCTCAAAATCTCGCCTAGCCAAGCTGGATGCTGTGGCAGCACTCTGGTAGAAGGTTTGAGTTGCACTGAGGATGGCGTGGTCCCGAGGAGTCCCCGTGAAAGCCATTTGTCTGGCCGCTATCCGCGACCCACACACTGCCATCACACACAGTTCCACAAAGCCCCGGCCGTTGGCCGCTGCGTTGGCTCCGGTGAACGAGGGGCTGGGTGGCCGGCTACACGGTCTACCTCACCGTGCGTTGGTTGTCGAGCTTCTCTTCCCGGACGATACGGGTGCAGATAACTGGGCTCAAAATGTCACTTCTGTGCCGAATGCATGGCTGTGGATTGCACAGTCTGTAGAATAGACTCCTAGCAGTGTATGCACGGAGCAAAAATGGTGGCTTACGGCGGGCAAAAGTGGAGAAAATATCGCCGAATTGTTGTAAAATCTTGGCGACCACTGATGCACCAGCCGTAGGCTGCCGAGCCTAAGCATGCACAGCGAGCCGGCCGATCACACAAAGCAATTTCTTATGCACGCAAATAACACGCACGATGCGTACACCATGAATATGGAACGAGTTTCGGGGCCGAGTACAAAGAGCATAAAAAGCAAGGGCCTTGCTACTACGTCTCGCGAGATTCCGCGTGGCTTGGTGAGTAATTTATCAGGAAGGCTAAATAAAATTCCTTGAACTCTGTGTGGGTTTCACAGGAGTTCTTAACTCCTCGGGACTCCACAGTTATTGATCTGCTCCGTACTTCCTGTTTTTTTAAATGTATGTTATTGTGTTTTTAAAGCTGCCCTTTTAGTTATTATTCACGGAAAAGGAAACAAATATGTGCACACGTATTTCCTTCCAACTATTTCTGTTTGCCCAAAATGAAAGCAAAATTTCGGGTGGACGTACGGTACGGTAATAATGACCACAAACGGCTCTGAATGAATTTCTTTATCACTGCAAATACTCAAACTCCCAAGGCTGTTGCTATAGTTAATGATTGATACTCGTATTTGTAATCATAACTATCCATATTGCGATTTTCTTGTCTTACCATCCTCCATCCAAATATTAATGCTAGGGGCGTACCTGAGTAACTATATTTTTAGGGTGACAAAGAGTTACCCGGGCTGCACACATTTTTCAAGGAGTGAAAGAAAATTAACAGTGACATCGACATACGCTATGTAGGCCTTTATATCAAAAATTCGGGGGGGGGGCACCCATGGCACTTCTGCTGCACCCCCCCCCCAAATGCCACTGATGAACGCGGGTTAATATCATCGTTGGCTTATGTCTAACGCGTCCTTCTTTGCATCATAATGCATTCAAGTAGTATATAGGGTGATTTCGTCGCGACCGTCCTCCTGGCGAGCGAATGCAGGCGATCGAAGTTGACGTTTCCGCAGGCTGAAGGTAGTCCGCAATACGCCACGTCTCCATGTCTATTGTTGCGGGAGATACAACGGAGCACACTTCAAAGTGGGGAGGGTATTGGTGGATCCAATAGGCTGAATGGAGGATATTGCCCCCTGCCCCCCCCAAAAAAAAAGTTGATAGACAATAAGAAATGGTCGATTTAGGAGATTTCCGCTCGTTCCAAAAGTGACTTAAAAATAGCCTCACACCTCAGAAAGGTTGCAAAGGATTGCATGGGGAAATCCAAAAATCCCCCCCAAAAAATATCTGCCAACTTCCGATCCATGGATCCGCCCTTAGGCGGGAGAGCTCACTCTTCCGTTGTCGTCGGTTGTGTATACCATCGCATTCACTAACACTTGGGCGTCGCAGAATTCTCACCGTCATGTCACAAGTCACGTAAATATATAAATTGGTTGCCACAACGAAGTAACAAGGGATAAAAAGGGAATATATTTCGTATATAGCTTGTGGCTTTACTTCAGATTATATACATGTAGATAACAGGACTCCATAGTCAGTCATGTCATGAGACATTTGGCTGAATGTGTTCAACACTGTTGCAGACAGGCTTGTGAATGTAAACGTTTTTGTTACACTACGCAGGCGTCAGTGAAGTTCGGGGAGTAATGATTATGTTGCAGACCAAAAAAAATATCATCACCACCTTCTGCATCACTATAATACATGTATATTGCAATTAACCTCCGGCAAAATCTTCTTAAGGTGATCGAACACTGATTACAACACGAAAACCAAATGGGAAAGTGTCAAGACTAGAGGAGTGGGCAACTTCCCAAGCCCAAGGTAGTGCCGATGGTAATCACCCCCCCCCCCCAATTCTGCCGGCGCACTCAGCCCGGCGAAGGGGAGGGGGTTGTGCCGACCGTCCACACGAGCTTTCCGTTATCAGCCTGACACACACACAAAACATCCGGCATCCCACACTGATCGTATAGTATACACATGCCACGAACGCATCACTTCCTATACCATTTTCGTGTAATCGTCTTATCTGTCAACAGCCAACACTACCACCAACAACCATGATGACAGCAAACAAAGGTTACAGCAAACTTAAAAATGTTTACGGGAAACAAAATGACACGCGGGGTTTTCAAGGGTAAAAACCGCAGTGGTTAACACCCGATGGTCCAACAGGAACGCGAAAGAAAAGCGGAACTTTATCGAGAATTATATCGACATCAGCCGGTGGTATAGTAGCGCCGTTCGTTCGTATGGGATTCGCTTCAAAGAGAGACACAGTTTAGAGGAGCACGTAAACCACTTGGAGCAGAAGCACCCTATCAGCTGCTGAACAGAGCCATGGCCGTTTTCCAATACTCAACTTTGTCTCCGTCGCAGGTTTCGTTCCCAAAACCAATCCCCAATTTCTGGCCTGAAGCGTTTAAATTAAATTGGATTACTGTAATTTTTGGCTCTCTTGCATCTTATTTGATATTTTGTAGCACTATTAGACTAATTACTGCACTTACAGCTTCAAAGGCAGCTAGTTAAAAATAGTTGAAGGCTAAAACGGAGCCGAAGTTGAGTATTGGAAAACGGTCTATGTTGTCGGGAGTGTTCATCATGATTTTACTGGTGGCGACGCGCTCGTGACGCATGCATTTCATAGTCGTTTGGTGAACACCAGCCAAGTGCAGCTCCGACCAAAGTTGCCTCTGTTGCTAGGAAAGTTGCGCCCTCTCTTGGTCCACTTCTAGGGAACTTTTTTGAAGTATTATCCAACGGTGTTACTCTTTCATGTAAATTGTTGAGGGCATTTTGCTCCAATGTAATGTTCTAATCCATATGCTCAAATTTTTTTAAAGAAGGTTCTTACGTATGGGGTAAAGCGATTATACAGTATGAGGTTGATATGGGAAACATGTCAACAACGAATGATACTCTAACCACAGGAAGGTTCTCAACCGGACACAAAAACAATGATCCTGAATTCTGAGATGAGTGCGGTTTCATCATTGCAATTAAAAAATAATGTTACAATGTACATGACTCTGAAATCCCATCTCTTTTAAAATACAATGGACTCTCAGCATCCCATTTCCACATGAATTACTCTGTTAACCAATTTATGCGCAACTAGTAACGGTCGACGGCGAGTCAAACCAAAACTGTCTCCGAAATTTGATAGAGGATATTCAGAACAACGCGATGAAAAAAAAGAAACTATCATGAAATTGTAAGGTAAGCCTAATAAGCCTATCGCAGGCCAGGGCCCTATCTTGCATTCACAAGCTGCATTTTGGAAGAGGGTCGGGGCAACGGCAACGCATTTCTGATGAAGTTGTATGAAAGGGCTACGATTCGAATTATCAGTAGGCCTAACGTTTCCACTTTGATGTTAAAACAATATGGACATATATACAGGGGCGGATCCAGGATTTTATAAGGGGATGAAGTAAAAATGTTTAGGGTAATAGCCGTAAAATTAAGGAGGTTGAGTAACCGAAAACAGAACTGTTGTTTTTTTACGCCTTTGTCACATTTATGGGGCTGGGTTCCTCCCTCTTTTTTTCCCCTCGCTCTTTCTGTTTTTCATCATTTTTTTTGGGGGGGGGTTGCGCCCCACGCCCCCCGGATCCACCCCAGGGTATCTTTTTAAACTGTCATTGTCTCGGGGACTGTGTGAGTTCGACACTTTTTCAACGGCATGGAAAGTTTGTCTTGTCTCGAAATACATTTATCTTGAACCCCCAAACAAACTTCCAAAACCATTCTCGGGCAGGAGTAAAATCACGGGGCCTAATTAAGGAAACGGACGGGGAACTCGAGGTCATATACTTGTTAAATAATAATTCATACACTTTGTGGGTGTATATGAGGCCACAGTTCCGCGAAAATAGTTCAAAATCGTCGAAAAACATGCTACGAAAGTATAAACTGTACGCTGTATGTAATCATAGTCTCGCGGTGATTGATCTCGTTTTTAACATTATTTTCCTTTGCCTATGAGCTTATGGGGCCACCGTTCCCCGAAAATAATTTGAAATTACTGTCCCGACTACACACAAAAGTAAATGTGCACTGTATAAAACACAGTCTCAAAGTGATTAGTCTCGTTTTCAATAACCTTTCCGTGCCAAAAGTTCCGTCATTCTCCGCTCGCTCGCGTTCAAGAAATAATTCCTTTCGGTTTCAGACTTTGCCGTGAAACATGTATAGCACCGAGTTGAGAATCGGCATAGGGGCGGATCAACCGGCGCGAGGAGACAGGTGCATGCAGGGGGTCGGGAGGGGTGGCAGTACATGGGCACAAACTGGAAACAAACATAGCCTTAGCTACGGAATTAATGGTCGTCCGATTATGGCTTCCTAGAGGTCCCAATCGCCTGTGGCACATTCACAGCAGTCAGCGGCGTGGCTTAGGGGCGGAGTGCAGTCGTGCACGCCCCCATAAAAATCGTCGCCCCCCATGTGATCACGATTATGTACATGTACATGTCCGACATCCAGTCATCCCCCCACTTAAGTGTGAACACTCCCCCTTGGCCCCCCCCTCCATGCTCCAAATCCTGGCTTCGCCGCAGACACCAGTGCCAATGCTTTAGCGGATAAACCGTTGTATTGGTTCATATAGTAATGACAGACGGGACTTATTGTTAAGCTAATTGATTATTCTATTTTCTTGTGTTATTTTTATCGTGAGTTATAAAGATCTATGGACGTTGGATTAACCTGAAGTGCATGACGGCTGCTCTGGTATGTGTTCGATAGTTACCGATTTCCAGAAATGCGCGGATTGAAAGTTTGACACATGAGACGAACAAAACAGCACACACAAATAAATCCACTACTGCATATTTTTGAGGTCATCGTCGATACAGAATTTAATCAGTCCAGCCTGTGCTAAACAACATGACAACTTTTCCTCCGCTGACAAAAGCTTTTCCAACCAGCTGGTCCAAGGATTAAATGTGGTTGGCTGCAGTCAGAACGACGCCGCACTTGCACTTGTCGAACGCTACGACCTTGAGTGGCGAACTGGCATTGTTCACTTCTTAACGGTTGTTGTAACACCTGTTGCCGCTGCCTTCGTGCCATGGTGTTGGGATTGCAAAAAAGTTTAGCAAATAAATAGAGAAATTTTTATGTAGAGACAACTATTGAAAAAATCGATCCTATGTGTGGCCTAATGAAACGAACCTATCCGCCGTCTGAAACATTTTAATCTTGCCACTTTTTTATCAGAAGTAAATGACTGTAATATGTATTTTCTTCATCTGTTTTTCGTTACCAAACCTGCTCCTTTAATAGCAATTCTCTTACAAGTTCGTTGATTCAACAGCTCCAGAAAGTCCTTTAAAAATCGAATCTGCACAAGCCAACAAAGAACATGCCAGCTGGCACCCTGCCCCAAGATTCCCTGACGACTCTCGATAAAAAAATCTCAGGGTTACGCTACACCAATTACGCGCCGATAGAAAACAGTGCAAAATCGGACCGAAACAGCGCCGCCTGTTGACTCTCGTGAAGAGGTTGGCCTCAGTTTTTTTCACTGGAAATTCAAGATTATGGCCAGAAGATGACTTTTCGTTTCAATTTCATGGGGGTTAGCCATGAAAATCTTTTTTTATTTGCCTTTCAAGGAAGATACCCCCAAAACAGTAGTAAATCTAAGCGCTCATTTCTGAATGTAGCCGCCCGCCTCTATTCAAAATAGGCCCGCAATTCGAGGCTTTTTGTGAAAGAAATATCCTGAACTGGAAACTATCAGTCCCAAATTCGGGAATTATAGAAATATTTCTATGATGCCTCCCGGTTATGGCATGTCTTATTGTAAAAACCCAGTGGGATCACAAAAAGTTAATGAGCTTGCGCGCAGAAATACAACCATTTGGTGGAAAGCACCCTCAGGTCGGGCATCATCCACGAATATGAATGCATGCAGATACAACGCAAGGGTCAGGGGTCATAACTTGAGAGCCCGGGTGTTTTTGATTTGATTACAGTGGTGCACCTTCAATGTTTTTGATTTGCATTTTCAGGCCAGCGTAGCCAACAAGCAGTTTGAAGTTTATGTATTTTTTATTTCTGAAAGAAAACTCTGGAGACAATACAAAATATTATCCAGGCCCAACCCAAGCCTTCAACAGATCTGACCCACAGAAATTGTTAGTGTAAACAATAAGAAAAACCACAAGGTTTGCAATTGAGACTTGCTATTTTTTGCATCGCACAAACTTCAAGAAACAAGTAAAATTTATGCTACCCCACTTTGACTAAATGCTGACTCCTTGAGTAATGCTCCTACATGTCTGTAATCTTGTGAAATAAATATTGATTCTAATAAAATACGCCACTCCCATCTTTATACATGTAGTGATCTATTAACAACTTACATACGTTCAATTATGCATGTAAAATGCAACAAATAATACTTCCTCAAACTGTATCTAAGGAAGATCTTATGGAAGTTTGCTCAAATCCCTTCAGATTTTGCCTCCTGCCCAGAGAGAAACAACCCCAGAGAAATGCCTTCTTTTTACACTTTTATCTACTTTGCCCAAAACTCCACCTCCCCAGCATCAGTAGTCCTCTGGAAAGTAGTCAACAGGTTCCCGGAAGTTCCTGATGGGTTTAGGCTCGCTCAGCACCATGCCTCCGTCACAAAGTGCGTTCAAAAATGCGATTACCTTACATAGAAAGAACAGAGGCAGACTTTCAGAACAAAAAAGTTCACAAAACTATTAACATTCAATGATACCCCCACAGGTAAATAAAACCACAAATACATGTATTTATGATAAATATGGAGATTCTGCACAATGGGAAAGTACTTGGTGTTTGCAGACTGATTACAGTGCATGTACCATAAACACAGTTTGACCTGGTGGTGATCATAGTCAACTGTGACTGAAGTCTGTCACTGAAGAGCTCTCTTATATGATCACACACATTGAAAAATCTACAAATGAATGAAGGAATTCAATACTTGTTGAAAGTCTGTAGTTCGACTATCTTCATAGCAGTGCTCTCTGCAATGAGTTGTGTGTGGTTCTAATTAAGAGGCACCTGTTCTTTGTGTTCTCTTTTAGTGCTTCCAACTATATGCTTTAAATACACCTTGGCTTCCAGCATTCAGTTAACCCAGCTCTTTTCAGAATCAAACTGATCAACAAAGGCAAATAACTTCATAGTGTAACTGCAACTCTCATGTTTTCTTCCACCACGTAAGCCATTTTAATATTTCTACTGAAATGACATCTGCATTAATATCTGAAGACTTTACACTCTGTTGAGACAGAACTGGGAAGGGGGGGATACTATTCCCGTGGAAAACTTCCCCACATTGTACAGTGAAGTACTCCATTTTTGCGACATACCATCCTATGTTCCCTTAACCTATCCTTCCAGCAATACTTGGGTCAAACAGTTACATGTACCAAAGTGAAACCAATCAGAACCCTTCCAGTAATGAAACCAACACCATCCCACAAAGAGCAACTTGTTGGATTCTGTTAGAACTGAAAATAACTCTTTTTTTCCCATCTTAAGGATTCTGTTCCAAAGGCTTCACAAAGTACTTTTGTGCTGGAGGGTGCCCAGCTTAGCTCTATTCAGTCTATCGCAAGTCAAATCCTAAGTCAGTTATTGGCCAAATCACAAGTGTGGTCACAACTACAGAGACAAAGCATGACAAAAAGATGCCTCTGTCAGCACTCACTGCAACAGGGAATCAATGGAAACTGTCTTGTGGTGAACTTGTGCAGACATATGAGGATCCCGTTGCCATGACAATGTCTGGAAATCAGCCTATTTCTTTTTCCTACCCACCCGTTCGTAAGATCTTGTTTCAGAATCAATTTCGCAGTGCACATAGCTGATGCCTGACTCCAGACACCTCTGGGCCAGGATGCGGCCGATGTTCTCCGCGGCGGACACGTCTGCCGTGCTGTACAAGTGCTTCTTGATGGCCCACTCCTTAGTGGAGGCGCTGATAACGACGTTGCCGTTGTAGTGCTGGATGTAGGCCCGGGTGTGCCAGTTGGATTTCTCAAAATGCAATCTGACAAAACATCACAGGTGTCAAATCAAGAATGCAAGATTGAGTGACAGATGCTTCATTTCAACTGAATGCTGTAGCCCCATAGTCTGGTTTGACCATTTGAAATTTACAAACATACAAGATCTGTTAAACTCAAGGGTCAACTGGAACCGCTTCAAAACAAACCTAACCCTTAGAATGATTGTGTAATCCCCAATCTTTAACCCTAACCCCCTTGGCACCTGCACTAGAAAGCACACTGAACCTCACAAAACCCAATAGGTTCATGTACTTGTCTATTTACTTGTACATGCAGGTCACTTTACCAAACCTGATAAACTCCAACAGAACGAGCCCGTTGCTGTGTAATATTGTTTTTGTATTGCAACAGCAAGCGATGCTGAACGGTTCCATACTTGTGCCAGTAGTTTTTCCTGGGATGTGACCGGGACCAGCCCTTGTCCCTCTGAGCCACTGCCATCCTCTCCAGGTTGCGGGGGTTGCGGTTGACAAAGTTTGGCGAGACCACGTCGTTCTCTGACAACCTCTCGTCGCTCACTTGCAGCGTGTCTGCATCCTCATCCTGTGGTGCTGCTTGTGTGCTGGCTTCAGAGCTGTGAAGACGTTGTGCTAACGATGTAGCAGCCCGGGCTAGATTGATGTGAAATTTACAGCTCACTTCCACAAAGAACTCAAAATGCCATGCATTTACAATCACAAACAGTTCCCCCTTCCTCTAGAACTATGAAGTTTCTCTTGGATAAGAGCACAGGGAAAACCGTTGTCCAATCATTCCTATCGTGGAAAACCCAGGTCCGCAGCTCATGACATCAGGGGTTTTGCAAGTAATCTCTGTGTCATTTGCCATGAGCCAAGGTATAAAAGTCCCCTTATGATGCGAAATTTTTTTCTGGCGAAGTGCCTTGTATCCCAAATTCCACAAGTGGTGTGTTGAAATTACTAAATATGCCCGCGGACGATGTATTTTGCAGGAAATTTTGCAAAACTCCGCGCTTTCCGTCGCAATTCAAGAACGACCCACGTTCGTCTAGTATAGCAAGTATTTGCGCATGCGCGAAATGGCATCCACGTGGCCCATATTCGGTCAGTTATGTTGTCTAGAGCTAGGTTCAGGTCTTTGTTCCATTGGAAATGCATGGAGACGGCAGACAATAGACATAGCTGTAGCTTTGGAATCGCATTTCAGGCACGGCCTTATCTGCCCCCAGTTCTTCCGCGCATGTGTAAGTGGCAGTCTGATACCATGCATTTCGTGTATGTACAAGTACTAAACGATCCAATGTACATACAAATACAAAGTACAACAAATTGCGAAGGAAAGCGTGGAGTTTTGCAAACTTTCCAGCAAAATGCATTGTCCATGGGCATATTTAGCAATTTCAACACAGCACTTATGGAATTTGGGACACAAGGTGCTGGTGAACAACATTTGAGCTGTCTTCGCCAGGTAAAAATGTAAGAAAAAACTGTTGAAAAAAATGTTGCATCTTAGGAGGACTTTTATACCCTGGACGTTAGTTGCAATGCAATGTAGATGACATCCAACCTCGGCTAGGGGAAGATTAGCCCCTGACTGGGGGCGAGTCTACTGGATTCCCTCTGTATCCTAGGACCCACAGCGGTCTATTCAAAAGGTGGGGCCTAGAATACAAAGAAAGTCCAGTGGACTGGCCTCTAGTATGGGGCTAGGGGAAGATTTGCTTCAGAAATAGCAAATGGAGGTATTCTCTGGTAAGACTGCAGGGCACTTTTCAAAATGCTATAACGTACGGAACCATCAAAAAGATGGACCCAGTAAGGCTTACGGAGTAGTGCTTACTGATCAGGAAGTAACTTCCCTCATCTGCCCGTACTAGGCTTAGTAACACCTGTTATGCCTCAACTACCGTATAGCATCAGTCCCAACTATAGTTGGGATTGTCCCAACTATGGTTGGGCCGGTCCAACATGCCCAACTACTACAGTACAGAGGGCCAGTGTCTGAGTGTGCATGTGTCCATGGAGGCAGGTCCCTTGTGAATTGTGTCAAGAGTGAGACGCATAAACTTGGATAAGGTTGAGATTTTTTCTACAGAAAGGGGTCAACAATAGTTTGGTCAGCCCAACTGCAGCAACTAGCAATACAGTTTGGACTGTCCCAGCTATAGAACGTTGGGGCGTAGCAGGCCTAACGTAGGCCTACGTATGCATATTAAATTGCATGGCTTGTTTGTCACCCAAGCCCCATATAGAGATAATACTAAAAGGAGGAGGACCTAGGGCCTGCTCAAAACCTTTCAATAAAATACCAACCTTTCACCCGCCATCGGGGGTTATTTGTTCCTCGCCATACAGCATAAGTTATGGACCGAAGCATTTTGGAAGTAGAAGAAATTCTACGCTATGTGAACAACGTTCAGCGGCTAGCCGCGGCCATGTGTGGAGTCAAATTTTTTGTCAATGTCAATTGAGGGCGCTATTTAACTTAGACGCTGCGTATAGCGTAATACATGTGTACTACATACAGCACGTGCACTGATACTAACTAGGTAAGTTACTTAGGCGGCGGCCCCACGTTACTTTGTTTGGTCATTTTAAGTTAGAATTTCCCCATTTTAAAAGCATTTTCTGCCCCCTTCAACAGACAATACCATTTTGTAAAATTGGCTACCAGTGATTCTGATGACGTTTTGCAATGCATACTGTACATTATGATGCACGTGATGTAGGTATGGGGCAGCGCGGACATCCGGGAGTTTCACAAAAATATAGGTAGCAACTACACCGCGCCGGTGAAAACAACTGCAACGAGCGCACGAGTACGTACAGATCAAAGAAAAGATTGTATAACCTGATCCTTAGACTGGCTGGTGCGTGAGTACGTCGCCAAGGTCGCTGTTTTCACCGGCGCAGTACGTGTCATTTTGCGAGAATCCCGGATGTCCGCACTGCCCCTAAGTTATATAGCCCCGGCCTACATGATGTACGTCCGGACTAAGTGGCCTTGCCTACTCTAATAATGGTGGTAGAGGCCCAACCATGAGTGTGTCGGTGCAATAACCCAACTTCCCAATCCATGGCCACGTTGATTATAGCGTGCGATGAAGTTAACAAAGCTAGAGGCAAAAACATAACAATAGCAAGCAGCAAATACCAAGCGTTACGCAATTTTGTTGCGAACTTGTTCCCCTCTATTAACCCTCCTTTGCTGAAGTCACTCTTTGGGTCACTTGGTAAACACCTCAAAGAAGCACATCTGTGTTGTGTTGTGCACTGCACCAACATGCAAGAGAGTGACCTTGGGCACTTGTGCATATTTGTGCTGTAAAACTAAAGGAGGGTTAAATCTTTTGAGCATGCACACATGAAATGGGAAAAAGGCTTATTGCCATTGATGTCATTGTAATCATGTTTTCAGGACATAAAATCACAGATTATGAAATGTAAATTAGCCTATAAATGGTTTCTGGACATTTGTTCTAGTTACATTTTTCTAGCATGTCTACCGTCACATCATTGTTGAAAAGTATTTTTTTTTCATGCAGTCGATAATCAGGAATTTCTGCATAAAATGCCAGGATATGAGCCCCCTTTCCCAGGGGGCAATCTTCAGTAGCACCCGTTTTTTTAGACACAAGTCTAAAATATGACACTTTATCTACAAATATGACTTTGGCACATGCTGGCCACATGCACACTGGACCTCTGTGCTGTAGTTGGGCCAGCCGAACCATAGCACTCTAGTTGGGATGGGTCCAACTATAGTTGGGAGTGATGCTGTAGTTGGGTCGTAACAAATTCATTGTGACACTGTTATTTCTGACTCTTGTTAATCCATGTCCACATTGAAGAATGGAGGAAGAAGGAGAACGCATCTTGACACAGTTTGTGTCTGAGACCGGGGAAACAACCGGTGACCCATTTGATCTGCCGGTGAACGTCACAACAGAGAAGCTACAACTGATCTGCAATGCCATACTTCAAAAGGTGGGAAATACTGGAGATTAATCGGGCAACTTTCAGTGGTCGTATTTGACCCTAATGCATGTAATAACAAAAAACAAAGAACAGATAACCCTTAGTTGGAGTTAAGAAGGGAAATTGTAAAAAAGAACAGTGAAATTATTCTGGCATATAGGCCTTACATTGAGTGTATGCGCTGGGCTTTCATGTGGATATGCAAAAAAATCTTGATTGCCTGACACATGGTGGCATTGACGCTCAAGTGACTGACATATGTCTCTATCACGGTTGGGGGGCATGTGCATAGGTCAGTCTGTTACCATGGTTACAAAATACATATTATCTACTGAAATAGGCAGAGTGCCATACCCTTTCCCTAAATGACCTCAAGCTGTAGCCCTTCCATGTCATCAACACGGTCGAATTACGGCTTCACCCTCTGTTAATTCTAGGCCTCCCAGATTCTTCCAAATTCTCTTTGAGGTTTTAGAACATTTTGCACGATTATGGAAGAGAGAGGCAGATCACCATAATCGTTTTACATAAAGTTCAGTGCCTCTTGAAAGTTGAAANTACATGCACCAAGACTCTGTCATTAGGGTTTCTCAACACTGCAAATGTGTTCAGAAATTCAGAATGAATACAACATACTGGTGTTGCAGTTGAGGCTATTACAAGACCCCACAAGACTATAACCACAAGACATTCATTCTGAACTCAAGTTGCACATCATTTAAATCAAGTGCAACAAAAGCGCTGTCATGTCACCGTTTATCCCGTTATTTGTGACTGGTCTTACATACGTCTAGTCTCAGTTTCAACACGGCAGTATGTCCTCTTTTGTAGGAGGAGCCTGTGCCATACTCTTTTTTTGTGAATGAGACGGAGATCACCGCCTCTCTGGAGGAGACCCTGAAGACGCAGACGCAAGAGACGGAGAAGGTTTTGAAGGTTGTCTACCAGCCCCAGGCCGTCTTCAGGGTACGGGCTGTGACCAGGTGTACCACCTCCATCGAGGGGCATGCAGAGGCTGTCATCTCAGTGGCGTTTAGCCCCGACGGCAGGTAGTTGACCAGTCCAATAATTTGGGTTAAAAACTGTGTATTGTAGTGGAACCCTCACAAGTCATTTTGCCCCAAGTCAAGTCACAAGCTATTCAAATGAACTGTGACCAAGGCGTTTATTTGTTTGTCATTGTTTATTCCCTGTGACTTTTGACTGAACTTGTGGACGGACTTGTGACTTCCTTGTGGAAGGACTTGTGACTTCCTTGTGGAAGGACTTGTGACTTCCTTGTGGACGGACTTGTGACTTCCTTGTGGAAGGACTTGTGACTTCCTTGTGGAAGGACTTGTGACTTCCTTGTGGAAGGACTTGTGACTTCCTTGTGGACGGACTTGTGACTTCCTTGTGGACGGACTTGTGACTTCCTTGTGGACGGACTTGTGACTTCCTTGTGGACGGACTTGTGACTTCCTTGTGGACGGACTTGTGACTTCCTTGTGGACGGACTTGTGACTTCCTTGTGGACGGACTTGTGACTTCCTTGTGGACGGACTTGTGACTTCCTTGTGGAANTCAGTCATTAGGGTTTCTCAACACTGCAAATGTGTTCAGAAATTCAGAATGAATACAACATACTGGTGTTGCAGTTGAGGCTATTACAAGACCCCACAAGACTATAACCACAAGACATTCATTCTGAACTCAAGTTGCACATCATTTAAATCAAGTGCAACAAAAGCGCTGGCATGTCACCGTTTATCCCGTTATTTGTGACTGGTCTTACGTACGTCTAGTCTCAGTTTCAACACGGCAGTATGTCCTCCTTTGTAGGAGGAGCCTGTGCCATACTCTTTTTTTGTGAATGAGACGGAGATCACCGCCTCTCTGGAGGAGACCCTGAAGACGCAGACGCAAGAGACGGAGAAGGTTTTGAAGGTTGTCTACCAGCCCCAGGCCGTCTTCAGGGTACGGGCTGTGACCAGGTGTACCACCTCCATCGAGGGGCATGCAGAGGCTGTCATCTCAGTGGCATTTAGCCCTGACGGCAGGTAGTTGACCAGACCAATAATTTGGGTTAAAAACTGTGTATCAAGAGCAACATTGTAGTGGAACCCTCACAAGTCATTTTGCCCCAAGTCAAGTCACAAGCTATTCAAATGAACTGTGACCAAGGTGTTTATTTGTTTGTCATTGTTTATTCCCTGTGACTTTTGACTGAACTTGTGGATGGACTTGTGACTTCCTTGTGACTTCCTTGTGACTTCCTTGTGACTTCCTTGTGACTTCCTTGTGACTTCCTTGTGACTTCCTTGTGACCATACTTGCAATGGACTCGACAACACACTGATTGAGGGTCCCAAACATAAGATAAAAACAAGGACCTCTCAAATGAAACAGATTACCATAGGAAACAGTCTGATCAATGGTACCTCTTCCCTAGTAAATTATGCCAGACGGGCCTTTGGGTCATCAGCTATTGTTAGCTCCATTATTTTGAGAGATTGAGGCCTCTTGGTATGTGTCTTTACGTGAACTTCCCAGTGGCTCTCAAGCTGTGTAGGTGGGACCTTTTTCATTATGTCTGGCAACTGTACTTTTTCCTCAGTCTCAAAACTCCAAATTGTTTGTTTTTCCAGGTACTTGGCCAGTGGATCAGGGGACACCACCGTAAGGTTCTGGGATGTCAACACAGAGACGCCACATTTCACGTGTAAAGGTACGATGAATAAACCATTCCTCTCGAGGATGAAACTGCCCGAACACCCTCACAGTATATGCACCAAAGACACCTGATGGAGAGTCCACCTTGTTGGTTACATTTGTTTATGAGTTGTACGTTCACGTTTAGTTCTCTGTGTAACAATAGGTTGTCCACACACTGTCAAAGAAGCGTGCGTGCCCCCAATTTAGGGATACCGGTAACAACCTGTCAGTAATGGCTCATGAGCACAGTCGTTTGATTCGTCTGTATCACCGTGATAGCGACTTCACTTGCTGTCTTACTGTCTTTGGTTCTTCCCTTCCTATCAGGACACAAACACTGGGTTCTCTGCATAGCCTGGTCCCCAGATGGACAGGTTCTAGCCTCAGGCTGCAAAAACAGTCAGGTAACTACCAACGATCCCATTGTCCACTCAGTACTCTCCCCTTCAACAAAGACAGCTTTCACTAATTTTTTTTTACTTACTCTTCGTCACATTTCCTTTTATCGGCCTGTCCCCTTTAGACTACAGTATTTATTGATCGGATGATTTGTAACACTTGTAAAAGTTCAGTTTTTTAGTTTAACTTGTATGATTGCTCCATTGTAATTGAACCAACAACTTGAACTATAAAAGTTCTTCCACTTTCTTGAGCTTCAGTTTGTAGGAGGGCTTCATTTTTACAGCAACAAGATTTTCTGGGCAATTTTTTGGGACATTAAATATTTACTTAATTAATACTTCTGTACAGATTCTGTTGTGGAATCCGGAGACAGGCAAACAGGTAGGCCGGCCACTGACCGGCCACAGACAGTGGATCACATGGCTGGCCTGGGAACCGTTACACAGGAACGGAAACTGTAGACATCTAGCCAGCTCATCAAAGGTACACTGCTTCTTCTGATGACATGAAGCTCTCACCCTGCACTCACCTTGCACTCATTCACTAGGAGGAATTAGCATCAGTGGGTCGGTGATCTCAGACTGATTTCATTGAGGTGCTAAGCAAAGAAAGTTGTTGAGCACACAAAATATTTGCTTAGCAAAAGAAGCCTGCCAACAGCCAAAAAGTCAAGGTATGCCCGTTCACTTTTAGGGGGAACGAGAGAGGGCGGGTCTTTACACAGCAACCACGGTCCTTTGTTGGGCACTTCACCGTCCTTTGGTGGGCTCTCACTGCGTGCTTGCTCAGGTTCATGCACATTTGGCGTGGGCTCAACCAGTTTCTGTTTAGATGTACCGTATTGCTGTGTGTGCAACAGGCGCGTGCACCAGCCTGGTTGAAAACCTTCCCATCAGCCTGTCTCTTCTTTGCTGGTGGGGGCACACTTCAACTCTAGGCAGATGGACCCAGGTACCGATTACGTCATGCTTTTTTGGCATGTGCGTTTTCGTATGGAAGCCAGGTAGAGACAACAGCTCCATAGGGAAGTGTACATGTGAACCAAGCAATACGTTATCAGCACATGGGCCAGTTGCGTCTAACCTGGTTAGTAACTTGGCAGGAACTTCATTGCATATTTTCTGAGATTCTTGAAGCCGCCTACAATGACAGCTGTACTGCACTTATCCTCACTTGTTTTGTGGCCAGGAAATTAATTCATGGTAGATTTGAACTTTGACCCTCACTCAGGATGCCACGATACGCATCTGGGATGTCAAGTTAGGAACGTGTCTTCGCTCTTTGTCAAGTCACCTACAGTCAGTCACATGCATCAGATGGGGAGGTGATGGGTTACTCTACTCGTCGTCTCAGGATAGGACCATAAAAGTATGGAGGGCAGAAGATGTAAGTGAAGATATTTTAAACCCAAAGTCTGTGATGAGGCCTGCCTTTATTGAATCATTAGGAGGCCACATACAGTGTTTGTCACTGTGCTAATGGATTGGAAAATCCTGTTTTAGTCATTGTATTGGTGTTGCAATAATGCAGTAATTGATTACAATTACAATTGGTCAACAAGTTTTTAAGTCGTCTGCTTTTGAGATAAAATGTACGATTTATTATGGATTATATTATGATTTATTATTATTTATATTTATTATTATTATTATTATGTATGATTTATTATTCAATTTGTCAATTGAAATGAATGATTGACTACAGTCACCAGAATATTTCAGTTTACATTTTACGTACCATAAAGTAACTAGTGTTCATAGCAAATTTTATTCACCAATTGTAAACCTTTTATTTTTCCCCCATACCTTTATACATGTACATATAGATAGTGACGCTGTGCCATATCTTGAAAACTAGAGCCAGTCAATAATGTTAGTATAGTTCCATTCTCGGTGACCCAGAATCAGTCAGGTTTGATTTCTGTTGTTTTGGAAGTACTTTGGCTGTAGACCAGTGTGACTGATGATGAAAAACAATGTAATAATTGATCTCTATTATTACCAGGCTGCTTGATCAAAATGTGACAACTAGAGCAAGTCAATTAACTGTCATTACTTGTCTCAAGCAAGGAATAATTGGATACAGATAAGCACAGAGGTGGTGATTGTATGGTTAATTGTGAATTTTAGTGAAGGATGAGATGCTGAAATATCTGCTGCATTTGTTGTAATAGTTTTTAAAGTTCACATGCAGACTTGTGGTTTTTGTTGTTTGTCTAGGGTGTCCTGTGCAGGACACTACAGGGGCATGGCCATTGGGTGAACACCATGGCCCTCAGCACAGACTACGTCACAAGAACAGGTGCATTCGATCCCTCCAAGGCCTCGCATGTTTACAGAAAAGTCACCGAGACAGGTACGGCTGCAACGTGAAGCACACACTCTCGTCGCAGTGCAATGCGCCCATAGGCACTGACCTGGACCGGCCAACGCAACAGACTCCACCACTGGCTTTTCTTTTAATCATAGAATCCTGAATCGCTTGTCTTGTTCTCTTCTAACTATTTGGAAATAATTCATAGTCAGGGTGACAAGTGGAATGAGCCCTTTAGGTATTAGGGTATTCCCTGAGTAGAGGCCTGCGGTGATTTTCGAGAATCACTTTTTGCTAATTACTTGATTGAAAAAACATAAATTACGGCCAACTGCAATGACCTCCCAGGTATTCCTACCTCTGGTCATGCTGAACAGCCTTGTTTAGTCTCTCTGTAAAAGTGGGGGCTTCCTTTTAGCCACATAAAAAAACACACTCCAGCCAGAGTCTGGCCAATTGCCATAGAAAGGTGTACATACTTTTTGCAGCTGGCAGACATAAAGAATTGTTTACTCAAGGGCTGCCTGACTTTCCCAGGCCCTGTCTGTGAACCATAAACGACCTCTGTAAAGGCTGCTGGGTCTCTAAGAAGCTTTGAGGCCTTCCAGGCACGTGCCTGGGTAATTCTAGACATGCCTTGGCAGCAGCATATGGTATAAGCATAAAGCGTAAGATAGAACAGCAGTAGGGTCAAAACTTACTACCTTTTCCTGTGATTTCTCTGCGGATTTAATGGTTATAGGGTGCAAAGGACATCAAGGAATGATTTTAAATTTTTAAAATGAAATCGATGTTCAAACAAACAATAACAGGGTGGGGCTAAAAAATCACCAACTTATGCATCCGTGGTGTGCACAATCTTCCACCTTCCAGCAGGGTTAAAGTGCGTAAATTTTACCTTGAGCCTAAACAACTGTTTATTCTATCAAAATGGTCATACATGTAATGCACCTGCATGAGGAGAAGTGAAGTCTATCAAAGATAAATTTTTGCTTTGTTGTGGACTAACCTGTTAAATGTTACAGTAAAAACAACAAAGAGTTATCCCTTCAGTGAATTTAAATTGTGCCGTTATTGAAAGGATGTGAGTTTGTGTTTCCCAGTTGTTTGTCCAATACTCACTGCATTATTAATAAACTGCAGATGGTGATTCCCTGTAGATGTCCGCAGCATGACGTTCGACTTATTTTTGAGAGATACTGCAATCCAGTGAAACCAATTTGATGTCCAAATGGTGGTTTGTTCTTTTCCACAGCTGATGAATTGTCCAAGTTGGCCCAGGAGAGGTACACCAGTGTAAAGGTGAGTGGATAAATCAAGTAAGTTCAGAAGATTGTCGTTTGTCTCAAACATAGTATTACCATTATTAATAAATTTGTATTGGTCAAGAGTACATGTATAGTAACTTCTTAATTAAAGTTTTGTACATTGAGGTGGAAAAATGAATTTTATTAACATACAGTAATTTGAAAGGTCAAGATAAAAATGTTCAACAGTTGTTAGGTGCTGTAAACCTGTGTTCCAGTATTGTACTTGACTGTTGGTCAGAAATGAAACCAAGGCTATTTATTGGTTGGCAAATGTCAGCTGATTAGGTTCACACCCACTGATTGGCCTCCATCGTGAGGTCAACATGTGGATGTCTTGTTGAATCTGCACCTGTGTTATAGACTGTCATCTGAGCTTACAGGGTATTTCTGACCACTAGCTGAATCACAAATGTCTTTCTGTTACTGCGGTCATTGACTTCAGGGCACAGAACCTGAGAGGCTGGTATCCGGTTCTGACGACTTCACCCTGTTTCTTTGGCACCCATCAGAAGACAAGAAGCCCCTGGCAAGGATGACGGGGCACCAGCAGCTGATCAATGAGGTGGCATTCTCCCCAGACACCAGACTAATAGCCAGCGCTTCGTTCGACAAGTCCGTCAAACTGTGGGATGGGCGATCAGGAAAGTGAGTCCGAATCCACACCAGCATGGCCACTCGCAATCATTTGTGGTTCTTCATGGCAAAAAAGAGCTGTTCCTGTTATTAGTGAAATTGCACTGAAGTTTGAACTAATGGAAAAAATTCAAATAACTGGGTCATGATGTCAATTGTTTCGGAAGATGTTGCTCATTTCTTCCCTGTACATGTTTTATTTCAATCAAATTGATTTTTTTTTACAAATTAACACTTCAAATTTGCCTGTCAGCAGACGTTATAGTGTGGTTTGATTTGTTTCAATTTTCCAGATTCCTAACAACTCTCCGGGGTCATGTCAGCAAAGTATATCAGGTAGGTGCTGATGTGGGCACAGGGTTTGTTGATCAGGTTTGCTGGTTGGCATTTAAAGTTTGAGAATGGAATACAAGAATATGAACACTTGCACCTCGCTACACATGCATCAAATTCAATGCATACTCCAACTTAACCAGGAGATTTCACCTCACCAGTTTCCAGAATTCATGAATTTCAGTTAATAGCCATTGCAAAGACTATTAGTTGCCATCTGGTATTAAGCTAATTCAATCATGCCTTAAGCACCTGCTCACTTAAACTTGGAGATTTTACTCCAACAAGGGAATGATAAGAGTACATTGACCTTGCAAATCTTCAAATATTTGTATGCAAGCCAAAAGAAGATAAAAACGTAGTTTAGTTTTGTTGGGGCAGAAACAAGTACTGTGAAACATGTTACAGGCTAAAGTGTATCCAACCATGCAGAGGGCCTTTCTCTGTGATCCAATTCCAACTTGTCAGGCCATTTTGTACATGTGTGGTTGTAATAGTAGATGGCTTGTGAAGTTGTGTAAATGGCTTGGGCTACCCCTCACCCTTGGGTGAGAGAGGCAGGGCCAGCACTAGAATGCCATTGCTGCAATGTACCTAGCAGCCAGTGCTTAGCTGTATGCATTGGAGCGTGATAATCATGTTAACACGTGTACACGCTCGAGTGCACAAACAGCACGACCCACTGTTAATAAGCATAGTATAGAGAAAGTGTGACATTATTTTGAACCAGAAAATTTAGTGCAAACGGATGGAGCATGCTCGAATGTGTTGGTTTACGCACTGGTTCTCAAGCTAATGCCTGGTACATACATAATTGAGTGCATGACATATTCACCCCCATACTCTACATGTACTCTCCTATCACATTGTTCTTTCAAGATGGCAGACAGGGAACCGTTACCGTTTGTGCGATGTGACCCGAGAGTAATGCGCACGCAATATTTTCTCACACGAGCATTTTGCGAAGAGCACACATGAATGCAGCCCAAATGACCAGCTAGGAAATAAGTGTATACATGTGGTGTTACGACCCTGTTAGCATTATTGCTGGGCAAGGAGCGCCCTCTCTTGCCGTGCTTAAAACTCTGGCACCCTGAAGTGCTTTGCATTCAGCCAATATACGTGTATGTCCTTATATTTGTGTTGCTGTGTGGTTGGTGCAGGTGTCCTGGTCATCCGACAGCCGTCTCCTCTGCAGCGGCAGCGCCGACAGCACCCTCAAAGTCTGGAACATCAAGACAGGCAAGATTGCCATTGACTTACCGGGCCACGCAGACGAGGTTTACGCTGTGGACTGGAGTCCTGATGGCCAGAGGGTAGCTAGTGGAGGAAAGGATAAAATCCTGAAAATGTACGATTTTGAAATGACGTTCAGTTTCACACGTCCATTGTTCATATAACCCCAACTCTGTAGGTACTTGTACCTTTGTAGCAAAGCTTACTTCATTTGTCAGAGTGCCTCAAAACATTGACAAAATTGTGATGAACTCAAATTACATGTAATTGTTGAATTAAGAATAGAAAGCTATTGACGATATAGATTCAGCTTATAATTTGTATTTTGAGGGAAAGGTATTTTGTTTTGCCTTTCAGATGGAGAAAATAATTTGCTCCCAGAGAACCAGACAGCCTTCAATCTTCACTGGCTTCTACGTACCATGATAATTCTATCATCTGCATAGTCTTTCTGCCTAGTATTAGTAAGGCTTAGCACCAAGTAGGAATTCGGTGCCCTTGTGAGCATATATGCATCATGAAACCCTCATGAGGGTCATCTATGAGTTAAAAAACATTCAACGTGGTGGTTTTCTCTGTGACTGGTCACTTTGTGAGATGAGATAAACAGAGCCATCAGGCGATAAATCCTCGTGTTTATTTATAAACTTGAGTGATTTTCAAATATGACGGAGCATTCTAGTCAATCAGTGGTCTCATTAGGTTGATGTCACAGACTGACTGGCACAGTCGAGTGTTTCCTCGACGCACCGTGGATCCTTCCCGTGAGGCCGTGTTGTTTTCGAGGAAAGTCAGTGACTTTAATTTGGACACTGAGCGAGTTTCCCTATGTACCACCCAAGTGTGGAAAAGCGCATTTGTGTGAATCCACCAGTGGGTCAGCAATGTGAGACACTTCAAATTGGCCAAAATCCAACACAGCTTCAGTAATTTTCTGGCGTGTTGTTTGGAGTTACACAGCATACATATCGACAACAAAACCCCATGCGCAATAATGGCAGCTAGGCTCTGCAGTAGAGCATTCGTCAAAATCCAGCCAGCCCATTTTTTTTTTTGGATGCGGAAAAGATACAATTGAGATTTAAACGAGATTACCCAATCTCATTGTAATGCACACAATGTAAACGGCACACTCCAAAATACTGTTCAATAAATTTATTTCATAAATAATCATGATAACAATTTAAGAGCAAACAATCTGGATATTACTTTAAATGGCCTCTTCTGTATTTTGCCTGTAAAAATGTACAACCGTCATCATCAATCTTGATGAATTTTAATATACGTTTACGTGCACTTGTTCATAACGAAGAAGTGCTGCATAAACAGCAAGCCTTTTCTTTAAGTTTTAATTTACAAGCAGGAAACGGTTGCCATTGTATATCCCAATAAATAACTCTCCTTTATGCATCTGTTGGTGTACTCATAAACACAAGTTCTATTTGTTGTCCATGTCTCGTAATACTTGTACACAATTAGCTGAGGTACATTCTTTGTACAGTTTTCCTGTTTTAGCTGTTGGCATGGAATGCCAGTAATACACGCTACCTTGGTAAACACAGAAAAACCCGAACAACTAAATAGGACTGAAGTGGGAAGATTAATGCTCCTGGTACTTTCTTAGTTAGGTTTGGCCAGGGAGCATTTTTTAGCTTGTTTTTGCCTGCCTCTATGACACATTTGACTGTCGCCGTAACACTGGACAGATATTAGATAATGCAGCATCATTAGAAATGACTGGTAAACGTTGTTAACTCATTCAGATCATCTTTGCTGCACCAAGCAAATGCCATCATCCAACAAAGTTTTACTCACTACAGCTGTGCCAATCATGCGCACCGTGTGTATATGCTAACTCTGATATCCTCAGTAGAGTGTCTTCGCACCAACTATTATCAGGAGACACCATGCATGTAAGTTCATTGGCATTATACAGTTGGGGCCAAAAATGTATGTGCACTTGGTAAAACAGTTTTCCTCAATTTTTTTTGCTGTTCAATATAGTTTTGCCAACTTTTATAACGTCAGACAAATTGTATCTCAACTTAATGTTCGTAGTGTGTACTTCAATTATGGTTCACAATATTATTACTTCTGAGAAATCATATTGTGAAAAATTTTAATCTACCCCCTTACTGTGGTTTAAACACTTCAGAGAGGGGTCAACTGTGACTATGAAATGTTACCAAAAATACAGAAAGCGGCACTCAATATGAGGGTTGGAGTATATAAAATTTTGATTTTTTGGGGGTAAATATACATATGAATCATATATACATCACCGGGTGTTTTTATATGATGCATACACTATGTACATTAGCTATAGACCCATCTCTTTTGTCTTTATGAAGTTTGCAGGAACGAGTGAAGTTGTGAAATTCAGAGATGTTAAAATTCAACTTTTTAGCTGATTTCAGCTTCTTTTTTGTTCAAATGTTGACCCTCAATTTCAGCTTCTTCATGCACTTGCTGCATACAAACCTGTGGGGATTTCTTACATTCAGCATTGTGCTGTAAGTGACCACTCACACCCCTGGAAATTTGAGGAAAGCTGTTTTTGTTCTCCCAGGCGTATGTAAACATTTTGCCCCAACTGTGCATGCAAGCATACGACATGCTTTCTTAAACTTGAGGTGCATTTGCAGTTGCAACAACCAATCAAAGATTCATGTAGGGGTAAGTCCAAGTGACGACTTTCGTTAACTGTACTTTGATTCACACCGCCTGAATGATTGATGGTTGGGCCTATCTATTCAATCTTTTGAAACCAGACATTTGGGCATGGTCGCATCGCAGTTCGATAGCTGATTCCATTTGTCATTACAGAGGGAACCATTTGTCTTTCCTGGTTGGGTTTCTCACTGATGGCAATGAAATTTGATACCAGTTGCACTTAATGCCACTGTACAAGAATACACCTGTACATTATATGACTATTTAGGTAAAGGGAGAACAAAACCAAGTTCACACTTTAAACATGTTGTGTGGAGAGTTATTGCCCCTCTGTTCCAACTACTTCCTAAACCTGAAGACAATGTTGTTGCGAGAACGCTCTTTTTACCAGTTCCTGGGAGTTTTCTGCAAAAGTTATGAATGTTTCAACAGGTCATTGTGAAGAGTTTGTGTAAAGGTTTAATGGCTGGGTGTTTTATCCAAAATCAGCTAAGGAACACAAAAATAGGAAGCAAAACAACACCAATTTTTTGGAACTCAAAATACATGTAGAAGGTTTTTGTCCAAAGTGGTATAGCCATTTTGTGCCTGAATGTATACATCAACATTTAGATTAAAACAAAAAAGGGCCTAGAAATGCCATTGACTGACACAGCAATGCCAAGACTGAAAATGAAAACATGTCAACACAAAATATAAATAGGACATCAATGATTCTATAAATTTCTGTTGTTTAGCCTCTTCCATCATCATTACAAAAATAATAGTGATGTTTTTGGTCAGCAATCCAACTATCTGGACGCAGTTGACAGCCTTGATGGCTGGTAGTGAACATTCTGGAAAAGCAGTGTGCCACCTCTCGGTGAATGTCAGTGAGCAAATGCAACTTTGATTAGCCAGATGTGTTTGTGATATTTCCTTAAAAGCCATGCATTCAATTTTTGGTGAACATACTAAAAGCTTTTAAATCTCCTTGACCAATTCAGATGGGCGACCAAGCCACAAGACTGGTACCTTCCACATCATTACATGCATGGCATCCCGTATGCCATGGCTTCAGGGAACCACAGGAACATGGCTGCCTCCTGACTCCTGAAAGTCTGCAGATGATGTCTTCTCTAGGAAATTCAGGAACATAATGTCCCCAGAAGAGGCTCAAATAGTTTCAATCCTCGTCGGAGCTGGAGTCGCGGCCTAGTTCATCAATGTCAGGCATAGGGAAACGTAGTATTGCTGCCACTCCAGTGAGCAAGTCGAGTTCTGTGGGAAGATAACGACATGCATATACATATGCCGTCACTCAGAATCGTCCAGCTGCATGGATTATCTGCTTTTTCAACAGTATCCACCCTGAGCTGAAGTGTGCCCTCGCCAGCAAAAGAAAGACAGACGGTGTTAAGTTTTCAAACTGGGTTCTTGTACACGTTCGCCGTGCACATGAAGACCATACACTCCATACTAAATATGTTGCACATACTAAGTGTGCTTCGCATCAATCACGCATATCTTGCGCCCATATGCAATAACACCAAAGGACTGTCAATTTCATTTCAAAACACGCCCTCTTTTGTTCCTGCTCGGAGCAGATTGCATACAGCTTCAGGACACGACCCACAAACACGCCATGGGGCAATGTTTTAGTAAATAAGGAAGTAGTGAAGATGTAAGCAGCAATTACCTTTACAGATTTTATTTTTAAATGCTTTTATACATATGCAGATTACTTTAAGAATGCTACCATATGAAAAGGTACTGTGAATTGAAAACTTATAAACAAATGTTTTCATTGAATATTTCCACCTCTGCAGAATAAAGGAAAATACGCAAGGTAATCTCGTGTTTATGACCAGACATTTCCAGCAATTTTCAGTGGGACATAACGGATAAACCGATGTCGGATTTGAACATGCAAGCTGTTTAACACCATACAGATGCTCAAACCATTATTGTGGTCAAGGCCTCTTACGACCATCACAAGACCCCACAGGACCTGACCTCCAGTCTGAATTCAAGTCACAAGCTCTTCAAATGAACAGCAACAAGTGCATTCCTTTGTTATTGTTCACCCTCATACGTGTGGCTGGTCTTGCGGCTGGTCGTGTGAAAAGGTCTTGTGATGGTCTGGACTACAACTCTGGCTCGTACAAGGAGTTTCCTGGCCCAGTTGATGATCACTCTAACGGGCGATAATTGTTCTTTACGGGCACTATACTGTACATTTCAATTGTGTGTGGTACCCAATATTTCAACTTACGTTCGCCTGACACATGCAGACTTGAGAATATCTTGACATCGCCCCCATTCTCTCGAGCGCTCTCCACCAAGGCAACGTAGCGCTGGCGCTGAGCAATGTCCTGTGACCTGATTCGAGGACAGAGACAGATTATGAACACATGATCATCTATCTTGTCCCATGCTAGTGGAATCCAAACATTAAGGTTCTTTTTCAAGATGCACCATGAATGAAGGTCAATACAAGTAAGGATACTGACAAGGAAAGGAATAAAGGCTTGACTGCATTGCTGAATTCCTAAAACAAAATAACAAACAAACAACCCAACAAACAAACATTGTCTTAAATCTTCCGGAGAATTATCTTCCACAACAGGAATGGTAAGATTGAGCCTTTCATTTCTTGTGATCAAATGTCATGGTATGTCTGCCATTTCCCCTCACCATAGATCATGACAGGTGAAAAGACCACAAAGTACACCCTCCACAAGACTTTATAACATCTGCTTGTTCATGTTAGTGATGTTAGTGCTATACTCAGGCGCAAGGGTTCAAAGTAACACTTTGTCTATTACAGAAAATAGGCCTTTCCTTAATTAAATGACATCAGATTGACATCAAGAAAAAAATTAATACAAATAAAAACCTCCCTAAACCCCAACAAGTTCACACGAATCCCTTCACCGTCCTCTTCAGTAAATAATATGCTTGAATAAAAACCAACCTGAAGAGCTTGTCACTGATGAGCAATGTCTCTATGGCAGTGGCAGCATTGGCAGTCTCCACTTCAGTGATTCTGCAACAACAAACAGAGACCCTGCATGGATGAGTATTCAACAAGGGAAAGTAAGACCACTGCTAAACAAATCAAATTGACTTGGAGATGGTTGGTGATGATATAAAAAGACCCAACGTTAATTGAAAAGCGAAGGAACATTAATCAAGAGAACTTCTTAAAATATGCAAGAGAAAGGGTATAAATGTTGAACTATCTGACATGTTGCTGACGTCAAATTTTGGCACAGTTTGTGACGGACAACGAAAATGCAAAAAGTTCATCTGCCCGCTACGAGAAGCGGAAAACAGGAATAGCATGCATTAGAAAACTAAGTGTTCCCATTGAGAAATCTGTCTAGAAAAATACACAGCAATCTTTTGCCTAAAGGCGGTGTCACACCTCATGCAAAAGTAAACACGAATGCGAATTGCTTTTGCGGCAAAATTACAAATTTGCAGCGCAAAATGTTTTGTTGTTAACACAGAGACTGGCCTTCATACTTTGGTCGAGTATAAGCCAGCCTGATGAACAGACCACGACAGAATAGAGCACAGTCTGGACATTACAAATGTTTCTTTGGGGTTTTTACCCATAGAAGGCCCTGTCTGGTTCATTCTGCAGCATGTTGTAGAAGGCATCTAGTGCTTTCACCTCCCCTGCTGCTTTGGTGTCAGCTAGCCTTGCTGTTACCGCTGGGTTGGACAATACCTCTAATGGAAATGGAATTTTTAAAATAAACAAAACTTCTCTGATACGTGTATTTGATGAATGGAAATTTAAAATTCATGAAATTTCACGAGATGAAATATTGGGCTTTTGGAGGAGCAAATCATTTCAAAAGATTTCAAGCTTGACATTTTCTTTAATGATCTCCGTTTGGGCTGAAAGGACACCGAATGGCCAACTTTATATTTTGCATGACCTGGTTACTTGGAAAACATGGCGCACAGAATACTTGGCACACAGAGTGCATGACAACGTTGAACTAAATCAAATGCCAATAAAATCATCTCATGAGACAAATGACACCAAAGTGCCTTCTATCAAACAGCTGCGTTTCACATTTTCAAGGCAGGGAACATCGTTATGATTGACGCCCACCCAAGGGGGAGATATGAGCGACCGAATGGGAATGTAAACATTTTGCAGTAACAACAGAAACTTCTGACTCACCTTTGAGAGCATGCTTGTGCCCGGAGGAAGAGTGGACCAGTAGAAACTTGGGCTTGTTCTCTAGGAGGACTTTGTTCTCCAACTTAATGGCTTCTTGAAACATGAACTCACAAAACTGGTCCTGAAACAAGATGGCGGATAACCTTGTGAAGAGTGACATTACAACAGACCCCACAATCATACTGGTATGGTACAATTCAAAGAACAATATGCGACCATAGAAGAGTGAAAGTCCATTTTAAGAGCAACTTTGAACACTGATTGTGGTCAAACATACATTTTGAAGAAATGTCACTGTCTAACTTCTCCAGTAAAATGTGATCATAAACAGATGATGCAACATACTAGAATATCATTTAACCTGTTCTGTCCAAATTACCACAGTGAGTCAGTGTGTAATCCATGTGTCCAATGTACAACATAGAATTTACCTTCACAAAGCCCGGACTTGCTACTAGCACACATTTAACAACTGTGGAGGAAAGAGACAAGAAAAAAACACCGCCCATGCTATCAAAGTGACATTCAATTCAATTAACACACACATGCAAGAACTCTGCTAAAACAAAAATGCCATCTGATCAAAAGCGTAAGCTATAGAGAATATTTTAATCTATCTGTCCCTGATGACAAGCATGCAGGATTTGAGGATTAAAGCTGAAACCAATCTGCGGCTGGAGGCTGTAGGACAATTGAACAGGACAGGTTTGAGGTTGTATCCAAGCAAAAGGCCTAGGCAATTAGGGTTAATGTGTTCCTAGTGTTACATGGACGGAATAAAGAGCTAGAAGTCATGCTCACCATCGAAGTTGACATGTCTAAGAATGGCCTGCATGAGGGCATCGTAGAAGCGCAGCAGGGCTTTGTCGTGCTGTGAGCAGGACCCCTTGCGTTTGCGTGGGATGTTGTGCTCGATCTTGGCCCGCACCAAAGTCATGCTGGGGGTGACCAGGCAGATGAGTGCTAGCCCCTCCTGCATCACGACTGCGGCCACGTCGGCCATTTGCGCCGCGTCACAGGCCGTTTCTGAAGGGAATGAGAATTTCATGAATTGTGAGAATGAGTACTTTTGCCCGTTTTGAATGATCCTTTGAAAAATTTGTACATGGTGGGTTTAAAATATCTTATGTGGCAGAACAAAACACTTCAGATGTGGTAACTTGCAGTATATAGAGTTAAGCTACTGTATAACATGATTATACGCCATGGCTTCATGACCTAGCTGTACTCATCATATCTAGTGGTAAACGTGTGTATGCATGCCGACGATGCATGTATGAAAAAAGATTTGGTTACAAGTGACGTAAGGTTTCAGATTTAATCTCCACCTCACCTATTCTTTCAAGGTCGACTGCATCCCACAACTGCTTGGCAAGAGTGAATTTTCGGTTGAGCTCTAAATCTAATGTATGATATGCCCCCATCTGTGAGGGAAAACATCAAGAAGTTATTCACAGTATGGGTAACTATCACATCAGTGGGTATGTGAAGTCCTAACTAGCGGAAGCAGGATTTCTTCTGTTTCTCAAGTATTCCACATCAGCACTTACATGAGTGGTACGGGGATAATGAACAAGTCAAGAAGAGAGAAAAGACAGGCTGGATTGAGTACCATTATCTTGGCACCTTGCATGTATTGCCCACACAAATGCCCATGTAAAAATAGCAGTGCGCGCTGGTTTGTACATCATTCATGTACATTATCTACCTGAACCACAGTAAGGAAGTGGTGGGTTGGTCCAACAGGATGCAGCTTTGTAAAATATGACCTCTCTTTTCTCAAATAAAATTCTCAGCACAGGAATTACACAGACTGATCTCTATTGTGTTAGTGACTGTGATTTTTTTCAGGAACCTTCAGAAGAGTAAATTTCTTAAAGGGTTCCCCCCTCCCACACTTTGAAACCCCTTCCCCCAACATACTGGGAGGCCTTTCCTCTATCCTACCTTAACATACTGGTTCTCCTGGATGTTGCGGCCTTTGACCCGCAGCACGCAGGCCTGTACGTCAAAGTCCACGTCCTCCACCGAGACGGTCAGCACGGTGCGGACCCGGTTGCTACTGCTGCTGCCCGTGGCCGTCTCGGTGGTCACCTTGCGGACTGTGGTGGACCGCAGGCTGTCGCCAGCCCGGATCAGGTTGAAGGCATGCCACATGTCCTCCGACTCCTCCGGGATGAGGGTCACTTGCCTGCATGAACCAAACCCCCAGAGGTAGAACAACTGGCTCTTTGAAAATGTTTGACCATGGGGAACATGAACTCTGTGGAATTGCTCATGAGGACACATGAAAAACACATCCATAGTTTGGAACACAAAGATGAGGGTTTTGGTTTAACATTTCAACCCTCTTGCACAAAAGAGTCGATCGATATGTTTAAAACTGGAAATGCTACTGGCGCATATTCAAGTTGATTGTGAAGAATATTTATTGCAATAGAAGTGCTGGACTGACTATTTTATGTACTGGTTTGTTTTCTTGGAACTGCATCTTGGAGCTACCTGGGCCTGATTTCACGGTTTCATTCACTGTGAGCAAAAATCAGTACTAATGTACATGTAGCACCGTGTACATGTATCTCAGGAGTTATTACAGAAATAGGGAAATGTGAATAATATGCCTAGTCTAAGGGCTTTGTGCTTGCTGGTTACTTGGTGAATGCAGAATTTCAGTGCAAGAGATTTAACCACTCACTCAGAGTAATATTTCGCCTGAAAATGTGACATCATACAAGGGTTAGATACATGTACAGTATATCGGCCAACAACAAACATACTGTATGCCCAAATGTGCCACTGCCACAAATGCTGGCTCTTGAAGGTTACTTCTTACTGTATTCTCATAAAATACCTGTACATGTATTTAACACTTTAACCCTAGTGACCCCCAAGCAGCCAAACTCCATCACCAGCCTGTTGGAATCTGTTAGGATGAGTACTGCACTAGTGTACTGACTGTGTTTTATGTGGGATTAGGCATACTGCAATTAAACAGGGTCCAACTGTTTATGCGCAAAGTTCACTATACATGCTATACGGTGTTGCGATTTGCACTGATGAGAAAGTTTCCTAGTAAATCACTCTTGTGAATTAGGGTTAAGGCCCCCCTACAGCAACATCTGCTCCAACGCAGGATGTGTACAGCCGCCAAGTTCAAGCTCATCACATGGTCCACCTCTACAGACTTCCTGGATGTTGTATGCTTCTACACTGCATACAAGACCTGGCCTCTGGTGCAAAGTCATTAATTATGAACACGGCAGACTGATTGTAACCTGTGTATAACTGAACGGTTAACACAATAACAGAGCCACAAAACTAGACCATAATGTTTTTGGAACCTAACCATTTAAGAAGGTCTTACCCTGCTCCATCTTTCTCAAGATCCCGGCTGACAAGCTTCATCTTGATGATAACACCACCTTCAAGCAGTAATTCCTACACTTAAGATCGCAAGGTAAATCAGTTGGTCTTGTCACAGTCACTAAAGACTATCTTAGGGCATCAGGAGTCTGTGTGTTTTCTTGATTTGACTTCTTGCTGCTACATCCATTTTTTCACACAGAGTGAGGTCTGCCAGAATATAAATGAATGACATGTGTGAGAAATATCTCCACACAGAAAACAGTGCATTTATGATGAAGAAAATAGTCAGTAGCTGTGACACATGTACTATGGGACAGCACAGCTGTGTAGCCAGTGATTTTTCACTGAATGTGCACAAAAAAATTGCAAAATATTTGCTGGAGTGTGGAATACATCTCAGGTCTTGCTTTACACTTTTATAAATTCAACATCGTCACAACTGTTGTGAATTAAGGGGGACCAATGTTTCATACGGACCACTCTCATTTTGCCTACAACTGGGAGACCACAGTTTGCAGAAATACATGTATCACATTTTGGATGGTTTTCAATTTTACACCCAGTTCATTCAAAATGGATATTTGTCTTGCTGATTTTAAATAGGGTTGTATTTTCTTTTGCTGGGAACCATAAGAGCTTGATGTGGCCATGATGTGGCAAAAAGCCTGAGAGTAAAAGATTACGCAACAAGTTTCCGGAACCCTTGCGCAGTCCACCTATGGGGATTTTACATTGGGCCGTCCTATCCCATCCGATAATTTTAAATAATTGGAAGAATAATTCCTAACTGAAACCACCCCATGAAACACTCATTAGAATATTTCATAGAAGTAGATTAACGTTATTACCTTAAAATAAATTGCAAATTATGTAAAATACCTGTATTTTGGTCTGTTTTTATTTCAGCTTTTACAGACAGACTGCCATAAAATTTCAGACCATATATGTAAATGTTCATGAGACCACCAAATTGGACTGTTTATGTACATGTATTTTAGATTTTCAGAAGTGATGGATCGACTTTTGGTGGGATATTTCTCTTTTAGGTCTGGTAATTTTTCAGTTTCTATAAATTGATATACGTGTACAAGCAAATATTTTCTAAAGCCCTTTTTCCAAGTTGGATTTTTTTGAAAAGTAACTGAATGAAAATATATTACAAATTCTAAAATCTTTGCACACAATTTTTCCTATCCAAAGGTTCTGGAAGCGCGCCATCAGGGGTCAACTTTGCATCTGGCTGTGTAGCCAGCCACAGGCATGGCAGGGTTGTCTGTGTAGACTTACAATATTTAAGATGTTTACGTTTTGCTCTATGCTGTTTAAAACGTGAATGTGCTAAACTTTCTGTAAATTGTTGAATGACTCCAATCTCATCTTGCCAAAATATGCCCTTAACCCAAACAGTCCTCAATCCTTCACCTGTTGGAGGACTGCGGACTGTCAAAGTTAATGTGCAAATTCTGAGGACTCTTTTGAGGACATGAACATGATGAAGGACAGTAAGTTTTTTTTTACATTCTGTTCTATATTTTTTTCTTCAACAGCACTATTACTATAATAGACTAATCTAAAACCTGGTAACACTTGTTCGCTAGACAGAAAAGGTTAAAGTTTAAAAGGAAGACATGTAGAATGACATGCATCATATGCATATCTTAATAATATTTTATATTTTATTCTATCAAAAACATCGCATTCACGTTGAAGAGGCACAGACGTCATGTATGTGGGAAGTAGAAAATTGAACCGCAGAAGAATTGATACTAGAAATCTTAAGTATTGGCTAAACATGATAAATATTTAGGATAAACATATGACGCAAGTCATATTTGTCCCCTTTTCCGCCCACCCGCTTGCCCTTATTGCATCAGGGTTTAGAATGTGACATATGCCGTGCGTATCCGGCACCTAGTTTCAGACGCGTACCGCGCGCACATGAACAGATGAGATAGCCGGCCCGGCAGCCGACTAACCTTGCGTCTTTCAATGTTTCATCATCAGTGATTTGTAACAAAAATGTTGCACCACGAACGGTGAATCCACAGAAAATATCATATCTTACCAACAGGCAATATATTCCTCCCTCAGGATTTTTTTTAACAGCGCAGACTGTGAGAAGATGACCAAAACGTTGACAAACTGTCCGTAAACAGATTGCGGTTTTCACCCAGGTTGACCTTTGTTGACCTCTGCCACGTTGCGACCCGGAAGTAAATTGTACCTAAACTTGTTCAAGTCTGTCATAAATTTTGTTGGGTGGGCGGATGGATGGGGGAGGGTCCAACCTCCATAGTGAGGGCAGGTGGTCCTCATTTGCAAACCTCAATGCAAGGAATCTTCCATGCAGAATACACCTTCCCCGTATGCATGAACATATTAAATCCACGTACTTTTCTCAACAATTATTATAAGCCAAACAAAGGATCTATTTCTGGTACAGTGTACATTTAACACCCTCTGTTTGTCGACTGGGTAATACGTGTACATGTGAGACTCCTTTTGGACTACAGAGGAAACAGGAAAGTATCACTTTTGAAATCAACCATGGGAGCTCATTGACTTTTCTTAAGGTTTCAATCTCAACCAAATGCGACCTACATTGTACCTTAAGAAACTGCATTCATCTCTCCTACCCTTCCCACACTATCAATTTCTGTAACCTATTACTGTTTGAACGTTGGCCATGTGGCGTGGTCAGCCCTATGGAATTTCGCACTTCGAGCTTTGTCCTAGATTTGGCACTTTCCGCTTCCATTTTGTATTCGACAAGGTTTCACAAGCTGCACCGATGTAATTCGATAACAATAAGTCAACTGGTCCCTCCCTGTCTGATTCAAATCCCTTACATGAATACATGTACATGTATGTGGAGTTTAACTGTGAATGGAACCATTGGCAGTGATCAAAAAGGCAGTTATGCCCACCGACAGCTTGATGCTTTTCCTGTTTTACACTGGGCCTGGAAACAAAAATCTTGAAAAAAGAGGAAATTGACAAAAAGCCACACATACAAAATTAAATTTTCCCAACAACCTTTAATCATGTTAACTGGATGTCTTGAAGTATATGCCACCACTAAATATAATTTGTTTTATATACATCAAACAGGAGAAAGCAAGCTATAATACAGTCGCATATTTACAACAGTTCTTCCAAGAGAAGTCTGATTTGTTTCTGATGTTGTCTATCTTCATAGGACCTTTAAGCTGAACAAACTGAATTCATGGTCTTTTTTAACAAAGATAAAAGCACAAACAGGGAAAATAAATGGGAAACTAAGCAAACCATTTCAGCATTAGTGGAAAGTAATTGCTTGAGGACTTCTGCTACAGTTTAAGCCATCAATAAATTGTGCTTGATGAAACTGATAAGCTGGCACACATATTTTGCTAAGCAAGACACGTTGATTTTAAAAGTTTGGGCTACAGTCATGGTTGTGAAATTACTCTCTATAAAGTTGAAGGTGACCTTAACAAAGTTAGGCTGAATGAGTACTGTAAATCTGGTGTGCATGGTATATACAGCACAACAAAATCCACTTAAAAGGAATTGGTTCAAGGGGGGAGGTGTGTTTATTTCACAGGTAATCAAGCGATGGAAAGAGGTCAGTGAAGGACTCCTCCCATACACTGTCCCCGAGGTTGGGTGACATGGCCTCATCGCTGAATGGGGATGCTGGGGTGTCGCTGAATGCTGAATCAGCAGAGCTGCCCGTCTCGCTCTTTGTGTCGCAACTTGTGACGTCAGAGTCCAACCCGAGCATGTCCGAGATGTCGCAGTCAAAGACACCGTCATCGATGGACAGCAGGTTGGGGACTGTCGTGTCTTTTGTATCCAAAGACAGTGAGGCATCTTTCAGTGACACCAGCATGTCCTGCAGGGCAGCTTCTGCCTTGTTTGGCAGCATGTTGCTACAAAATTCTAAGGCTGAAGCAGGGGAGTCCTCACCGGAAGTCAAGTCCACTACTGACTCTTCCATATCCAGACTGATTGCTGGCTCCTGGGGCTTCGGTTTGGCAGCAACTGAGTTAGCCATCTTCTCCTGTTCAATGATAATCGTAGGTGTGGGAATGGGTGGCCTCTTGACATACTCATGATCGAAGCGGATCAGTTCTTTGAGGGATTCCAACTCTTCTGTTGAGGGCCCCACCACTGGGTAGGCACCGTCTTGGCCTTGGCTGGTTTCGTAGGAGCCTCGTCCAAGGTGACAATGTGCCGGGTCTTGGGAGTCCAGATTTTCAAGCAATCCCAATAGCACATCAGACTGTTTGAGAAAACACACAATGCTTTGGGTAACTTTTCTATGAAGGCATCTTAAACACTTTACAAGTTTCCAACTTATTCAATTATGAGAAAAGATTAAACATACACCGCGTGATGGCAGTCAAACAAAATGTGCAAAACTGTAATACAAATTAGTAACTAGTATAAATCATATAAAACTGATTGATTCAGTGAAACTGTCAAATGTGAGAAAAGCAGAACTATCCTTGCACAACTTAATTTTCTATAAAACTTTTTTCCACACACCTTGTATTCATTACAATGACATACATAAATTTTGGCATGACTGAGCACGTGAGAGAAAGGGTGAATACTGCAAAGTCACAATAAAGTAGAAGATACAACCTATCTATCACTCATGATCAAATAAACAAACCTCAAGCAGAGAAGTGTTGCCAGCCATGCTGAAATCAGTTGGATCTGCACCTGCTGCGGAGGAGCGTTGAGTGCTGCGGACTCAGGTGATCCAACTTCCTTCTTTATGACGACCACATCTTTGTCTGTCTTGGTCTCCTGTAGTTTGTATTCAGAGAAGGAAATAAAAGTTTGGCACAATTTAAAGAAGGAAACTTGACTTGTTCACAGAGTTTCAGTTATCATCACTGGACCTGTCAACCACCTACATGTATATGATGTCAACTGTTTTGATTACTTCAAAAGGATTCCTGACTTCAGCCCTCATTTGTAGTTAAAAATGACTTTTACAGGAAGGCATGGAAAATTACATGCACTTCCTCTGTTTGTAAATGTACATCGTATTTCACTTATAAACAGTAACCCGAGATATTTAAAATATGAGGAGATAAAATTTCCAACTTTTTTTGTTACGGGGTATTGTGCCTTTATCCTACCCCCCCAAATTAAATCTCTTTTTTTTAAAGTGCAGACCATATTACACACCATTTTAATGTCAGAAACTAGCCCCAATCTCTGTCTGAGTTCCTGGTTCTCTTTCACAAGTCTCTCATTCTCTTGCTTCAAGGCCTCGTTCTCTTTCACCAGCTCTTCGTTGGCCAGCTGTGTCATTCCAAGGGTCTCTTCCATGCTGTCCATGTGGGCCTTCTTGCGGTCTCTGGCTGTCTGGGCTGCCACCCTGTTCTTCAGTTTTCTGTTATGTTGTGGGATTCATAGGAGAATGGCCACAAAAGTGAATGATCTGATCTTTATAGAACAGTTCAAATGTGTCAAATAAGGAAAATTGAAAGTTTTACACGTTAGGAAAAACTGGCACGTCATGTATTATGTAGGCCTAGGTAGGCCCTACATGCAGAACAACATGGTTAATTTTTAGGCAAGTTTGCATATACCAGCTGTGTGAACATAATGGTTGCGTATGAATTTAACTACATCCATAAACTAACACAGAGATAGTTGTACCACTTGTACGTTTTTGAAATGTATCTGGTACTGAGGAAAGAGTTCCATACGGACGCCAGTGATCATTATTCCCGATGTCATGTATACAGTGAACTAGCCCCACAAGAGCAGCAGTGGCTCTCTCTTACAATCTGTCTCCTGTCGCCACTACAGCCCTATATTTGTTGGGCTAGTCGGAGGAGTATTCGTCGGGCCCTGTTTACGTGTCTAAGGCCTAACCACTTAATTTAAAACATTGTAAAAACTGTATGCATATTGTCGAATTTGATCCTACATAATAAACAACTGTTTCAAGAAATCCAAAAGGGCCAAGGTCTCTCCATATGCATGATATTCCGTGGACATGATAGAGGCTCAACTGACCTTCGAAGCATTTTCTCTTCCGCTGTCAGGTGCGTAAGCCTCTGCCGCTTGCGCGGCGTTGGGGCCGACGCTGGTGTGCTGTTCTGCTCCATCACGCCAAGTGTCCTCTTGATACTCTCCGATAACCCCGTGAAAACAATTCTCGTGGTAGTAGCCATCTTACATTGTGTGATTTCAAGATTCTTGGTTTAAATTTTCCGATGTTGAGAAGAGCACCGCTCCCTCTAGATCGTGAGAAAAACTTAGTAAATCTTCCCAATGTTTGTGTCACATCTTCGCCTTCCTGTTCGGGTAGAAATACTAGAGCCACGTCGGCGTTTTCTCGATGTGGCTCAATTTGATTGGTCGAGGCTTAAGTGATGATGTCACATCTTTGTGGCATTATTGGTCTAAGTATAATTATAAATGCGTCTAGGATGAATATGCATTAAACAAATTGCGTTAACAACGTGACTGGAAATAATGTTGATGATATTCTGATGCAAGGCCGGCCGGGCCCGAGTGTTTTTCTGATGCAATGCTTCACGTCTTTCGACTATTCACGCCAACGTGGCTGCTTTATCACAAACAAACCGAGAAGTATGAACTGACTCAGGGACTGATCGAGGAGTTTTCTGGGGAAGGGATCGGGCCTTCCAGTTATTCGAGCCGATTGTTGCACACAGGACCGATGTCCCTTACAGGAGATTGTTATTTAAGTTATTTCATATTTTATTTTTTGCGTCAGAGCAGAGGCTAGGTGGTGGCGGTGGCGGCAGTGGGGGGGGTGTCCCTACGGATCGATCTGCGCCCGCTAGGCTGCTACTGCAGGAACCAAAGCAACACAAGCCAAGTTTTGACTTAATTTCTGTTGGAAATGAAGGAGCATTCCTAGTGTTCAAAGGAGGGAGAAATCATCATGGCTGAAGCATATAAGAGCCTCTCTTGGGCTTCGCTTCGGTAAACAGTTGATCGGGACCTGCATTTTCGCACCCGAAGAAAAGCACACTAAGTACCTCTCAAAAATTATAATTTCACTTTCTTAATAAGGCTATTCATAAAACATAAAACAAGTAAAACATCGAAGAGTGGCGTACATTTGTGCCATAAATAAGGATTGGGTGGGATGGGTATTTGTGAGGGATGAATTGCCTGGCAATGGAAATTTGAAGGGGGAAGGGTAAGTACGTCCTGTAAGCGCACGCGTTGAGTTTAATTGGTCGATTTAATGATTGTTTATTCAATATATCAAATAAAATAATCAAGACTTAAAATATTTGATTTACAGTAAAAGTATAATAATCATCAACTTCCAATAACAATAACAATTGAAATCAAATTACATCGCAAAACACATCAATACATAAACACCAAAAAATACCGAAACAACCATTCAGCAAATTAACCATACGGGACACCGAGGACTTCATATCTCTGTGTTCGGCATCACGGAATATATGTTTTAAAAATGTGAACGCCTGAGGCTACATTCACATTTTCCAACCAACCAACTTGAAAAGACCGTCTTTGCTACGTAATCTCAAATATTCATGAACAAAGTGGAGCGCGTGGGCTGGCGGATTCGCGCGCTTCCGGGAAGGAGAACTGCAGCATGTTACGTAACCTGCTGGTGACGTCATCCTAGCGGGAATCACTGCGAGCAAAAGCGTTGATCGAGCGCGCCGATTTCTACTGCGCCCTCTTGTGACTACATTCTACCGTCTTGGGAATCTCCTGTACATGTGCATGTACACTGTTTAACTTTTCTTAATTTTTTTCCGGATTTCCAGAGAAACAAATCACCGCCCGGGAAATTTCAGTTGAATTTGTGGTAGAGTTCGGGCGGCCTGTTCTTAACACGAGTTTCTTGTTCCCTTGCTCGAATAGCGGGGACACGACTCAAGAACACTGTTCTCGGAACAGGATCACACACCACTTCCTCGTCAGGGTTTTACAGGAACACACGGAAAACTCGTGAGATTTTGATATTTGAGCAGCCGCAAAACGTGGCAAAAAGTAGAGCGATGGCTTACAAAGCCAGAGGCGATAGCAAGTTTTACGAAATTGACATTAACACAGAAATTAATGTTCCTATTTAGAAAAGAATGCAGCCCAGTTATCCAAACATTAACTCTCGAACGATGTATCGTTTACGTCTACAGTTACCCTTGTGCGGAGTTCGTAAAACTCTGTTGCAAAGCTCGGGGCCCACCAACACCCCCACAAGAAATCGTCACCGCCCCCATTAAAAAATAACAATAAAGCATGGATATCTCTGTGGGTCCTCCTAAGCCTCAAGTAAACTTTTATTTCTACTGCCAAGGTTGGGGGGGGGGAGATACCTTCCCGGCGGTGAGACCTTGAAAGAGAACTAATTTGGCTTTTTTCATGACCTGTCAACACCGGGCTTTCTGAACCCAGGTTCAATTTGCTCAAGCAACTGTTTTGTTTTTAGTTTCACATTGAACGATGGGTACCTTTTATAATCACAGTAGCTCTTCCAGTAACAAGTTTGGTTTTGTCGTTTAATTGGTGACTCGATTGTCTGATCGCTGCAGCACTATAAGAAACGGTTCCCGTCGGACGGACCAGTGCCATCATTTTAGAAACGGTTATACCACTTTCCTTTGGATGGAGGTGAAAATGTGAATACTTTTAGGGCTGATGAAAATGATCAGTTGCCTGGCCAGCTACTTGTAAAACAGTAATTCCATCTCGGCCCCAGAACGTGGATGCGCCACCGTTTCCGACGTGTAAGTACCTCACCGTACTCAGTTTGGGGCACCGTGTCTTCCATCGCTATAATTATGTAACAAGCTGCATGCAAATCACTACAATACTTCTGGTCAAATGCGCAAGGTCGTATGCAAGCTGTCAACAAACAGCAAAGTTAAAACTTAGCATGCAAGACAGCCTTTGAAACTACTTCGACACTACATTTTTCCATTGTCCTTTTATTTATGAAAAGAAACACAATTGTGGGGTTTGTGTATCAACGAGGGGCATCCGGACTGTCAGATCTTTGTGCTATAATTTTCATACCACAAATAGAGACCAATACATTTACTCGTTGGCCCTATATTTATCATCATCAACACAGGAAGTTAATTTGTGAAAGGTCTATTCTTGATCTAGCGAAACAGATTCATAATTTGCGGATAACCACATTTATTTATACGTATTAATGGAAAGAAATGTAAAACCAGTCTGGTGACTTCCACATTCACGCGTAACTCTACATAAAGTCCAAATATAGAACGGATTTTCAAACCGTAACATTTCAAATTACCAAAATGAAATTAAATGAAAACATCATGGAAATAACTGACAAGAAAAGCTATTTCCTTTTTCAATTTAACACCAACTGCCACACAAGGCGAGTTTACCAAAATCAACGTGAATGTGAATGCTAGAGATGTGAATTATACTTCACATTAAATGAATATTCGAGGTTTTTGGAAACTGAAATTGGGAACTGGCTAATTAATGATCTGGGATGAAGTTATAGCAATCGGAAATTTTCGTGATTTAAGTGTTAAAACAGCTGGGAAAACATTTACTGCACTCCATTACATTTGGACTCGAAAGAGACCAATCAGGAGCGTCGTCAATATAAGAACTTTCCTTTGTTATTGACAGCCATCTTTTTATGGTTACCAAGGTTCGATGAAAGTGTATTCTAATTTAAATGCAGCTTTTTCCTGAAATTGCCCATTTTTAACTCTATACGCATTTTCATGGTATGCGTAGGCAAGGCCAACTAGGTGGTTTTTATTTATTATTTAGACAGCTGCGTGATTAATGTTGTAAATGGTTAATTTTTTGCTCTGAGGATCTGTCATGGCTTACCATCCACTGGATAGTGTATACTAACAGATTTTAAAACTTTTGCCAACCACTATCGTTTTATCTTTAATGACAGAATATACTTCTAATCTAATTAGTGTAGAGTTCAGTTTACTTTTAATGTGAAGTCAAAACACTGGAATATACTTCCAAACAGGTCAGTGCTAAATTTGCCCATAGTAGTTTAATGGAACTGCAGCATCTATTAGAGAAAACAGTCGTTCCCTGAAAGGTATTTTTTTTTGCCGTCAGTAATGAATGCAGTGAGGGAGACATGGTAGACAAGTGGGTGAAACGTAGTCTTTTCGGGCGTGAAAGAATCGCTTCGTGGTCAGTGTAGTACACATTTAATGCGTCAATAGCACGCTGGCTGGATCGCCCTCTTTGGCCGTCTTTTTGACAAAATCGACGGAGAACCCGCTCTTGCACCGTGTTCCAGCACCGCAAGGTGGGCAGGCCTGGAACTGCGGCAAAGCAATTCGCGTGAAAGCAATCCAGAAAACTTCGGGCTGCCGATTTTACAAAGCCTTTCACGTCTGCTAGGAGCCCCTGTAGAGGGACAAACAAAGCGAGCGGAGTTCATTGTATTTTAACAGATGACACAAGATGGAAATATTGCATTCTTCGAGCAGTGTAGTTCTGTTCGATGACGTCCTTCCTTTATAATTTTGCTCCATCGCAGTGATCGCTCCTGACTAACATTACTCTTTTCAACCAAAGAGGGTTGCTTTTTCTAAAAGTGGGTAGCGTGTATACTCAGGAAACGCGGAATATGTCTCAGGAAAATGAACGAAATACCGTTCCCTGGAAGTACCATCTGATTTGTTCAGATATTGGTATTTTCAAGACACGGTGACGTCATTACTATATACAGAAAAGGTGAGAAAAATCCTTCGTTTAGTACCACTTTAGCCCAGGCGGTGTTTTTACGCTTTATGTTCATGTTAAGGCTAATTGCAAAAACAAGATGACAAGAGGACCTCCTTCGGTGTGCGGGCGTGGCATACCATGGGCACACATAGTGTAGACCTCTGCACAAAAGAAGTCCACATAATTTAGGGTACGATGGCGTTGTGTGAACCTGCAGATAATCATTAAGGAGACAATTGATGTGGTTGATCTTGTCTTGAGATGTCCAGCTCCCCAACCGTTCAATGACGCATCTGTCTTAATCGTCAGATGTGGAGTCTGCCGAACGATCGCCCAGCCGTTCCATGCTTGCGGGAATCGCGTCCATATATGTATAAATCGTCTTTAGCCTCCTCTGACAGGGAGGTTTCTGTCCCGTAGCTGTAGTGTTCCTGCAGGGAAGCTATTCTGTCTATCTGAAGGTGTCAGTGGACCAACGGAGCCAGAAACACTGCGCCTGCACGGTCGCTGACATCTTCACGATCAAGCTGGCGAGATCGCAGACTAAAGTCGTGCGTGGTGACAAAACCTATGTGCAGTGGGCGACGATCTTGTTTAAGAGCCATGTTCTTCGAGTTTATAAT